ACCAGTACATGAATGAAAATAATAGGTCTTATCAATCTGGTTTTCGGTGCTGCATAAACTTAAACATGCTTGTTTAAAAACAATGATGACTGGTACAGTGGGCTAGAGCTAGGCAAAATAATGGGACTAGTATTCGTAGACCTAAAAAAGGCCTTTGATACTGTCAACCATGAAACTCTTTGCCAAAAAATTAGCTGTTACAGCGTAAAGCAACAAGAGCTTTTATGGTTTTACTCCTATTTATCAAACTGGAAACAATTTTTCAAAGTAAATGGTATTAATTAAGAAATCAATAGCATAGGTGTTGGTGTACCCCCAGGATCCTGCTTGGCCCCCTATTATTCATAATTTATATCAATTATCTCCCTCATGTAGTACATGACTTGTCTATTTCCGTGTATGCTGATGATACTAGCTTATGCTATCAATTGCTTGATATCACTCGACTGAATGAGGTTATTAATAATGATTCAGAAAATCTGGAAAAGTCGCTGAAGGGAAACAAACTATCTTAAAATGCAATGGAAACCCAGTCAGTGATTATTTTACGAAAAAAACAAAGAGTTTTGAGAAATCTAAGCCAGGAACTTTCACTAAAAATAAAGGACCATAAACTAGAGATTGCTAAGATATGGTGTAGCTGAAAAAATCACTTTTAGCTCTTCAAAAACAAGCAGCAAATATCCTAACAAAACCAATAGCAGTTTTGATGTCTCGTGGATACAGGAACTTGTAGTTCACGAGTCAAAACTCATGGTGTTCATTTATTCACAAAAATTTCCCAGTTAACTTTCCACATCCTTCGCAATACTGCCACTGGCTGCGCCAAAAAAGATATCTGATGGTCAAAATGCTTTTGAATAGAGGTGCCAAGATATGGAATAGCCTCCCAACTCCCAACGAGTGTAAGCAAGCAAACTAGTGGTTTTAAATCTGATATATAGATGTTTTAGGTTGTGTTTTATTCTTTTAATCAAATTGTGTTTTTTTATTAGGTAACATTGCATTCTTTTAATAAACTTTTGTAACTTTGTAAATTTGTATTAGGTATGTGAATAATATTTTATTCTTTGTACTAGTTTAATTCAATTTTGTAACAATGTAAGTGGAGGGCCCCTGGAAAATCAGCAATGCTGAAAGGCAACCCTTCTTAAATACTTTCAATCAATCAATCAATTGTTCACATGGATACATGGTCTCAATAGCTCTTTTTGAGTTTTTTCCAAGTTTCCTTCAGGCAGCAAGTTTATGTTATGGTAATAATAAGAGTTAACAGAATATTTTCATTTTAGATTTTAGTATATTGTCATAAACTTGCTGATGCCCTGGAAAGATTTCAGTTTGAGGGAACAAACTTCCTGCCTGCAAAGCTTCAAAGCCATAGTCAATTTGTGTAAGCATAAGTTCAATTGCAAACAAAGCTTTGGAAACAAAAACATACCCTGGTAAATGGAAGGTTTCAAGAGCGAATGCAGCTATCAAGAAAGGTATCTCTAAAGACAGGGGTAACTACAGGCCATTATCTCTGTTGAGTGTGCCAAGTTGGTTGAGGATGTCATTGGTAAAGGCCTAGATAAACAAATTGCTGAAACAGGCACTGCAATTGCCAATCAATGGGGTTACAAGAAAGGTGTCAGTTCTGTGACCTTGCTTCTCTACTTGACAAAGAAGTGGAAAATTGCTCTTGATGACAAGAGAGTAATAGTTTCCCTGCTTATAGACTTTAGAAAAGCATTTGACACTGTCTGTTATAGTATACTGAATCACAAGCTTCATCCTATGGGTATATCAGGGTCAATTAATGAGCTACTCGTCAATAAAAGACAGGAGCCAGTATGTTGAGGTGAATGGAGAAAAATCAGAACTGAGAACAGTAGATCTAGGGGTCCCACAAGGGTCAATATTAGGACCCGCCTATTTGCAATTTTTGTCAATGACTTTTCAACAGCAATTCAGGTGGAAGAACTACATATGTATGCAGATGACACAGCTGCATTTGTAATAACTAACACAGTTGATGAGGCAATTCATTACCTGAACATCATTGCAGATGACATTAACAGATGGTGTTCCAGAAATAGACTCACAATACATTGTGACAAAACAGAGGCAATGCTTATTGCCAGAAAACAAATTTGCAGTCCATTATTATTAATTCAAGAAAATTGTGCCATATCAGTCACCTATTGCATTATAGTCTGAGGGATGCTGGTTTCAAAAGGCTAGAGCACATCCACGCCAGAAGAGCTAAAACTGTGAAGCACCTAGAGAAAAGTTTATGGGATGGCGAAATTGTTAAGACAGCTGGCAGGCAGATCTTAAGTTATCTGTATAAAAAGCACATGTTGATTATCATGAGTGACTGTATCAATGAAAGGACAGATGAACGGTTAAAGGAAATGAGAGTGGTACCTAACAAACATTTCAATAACAATAAGCTGACAATACCAAGACCAAGAACAGAGATAGGGAGCATGAAATTGAAATTTAGCCGTACAATTTTATGAAATAGTTTAAGTAATAAGACAGTAAAAATGCATTTGAAGAAAAGCTAAAGAAATTGAAAGAGAAATTAAACAATATAACTTTTGAAAAAGGGACAACAAAACCACGATTAAGAAGTGAAAATTACATGTATTTTTAGAGATTTCTTTTATTATGTCAATCTTTGTAAATATGCTTTAATAGTTTTAATTCTATTTTCCTTATAAATAGCAAAATTAGCTCTCTTTTTAACTATATTTTGTAGTAGATAGCAGGTCCACATCTATAGTATCGTAGCCACAAACAACCTGTTTTAACAAAAATATATGATGATGATGATGATGATGATGATGATGATGATGATGATGATGATGATGATGATGATGATGATGATGATGATGATGATGATGATGATGATGATGATGATGATGATGATGATAGAAAAATACTGAAAGCAAAGCATTGTGTAAAACCATTTTCTAGACATGGTACGAAAATTCTTGTTGAAATTCTTTATCTTGTCTGCTTATTTAGAAAGAGTAACCAACCGCATGTCTTAGGCCCGAAACACCCAGTGTGCGAGTCAAATGACAAAACGTGTCAAAACAGCACCTTGGCACTGTCTGTCCTTTCTGAAACAAAAACAGCACCAGACGACACGTTTCCTTGTAAAATACAATATGCTTGTACTAAACCTATAGAAATATGGGCAGGCTCATTTCAATTTAATGAATGAACTTCAACTCACCTTCGCAAAGCCTTGTCCATGCCTGCCTAGAAGCTTTCAAATTTTCAGAGCATTCAAACATAAATTAACAGAACAAAATATAAGACTCCACTTATTCTTCTTACCGAAGCAAGGACCATTAGCCAGGGCAATTTAAGGTTACAACGGCAGACTTGGTTGACGCTATAAAATGTTGTCCTTTTGACTTGGTTCAACCAGACTTGGTTCAAGCTGATCAAAACAGTTTACTTGGAATGCAGGGGATTCCCCACGAGTTCACTTCCCGCGTCAGGAAAAGGAATGGGGAAGAGTTTGCAGGACAGGGAGACGGATACACACTTGTGATTTCCTGTTTGCAGAATGAAATGAAAGTGCACTTGCCTTCGCACTAGCAAGCGCAGCCAGGTGGGCGTATCGTGACGACATGGGTTAGTTTTTTTGGCTTCAAGGTACCTAGGCCTTCCTGGCTGCTATCCTGATTTTCATATTTCTATTGTGTGGTCCGAACTCAAATTTAAAACTTAATTGCCTATGAAATATTTATTTATCTACGTGACCTTAATCAAATTTTGATTTTGCTTTGCAATAAAACTTACATCTCACGGGGGGATATGTTTTTTGGTTACATGATAGGGACGACGCCACAAAATTGAGCCTGGCGACCTAAGCATCCAGTTTAATTTTTGAAAATGTACCTTGTAAAAGCGCTAAAAAAGTAACTCCCAGACTAAAATTTAGCAAAATACTAATTGCTTACGAAGGAAAACTTGACGCTTCTCAGAAAAAACTGATTATTGTTTATTGGGAAAAATCGAGGAGGGGAGGTGTCATGCTAAAACTCAAGTGACAGACGTTGGGGAAATAAGAAAATTGTGACCTTTCGTTTCTGATTGCACATCGACGTAAATAAGTTAGTAAATAAACCAAACAAAATCGGCATCTAAACAGTTTGTTCTCCTTTTCTCATACACTGTTTTAAAAGTAAAAGGAAAAAAACGGTAAAAAATTCTTATCTTGAAAAAAGTGGGGAACTTACAACTTAATTTCTTTCTGTGGACTTCTTTCTGCCCAGTGTCCATGGGCAGGACGAAGGGCTCTAGTGTCCCTGGGCAGGTAGAAGGGCTCCAGTGCCCTGGGCAAGAAGAAGAGCTCCGGCGCCCCTGGGCAGGTAGAAGGGCTCCGATGCCCCTGGGCAGGTAGAAGGGCTCTGATATCCCTAGAAAGGTAGAAGGGCTCCGATGTCCCTAGGAAGGTAGAAGGGCAAGACAAAGGGCTCCGGTGTCCCTGGGCAAGAAGAAGGGCTCCAGTGTCCCTGAAAGGCTTCGATGTGCATAGTTTGGTTTATCCAAGATTCTGCCAATGGTGCGTTCAGATATCGTTTTAAAGATTACCTTATGCTTTGTAAAACTTTAATCTTCATTTAGTTAAGCCTTACACCAAATTAAAAAGTACTGCTGACTAGCCTGTGTCAGACCCTCCGCTTAGAGGCAGGCTAACTGCTGACGGGGTTAGGCTGTAAGAATAATGTAAAATGCAATTAAATTTAATTAATGGAAGTCATCTTTCTTGTTTATCTATATAAATGTAAAAGTGAGGCCATCACGATATGGCCCTACATTATCAACTTGAGTATATCTTCATTTCAAATTGGACAACAAATGGTAATTGAGATTGAATGACAGTTCTAAAAGAACAGTTTTCATTAGAATAGATAGAAAATTATATGATTTGGTATGAATATGGCACAATTTGGAATAGATTGTAGGCGATTGGAAACAAAATTAGGGAATAACCGCGATAAAATATTATGGATTTGCTTTTCTATATTTACATTGAATCCAAATACGATACATTTTAAGTTGTTTTCCTCTGTTTACTTGCAGCCTTCTGTCAACATGATTTTGCTCTTCAATGAGACCAGCTGTTTTGAACATCGACGAAAGCTCGTCTAGAGTTATAACAACAAAAAAGTCATTATCGCTGCTGCGATCCAACTTCAGCAAGATAAAAAGGGGTGGTAATACTGAAAAAATCATACAATGGGTGATAATATTGTCAAGGTAGCGCGTAAGCAACACGGATCATATCATTAATGAAGCTCTGACACATGGGCAAACATGAAGTTCAGGTCCTTAAAGGGGAACTGAAGTGAAAAACGATTTTTTTACCACTGATAAAGGTTCCCGTGCTGATTCCAAAACCGTTTGAATTTTTTTAATACGTTATGTAGTTTTTAAGTTATTAAGTTTTTAAAGTCGAAATTTGCCCTCATCGATGGCGGAGCGAGAACGCGGTCGGACCACTGTGTCACGTGACCTTGTGACGTAAAGTGGTGGACACGAAGAGATGTTTTGATGTAATGTAGTAGTGAGTTTGATTAGGTTCATGACAGATAACAATCGTGAAAATTGTGATAAAAGCATGAAACTTGGTGAAAATATAGAATTCGGTATGCGTAACAAGATAGAATATAGAATCATTTTGGGAAAAAACCCTTGTGCTATTTTTAGCCTGGGGTACTTGTGCCCAGTACTCAGAATACGTTAGTATGGTAAATCTATTTCTGTTAACTATACAACCATGAAACTTGGCAAACCGACACAATTTGACGTGCTGAAAATGATAAGAATGGTCCCCATCCTCAGAAATACCCCTTGTGCTATTTTTAGACTAGGGTACTTGTGCCCAGTACTCAAAATACGTTAGTATGGTCAATCTATTTCTGTTAACTATACAGCCATGAAACTTGGCAAACCGACACAATTTGACTTGCTGAAAATGATAAGAATGGTCCCCACCCTCAGAAATACCCCTTGTGCTATTTTTAGACTGGGGTACTTGTGCCCAGTACTCAAAATACGTTAGTATGGTCAATCTATTTCTGTTAACTATACAGCAGGCCTGGCCGTTTGAGGCGAGCGATAGCTCGCGCTCCCCTCGCAACCTGAGGCGAGCTATGAATTGCTCTCCTAAACAGAACATGAAGGGAGAATCGCTCCCCTAAAATTTCCATTCATTAGCCTTTTTCCTATTCAGAGAACCCTGAAAACGGGTTAATTGGCTTATTTTTGTGACAGCGATTTTCTCCCGTCACTGCATTTTTTGCAATTAACTTTTTGCTTGTTGGGCGGTTTTTATTATGATAGGCATAAACTTTGATCTATTTGGAAAAGGATAGTTAACCGAAAGGTACGTTTGTAGCGATTAGAACCTTTCAATCTTAAGAAAACAGGAATATTTTTGGAAGGAAAGTCGAAGAAATGGGTAGGAATTGTAGATTGGGGATATAATAAGACAGCAGGTCCCTTCCAGCAATAGAAACAAAACTATCCCTCAAAGAGAACAGGGTACCCTGTCTTGCAGATCAAAAACGACAACCAAAACATGGAATTCCACTATCGAGCAGCATTTACTGAAAAACCCAGATTGGGTGAAAAACTATAACGGTGACATGTTTCGCATTATTGGCAAAGCCTGATCATCGTTCCATCTATGTAGCAGTTGGTAACATTTTCAATAGGAAAGGGGCACTTATTGGAAAACCTCAACAGTCATGTCCTCGCGTTTTCTGATGGCCTATTTCGATCCAAAACTGGGTATTTTAGCGTAGAGTTTTCCTTCTATGTTCTGACGTTTTATTCTCTGAAGAGTGCTAGACGTATAATTAAGTTTGTTTCAAAATTTGTTTTTTAAAGCCATTTTCAAATTCGGTGCAACAAAAAGATTGTTTTGCAAGAGAATTGTTGTTTTTTGTGTTGTACCAGCTTTACATAAAACGGAGAGAGTCTGTTCTTTCAAATACTTCAAGTAAAGGGGGTGCCTAAGTCACGGTTAAAGCAAATACAAATTGAAAGAAGTAAAACATAACACTCCTGACTGAGGCAATTACATTAAGGCAACCGACAGATACTAAAGGGGCTTATTAAGTCATCTGTCGATTGTCTTCAAAGTGCATTCTATGTGTTACTGATTTAGCTCGCCTCAGCAAATGAGGGGAGCGATTCACAGCTCACCTATAAAAATACAAACGGCCAGGCCTGATACAGCCAAGAAACTTGGCAAACCCACATAATTTACTTGCAGAAAATGATTGAGTGGTCCCCACTTCAGAAATAACTCTTAAGCTAGTTTTAGAATGGGGGTCCTGTGCCCAGCACTCAGAGGACATAACTATGGTTAATCCATTTCTGTTAGCTGTAGAGCCATGAAACTTGCCAATCCTACACAATTCGGTTTGCTGAAAAAGACAAAAGTAGTCCCCCACCTCAGAAATACCCCTTTAAACATGATTTTCTATGTCTATAGAACATGATATCAAAGCATTTTCTGGTATAACTCCAGGCACAAAAAACAATTCATACCAGGATGTACATAAAGGAGAAGGATTTAAAGCACAACCATTAAATGATGTATATATATGTTTCCAAGTTTATTAAAAGACCTTATCTTAACAAAAGATATGTCAGGGTTTCTATCTCATAACCGTCTATGAAAAATGTTGAGTTGAAGCAAATTTCAGAAAAATATAACCATTGGGCACCAAAAAACTTCATTCTCAAAATTTGAAAACAGTGTATCTAAACAACAGGCAGTAACAGAATACATTAAAAGAACATTGTACTGTGAAGGTAAAACATTTTCTTCTGATTATGTATAAAAAATGTTACCAAGCAGGTGGTACAGGGCCATTATTGTAAGAGAAAAACTTTATCAAATCCAAACTATTCTACACATTTTGATGTGAGTAAAATATCTTGAAAAATATACCTTAGGAATCTTGAAAATATCAAGCCTTGCTCAATCTCCACTAGTTTTAACAAATTTCCAACTTATAACATGACCCCACTAGTTCTAAATTTCTCTTCTGGCTATTATGAACTGAAAGTCTGGTCCCTTTGAATAACCCCTGTATATAACCCTGTACTCCACTGTATATGTAGTAGGTAGCTGAGTTTTGCATTTTCATTGTCTCTCTGCAGAATTTTGAAACCCTTGTCTTCTTTGACTAAAGTTCTTTTCTTTACATTTTGTGATAAATTCATACTTAAAGTTGTCCAGTTTTTCCAGCACAAATACCCAAAAACCAGCAAACCATCCATTGATCGGTTTGTAGATACACTGTTTGTAGATACCTAGCAAAATGGATATAATTTTAGGTATTAATCTATTTTAGGCATATTTATGCAATTCTATTAAATATTTGACATTTTCGAATTATCAGTCCAAAAATCTTAATTGCAGTAAGATTTAATAATACTTGTCAATGTATAAAAAACAAGCCAGTTTTTAAACCAAAGTGGATCAGGTCGACCTGTTCCGTGCTAGCCATCAAACTATGTATAAACGTTTTATATCAAAGCAAATATTTATTAAATTGTAACATGTAATAATCCTTATTATTTCAGATTTTAGAAATGGAAAGATTATAATATGTAGCCTACATTCTCAGTTGTATCTTACTTTTTATAAGGAAATAAGGAAATTGTGTTTGAGTTGTTCTTGCCTTCATTGTCAGAAAAGAAACAAAGATCGACGTACCATTGATTTACTTCCTCATTTTTACCGACAAAACGAGCACGTCGTGGGAGATGATTCATCCTCAGCCTCTGGGATCTCATCGGGCCTAGGCTAATCTTCATCGCCACTTTCGCAGTTCCCGTTCGCCCTTGGTAGGGCAAGTACTTCACCACCACATGCTCCAAATTCATCGTCGCTCGATCTTAAGTCTGTTGTCATTCCTGAAGAGCTGTCGTGAAAATTGCGAACTGAAATTCTAACCACTAACCGAATTCCCTCCCTCCGATTCACTCTGCTACCTACTACAATGTTGTTTTCGTTTCGTTGCGATCGGGGCACGTGTCCACGACTTTACGTCAGCGCCTGAAACTTGTCTCCAGACCTCTCCGCCACCGAAATGGAGAAATTTCACACTTCGCGTGGTGAATGCAGGAAAACGAAAAGAAAAACACTAATTTCGTGTCGATATTCGAAATCAGCACGATGAAAACTACTAAATAATTGATTTTCATTTTTCACTTCAGTTCCCCTTTAAATATGAAGTGTTTCTTTGCGTGATCTAATGTAGGACAAAGTTTTAAGATTGTAATTTCAAAACTCAAATTGGCTTCTCCATATCTCTCCCAAACAAACATTTTATGCAGAAAAATAAAGTCATTCATAAATCAGATATTTATTTGATTCGTGACAGAACTAAAGATCACAAAAAATACAACAGATTTTGCTTACCTTGGGTAAAAAAATACACTCGTGTACCGTCGCCACGAACGTAAAAGTTTTCCTCAAGACACCGTCCTTAAATGCAAACAATGTTTCGAATAATTTCACAAAATTGCGTCAAGCTCTTCAAAATTTATTACTTTTCAAATTCAACTACCGTATATATACCGGTATAGGTTTGAGTTGAGGTTTTAGCCTTGAAATTAGGCTCCGAAAACGGCATTTGACATATACAAAGGGGTACTTTATTTGATCAGGAGACCTATACTTAGTGTATAAAAAATACTGTTAACGATGTTTTGCTCCTTGACAAGGAGAATAAACATTCCGCACCAGATCCTTACACGACATGAAAAACCCCATGCTCTTAACAAGATGAAGTATTCCGTTCCAAAATTATAGCACGCAGAAAAGCTTATCGGTTCTTGACAACTTTATACAAGTCAGTTCAACAGAGATTTGTAACGGACCATAGTTTCTTTTCTGAGGGAGAATGAAGTGGACGCTGCGATTCTGATCTGATCTTTAAGCAGACGATTTTAATCGCAAAGAACATTAGGCATAAGTCACAACCAAGCATAAATTCGCTCAGCATCGTTTCAAGCCAACAGATTTCAATCGAACAGCGCAGTGGATGTAGGAAATGCCTAAAGTTACATGAAACAACAGAACCAAAGGAGAAGCAGCTTCAATAACAGTTTAAGACATATTCTGGTTTATGCACTGGCATTTAAAAAGAAATAAAGTCTGAAAAAGAGCAAAATGCTGACTTCTATTATAGTGTAAATGACTATACAACTTGAATCCATAATGATCTTCTCAATCAAATATATATTAGGTATAAACCTGGACCATTATAACATGTATATGTTTTACTATGTACTCTAGTGTCTCTAACAGACAGCCCCCAGTGTATTAATTTCAGAAGAATTTGCCCTCCCCCCTATCGCTTATTAGCACCCCACTTCTATTAAATTTCACAAATCTGTCATGACCAGAACACCCAGAAAATTGAATGAAAAAGCGATGTGATTTATAAAAAAGAGTAGGCTCCTGTCTGTGAGAACAAAACGCATAAATTGAGGGGAATTCTCCTGACACTGCCTTTTAATTAAAAGATTTACCAACATCCACTCCTTCTATTAGCCCCCCTTTGCTTAGCTCCCCTTTGCTATTGAAATTTGCTGACATTTTATTGAAAATTGGCCAACCTGAACACCCCCTTCTACTAGCAACCCTCTTCTATTAGCAACCCCCTTCTATTGAAAACTGGCCGACATGAACACCCCCCTTTTATTAGCATCCCCCTTCTATTGAAAATTGGTCGGAGTAAACAACCCCCCCCCCTTTCAAATACCTCCCCCTTCTATTAGAGACACTAGAGTATGTATTATTATAATATAGCATATGTATATGTAGTGTTATAGTTTATTTATTAGTTATATTTAGATACACGTTATATCCCAGGGGGCAGTCATGTTATATTGCTCCTTCTGGGTTCCGTCCTAGTAATGTAGTTTAGTAGTTCGTACGTACTGTTCTAGGTAATTTGTTTTGTAAGTTTTCATACCGAATAGAAAAAAAGAAACAAATAAAAAGAAGGAAAAAAAGTACGGATGGTCAAACATATTACACGAGGTTCTTGATTATGACTCCAATAAGAATCTGCAGCATGTCATGTCTTCAAATGCAGATCTCCAAAACTTATCAGTTATATTTTCAGATAGGGGACACTGACAAAAAGAGAAAACGCTACTGACCTTTTTTGAATCTTAGTTGGGCCATATCAAATCTTCCATAATCGCGAAATAAGATTTTACCTCCAGGTTTTAAGAGCTGGAAAAGAATAAAACTTGTCTTTCAAAAATGATTCTAATGAAATATTCGAGGTAGGGTGCGGAGAAAATTCGAAAAAGATTTCTGTGGAGATGATCAGTAAACAGAATATGAAGATGTCAGTTTGAGAGTGTTAAAGTGAAAAAAAACTGTTTGTTAGGTTGAATTGCTTCTTTATCTGAATAAACTGCTTTTCAAACGAAAGAGCATCGTTTTGTTTGAGCAGTATAAGATGAGAGCAAATTTGAATTGACATGCAATATGAAGGATCAAAATATTCATTTGAGAAGGCCTTAACTTATTTGTAGATTCTGTCATTTTTTAGAAACACTTATTTCGACCCACTGAATACATTGAAGAAGTAGAAAAAAGGTTTTTCAAATTCTTTTTAAGGAATGAGGCGATGCCTTTCTTTAGATATAAATATACTCGTATTGAACGCCGCTGGAGAAAAACCTTTCAAGCTGCTCAAAGGGATTGCATGCTCAACAAAGAAATAACAAAACTTCTTATGTCAAGGTAATAAAATCAGACATGCATAGTTAAGGGGGTGGAACAGGACAGTTCTAAATTGGAGCCTCGAGTTTGACGCTAAATTGCCACTAGCATCTGATGAGAACTTTCCATTTAAAGACTGAAGCATGCTAACCTTGGCATAGATCAATCTGTAACAGACCGGTTAACAGTAATCTTCCTTTTAAGCAAACAAGGATATTAAGAAAACATTCATGTAAATGCCAAAATGTGATAATTGGGATAATGAAAAAAGGAAACATTAATACGCACCTCGCTCAAGTTATTGATGACTCGCTGCATTCTGAAAAAAAAGAAAATTCCTTGTGAAGAATTCTTTTTTATCTTAAACATTGTCGCAACAAAATGATTATTTGACACGCAGATATTTCCCTTTAACGTTTTAACTGTCTACTAATGGTCATATTAAACATGAAAATCATTAAACATCGCGAATAATCATTGCAGATTAGCACAAAGTTGGTAAAATCCGAACAAAAGAGTTAAAGAATTAACTCCAATCTGTCAAAACAGAAACCATATATGTAAAAGGAAACCTCCAACTTACTTATTAGGGGCTATTGCTGATAAAACGAAGATTAGAACGATCACATCTAAACTTTCCTTGGGAAATGGAAACTGTGGATTCTCAGCAGCAACATCACAGAGAAATGCGTGGCATCTTTTATTGTCGTAATCTGGATGTTGCTGAAGTTTAAGAAAAAATGTTACAACCTCAGGAAATGGCAAGATGCTAAATTATCTAAGCAGTAAGATCAAAATGAAGTGAGCCTAATTTTCAAAAGCAGACTAGACTTCAAGAAACCAGCAAAAGTTAGAATACTTAAGTGGGAATATTTGACAGAAATCGCCACGATAGAACGCATGCAGTAAGTTGGCAAAAATGTCCTGAGTATATTTACTGAAAATGTGATGTAAAGAAATCAGCTACGCCATGAAATGTACCAATAAGAAGCCAATGAAACTCACCTTTACAAGATCAACTGCCGATTGTGCAAAGTCACAGCAATAAACAAATATGCCGCCATCACTGCAACAGAAGAAAAACATAAATGCTGAGTGCCAATACTTCATCAACACATTTCAAAATGAACTAGGTAGATCTTCCCCAGGGTCCTCTCTACTAACTACAAAATAAGAATATAATACTATTATTTTTAAGTGTCCTTTAAGTTTCTAAAGAGCCTAGTAACAATTTTGTATTATCTGACAGTTTAAGTATTATCTGAAACGTCAAGGTGATGCTGATACACTTTTCTCTTGAAAATTCCCAGTGATGTTGACTGTCTAATGTTAAGTTGAAGTTCATTCCATATTTCACTTCCTTTTATTGATATTGACTGATCAACCTTTTTCAGTTTTGATCTGGGCACATACAAGTTTCTGTGTGATGACCTTCTCGCCAATCGCTGTTTAATCTGATTTTGATGAGTAAACAAATCAGTCATATATTTTGGAGCTAGTCCATTTGGAGCCTTGTAGACTACTATGGCTGTTTTGAAGATAATTCTTCGTTGAATGGGCAGCCACTTAAGTTTCTTAGACAGTGGAAGGTCATATATCAACCTAGCTGCTCTCTTTTGAAGCTTCAACAGCGAGGATATCTTCGTAGAAGACCCCCAAACCACACTGCCGTAATCAAATAGACTTGTATGAAGTTTTGATAGAACAATTTTCTTGTATCAAATGGCAGGTAAGACTTGATCCTACGAAATAAAGCAAGGTTGCGGCTTACAGTATTGCATACGTTTTTAACTTGATCGTTCCATTTAAGATCTTGGTCAATAATAACAAGTTAGGTCAGGTCAGGTCCCTGATCAGGGAAAAGTCGAAACGACTGGTTAGTAAGATGGGAAGAATAGGCGATATGCAAAAGGATCCGTACCTGTTCGCCTGTAGCACGGGGAACACCGTATTGCCGACTCCACAACCAACCTTACAAAGGCAACAGAAAATAATTCCAAATGAAAAATACTGTTAAATCACAATAACCACAAATCAACTTAAGTTGCTTTGATTTAATGCAGCCGAATTGGATAAAAAGTCAGAGGATTTCTTTAGATATTTAAAACACCATTGACTACATGCGTTGATTAAAACATTAATACAAAATTACAACAAGACATGCATCCTCCGCTTTCAAATTTACACCATCTTCCAATGATTAGGTATATAACTGACACTTACGATTTTATGTATAGAATAGGATAGTTTTATATTGCAACTCAAAGTTTCAAGTTGAATGTGATCATCAGACAACGCACATCGCTGCCTACTATACGTACGGTAACGACTACTGCATGACCGACCAGAAAACAACATTTTCATTGATAAACATATACACAAATGACACACTGGAACATCCAGGTTTTGGTTTCTAGCTTTGTCAAGAAGCAAAATATGAAACACTATAGAGTTTCAAATGCAACACTGTCCAACAAACAGGAGCTCATTCTGAGTATCAAAGCCAAATCAAGAAACAACTCACTATAAGTTATCCCAGTTGGTTTTTTGAAAATCATTGACGATAAGTGAGGGTACAAGATAACTAACCAAGATCAACAGCTATTACAAGGGAATTCAGCCAGTAGCGGAAACCTGGGGGGGCGACGCCCCCATACTTTAGAGGACAATGGTATTTTGTTCTAAAACAATGGGAAATGTGACATCATCTTATCAAAACAATAGACTTGCCCTCCCCCAATATTTGGCCAAGTGTTGACCCCTGTATTCAGCATGTTCAAGAAAGACTTCAAATGCCTAACTATTAGAAGCATCAAACAAGAATTCAGAGTTTCTAAAAGGAACTGGTGACGTGAATCATATAGGAACATTGTGAAGGTGAGGTATTACTGAACTTGGCAAATTTGTCAAAAATTTTAGGCTACTGTTAGTTGACCAGTGGGCTTTATCAAATGGCCCTTTGCCACGTTCTAATCATGAAGGAAGATAATAATTTATTAAAGTGTTTATTGTAATCCAATATCGCATTTGGTTGAAAAAAGAAAGATTATTTCTGGTTTTCACAACAAGAAATGAAGTAATTTTGCATTGAAAACAATTTTGTAGAGAAAAATATCTGAGAAACATTATTGTCTGATGCTGGGAAAGGATGGAAATACTTTTATTTGTTCAAAACAAAACTAGCAGGTAAAATGGGAGGTATATCTAACAGTGAAGAGATCATCTAAAAGGAGTGGAAATCTAATGAGAGTAAAACTTTAACAAATGTAGACAATGCGCAAGACAATTCAACAATATTCTGAGCAAATATACCTCAAAAAATCTAGTGTGAGCATTTTGACCAGGAAAATTAAGTTCATTAGCTTCCCTTCCATTGATTTGTACCAAGCCAGGAGAGCCATGACCATTATTAGACTTTGGAGCTAATTCTTCAAACTCTGTAAAAAGCCAATGTCTGTCTTTAAAAAACCTGTTGAAATAAAACCTCTTAATTACATTATACCGATTTAAATCTGTTTTGCAGAAAGTTAATAAAAGTTAAACTTCTTTTCTTTAAAAGAACTGCAAAATAATAGTGCCATGTACAAAAACCACCTGATAAAGCAACGAAAAATGATTAGATATTTATGAAAAAATATGTTTTGAACAAACCTTTCTTGGTGCTGTAGATAAAATTTATCCCAAAATGAGTGTGCCTCTACTTCAAGTTTTTCTAGAAATATAGTTCCAAAAATAATAAAGCTGTTGAAAATAACAAACTAGAAAGTGATATTGAATCTATGCTGCCAGAGAAAGTGGCTCACTATAGATCACTTGGCGACTGACGTCATTAAAAATTATAAACAACTTGCGCGCGCATACCGGCAGGTAGAAAACTTACCGGAATAAATAAACACACCGTCAACACGCCTCAGAAAAACATGGCCTTCTTTGAAATACCATAGAAAACAGGTGTGCACACATGCTGTACACGGTATAATAATTTTTTGTGAGGCTGATAACGTTAAAATCATCTCTGGTTGTGCGAGAATCGGTCGCTATGTCTGAGTACTATAACAATCTCGAAGTCGAAGAGCGAAAGATATATGACTTGAAGCTGACTTTGAAGAACGGGGACAAATTACCTGACCCCTTTTCTCTGAATAAAGCTGAGAACTGGTGCAATGATATTGGGAAATTACCGAATATAACCTGGAGGGATGTCACCGAATATCTAATCGACTCTCCTAGCCCATTTACGAAGGAATCCATGAAGGCCTACAAGTCTTTGGAGGCGTACGACTATTTTGTTTGCCGCCATGTTCAAGATTGCTTTTACTGTCCAATTGATGATAAATGTGAATTCTGCTATGTCAAATCCGAGGTAATTTCATTTCTATCTCAATGTTGTTTTTTACAGCTTTAAATCTAATGCAAGGCATATAAGCAACAACAAAAGACGGATTGATCGCCATAAACAATATCAATCTAAATGTTACCTTTTTGTGTATATGATCAATAAAGTGCCCCCGTAAAGAATAATGAAATTGAATTCTGGTATAATGCCATATTGCCTTTCAAAATTTCCCATGAAGGTTGAAGTGCTATGCAAGGTGTCAATATTGCAATTTATATGATCAGATGTATCCCTTCTGCTTTTAAACAGGTATTGCCAAGCCAATGCCAAGGTCAAAAGACATCATTATACAGAGTCTGGGTTTGTCTTCACAAAACCCAAGGATGGATACTGACTGGGCATTGCACATGTATGGCAGGACTAAGCTCATCTTGTAGCCATGTTGCTGCTCTTCTTTTCAAACTAGAAGCAGCTGTTCATTTTCAACTAAATACACCAACAGCATGCACTAGTCAGCTTTGCTCTTGGAAAGCATCTAGAAAATCAGTGCAACCAGCCACAATAAAGTCAATAGACTTTTCAAGAGCCAAAAAGCACAGCCTTCCTAACGTTTCAGGTAGTTTCCTTCAAGTGAACGAAACAAAGCATTATTCGTGCAGTGACCCAACAAAAACTCGTAATCCCATATCAAATGAAAAGCTGAAAGATTTATATAGAATATATCCACAGGCAGCAATATTTACAAGTTTGGATGTCACTAGTTTTCAATCAGTTAATGAAGGCACTGCTTCTGTGACTTGCGACATTGGTAGTGATACAGACAGTGACACTGAAAATGAAAATAATATCATTCCAGAGCCACTTGTAAGCTTGTTTGATCCAACAGCTATAAACATGGATGAAAGCGAATTAAAGGTTAAAAGCAAGATCCTTTACCAACAATATGTTGCTTCAAATTATCAAAACTCTTTTGACAATCTTGAAGTTATCACAAGGAAGCAATCATTATCAAGTGCATGGAGAGTACACTGTGCTGGGAGAATCACTGCTTCAATCTGCAAACAAGTGTCCAAGATGCAGAAAAGTGACTCACTGATTAAGACAATTATGCAGTACAGTCCTTCTTTGAGTTCAAAGTTCACTGCTCATGGTATTGAAATGGAGCCAATAGCGAAGGATTGTTTTATTACAATCATGTCCAAGAGTCACAGAAATTTACAAGTTTTAGAATCTGGCCTAAAAATAAATGCTGATGAACCTTTCCTGGGTGCATCTCCAGATGGAATTGTTACCTGTGATTGTCATGAAGATGCAGTCCTTGAAATCAAATGTCCTTACAAATATAAGGATGGCCTTTCGAATTGGGAACTTGACAAAGACTTTCCTATTGACAGCAATTTTGCAATGAAAAAAGATCATTCTTATTACTACCAGATCCAGCTGCAAATGGAATTGTCCAATGTACATTTTGGCTACTTTTTTGTTTTTTCTCCTGCAGAAAAGGCAAGCCTTTTGTGTATTGTTGAAAAGGATGCCAACTTTGTTTCTAATTTGAAGCAGGTGTTATCAATGAAGTTTTATGACTGCATCCTGCCAGAGGTCGTAAGTCGCAAAATGGACTCTGATGTATCACATGATAGGAGATTATATTGTATTTGCAAAAGACCAGAATTTGGTAACATGATTTATTGTGATAATCCATCCTGTAAAATTGTGAAATTTCATTACTCGTGTGTTAATGTCACTAGAAAGCCTAGAGGACAATGGGTTTGTAATTCCTGTAGAACAAAAAATACAGTGTGTTAAGAAGCCACACTAGTTCATGCAACTGCTAAGAGGTAAATATTCTGCTAATAAACATTGGATAGCTTGTTAAAGCATCATCATTGCTTAGTGTTTAATTTAGTATGTTACAATTCAATTCATCCTTGATGTTATGAAAAGCTTTGCTAGAATATTTACCTCTTAATCTAAATAAAAAGTATATCAATTAATATGAATTATGTTACAACACTTTTGTTTAAGTTAACAGCTGCTGCAATCACTACCATAGCATCATCCAAAAGATCAATTTGAGTAAGAGGTATTGTGTTCTGTAAAATCCTAAATTTTTTCAATTGTCCAATAACCCTTTCCACATGAATTCTAACATTTGATAGTCTTCTAGAATCATGGACATCCTTTGCTGGTAATTGCTCCTTTCCTTTTGTAAATTTAGGAATTTTCAGAAATGACCCCCTAGAATTCAGCTCATTCTCAATCAGGAACCCCCGATCAGCCAAAACACAGTCCCCATATGATATCTTGTCCAAAAAGCCAGATTGTAACGTTATTTCCTTATCTGATACTCTGCCACCCCAGCCAGTAGATAAAAATATAACAGCACCTGCAGGGCTGATGGCAACAAGATACTTAGTGGTGTTATTGTGCTTATAATTAGACCATGTTTGAGCCCGGGCTGTCAAATTCTTTGGTCGTTCAACAAATATTTCATAACAGTCAATTATGCAGACACAGTCACTGTACTTTCTTCTGAATGAAGTTGGAAGATTCAGACGTAACTCTGGACGACTTGGCCAGACAATCAAACTTTGCATGGCTTTAGAAATTTCAGGCAGCCATTGTCTGTAAATCTTTGATACCATGGTTGGCTGTAATCCATACCTATAGGCAATATCTTTGTTTAGCAAACCAAGTCTAAGTTTCATTAACACCATTAAAACGTGATCCTCAGTTGACAATGACTTCAGACAAGTTTTCACCCCTTTCACTAGACTAACCACCCATAGGAACAAGTGTAGGTTAGCTAGACCAGTAAAAAATTTGAAATCATTCAATAATCTAACTTTTCTGTACCCAAAAGAATTAGCTTTTAGACTTTCATTTTCTTGACGCAGCTTGTAGACTTCACAATTTCTTTCATTTAACTCTGCTGTTAATTGTGCAATTTCATCTTTCAAATTTTGAATATCACCATTTTCATTTAAATTGCATTGTGTTGAAGCTTCCTTATGGCTTGTGATTTCTTCGTTTGAACCTTCAGATTGCTGGTTGCCAACTATACTTTCAATTTTATCTTCACAGGCAATCTTTTTGAGTCGTTTAGCTTCTCGACTTTCAAATCTTGCCTTTCTTTTTTGCCTTGCATCGATTCTAGATTGGGGCTCTTCTTTTGTAAAATTAAAAATTGTTGGTATCCAGTTTGGGGCTTCTGGATCGTCAGATCTTTTACCTGCATTGTAATGTAAAAATACAGATCAAAATGATGTTTTAACAGATAGAATTAAAAAAAGATCAGACATATATTCTAAGAGATTACTAAATTATCAAATAATGTTTGTCTTCCCCTGCGAAGCACAAAATATCAGTTGTGTCATTTCAGCCATTAGTCTGCAAATCATGCAAGGCTTAGACGAATATTCTTTGATATAACCAAATGTCTTGTTTTTGGTCAGAAAAAGACAATTAGCTTCTTATTTCATTTAAAAATGTAAGGAAATTATACTTTTTGAATGGTCGCATGAATATTAGTCGTTCAGTATTTACATTAAATCTATAATTATGCAACACCAATTTAGGCCGGGAGATGGCCCCGAACTTTACACCGTGAAACGAGAATGTTCAAGCGAAAAGACATCAACTTGCAAGTACTATTCCTTTTTAAAAGATTTACTTACCGGTAATGAAATGTTCGCCGCAGATTCGTGCACGAGATATTTGTTCGGGAGACCAAGATTTCCAGTCGTCCCTACGAATCGCTTTGATCCAAGCTTCTCTTCGCCGTTTTTCTATCTGGGTATTGCCCCTAGGAATTCGATAGAAAGGAAGATCCTTGTTTTTTCCAAATCTTTTGTTGGCGCAGCCCACCGCGCAACAGCTATCAGGCATTTTAATTTTCCTGGATGTTTCTTTTTCGATTTCGATGATACGATTTTGGAAAAGTTCAAGTTGTTTATATACACGATCAACTGTTGTCAAGGCACTTTCTACCTGCCAATACGCGCGCGCAACTCTGGTAGGCGGACGTATTCAAAACAAAGGCAAATGGTCTATAAGTAGAAAATTTGACATCAGCATTACAAATCAGCTTAGGTCTACTGATGAGCTTATTCTTCAAAATTTATATGGAAACATGAGTAAACATGCCACAGCTGCATGCAGGCTGCCTGGCATAAGCAGATATCGGATTTTTCCTAATCAATTCACATAGCTAGCTTGCTCACAAGGAGAACCTTTTAGAAAAACATTATCCATTTGAGTTACCTCTCTCTTCCTTTGGTACTAACTCCTTTGAATTCTCAGAAATTTTTACAAGTGCTGCATCTTCTTGATCTTTGTCCCATTCGACATTGTCCCTGGAATTGGAAACATTGTTACATTGAAAAAAAATATTTTGGTTTTTTGCCAATTAGGACAGCACATTTGTCAATAAAAACTAAGGCATTGGACATTTCCTGAGTCTAGAACCTATTAAAGATGATAGTATATCTCAAATCCACTTAATCCCTTATCAAAACTTTTCAGACAAAATGCATGGACTAGAAATTGTCAGTGCATTTTTACAGTGACATTTCAGCAGCAACTACGGCAAATCCTCAAGAAAGTGTCCAGTCTCTTATTTAATTTTTGAGCCTCAAAAGGGGAAATTATTCAAGCAAGGTGCTTATTTGATTTTTGTGGATTTCAAAGAAATCCAAAGAAAGACAAGAAGTAAAAGAGGGATTTAGAAAATAAAAAAGAATATAGTTTTAACAAATATATTTGAGAGTGTGTTAAAAAATGTTTCCTTGCTATTAAAAAATTGAACATAAAGATTGAAAATTATGTTGGTGCCTGTTTCTTAAAGAGGCTGAGTCACATGCCAGGCTGCGAGACAATGTTGTTGTGTTGATACTTGTGGATGCTGTTCAGTGGGAACACAGGAAAAAGAATACCCTAACAGTTTGTTTAGGGGAAGGGATATCATAGACCTTCCACATCTGTGGAAGGCCAGGCTCACAAACAATAACACTGTCAAAAGCGATTGTTCTAGAATGATTGAGACTTGGCAGCGTTGCTGAAAGCATCAACATTTTATGGCCTGCCCTTTTGTCAAACACATTGCTTTGATGATTGATAGCAAAGTATGTCTTACACCCAGAATGTCCCTCGCAAAATGACCCAGCAAGATGGAGGTGGTGGACACTTTTTGAGGAGCGTCTCATTTAATGATTTCCAGACTGGAAACTTTTGTTAATTGCACAAAAAAGTTCATTTTGAACCCATCCAGTATAGGGCACCCCAGTTCATGATCAGGCCCTATTGTATGGTTATGTATTTGGCAACACTTCGTTATTGGTGTTCGCTAAATGTCAAGGTTATTCACCAGCACTTCATGACTAGAACAAATCAGGAGGTGTTTTACGAGACCAATGTTGATTTGCAGGACATCATTTTCTTGGTTCGCCCATCGCTCGCTATGAGTATTTTGATTGGCTTTTAGAAATTCACAGGGTCAAAGTCATTTGGTTAAGAGAGGAGTAAGAAACAAAGAGGGGCTAGTTGTAAAACACTTTGAGAAACAGAAAACATTAATTTGTAAATTAATTGACGGAAATATTTTCACTTATTAGGATTGTTTTTAAAAAATTGATTATTCACAAAAATTTAGTAACTTTCAAAGTCTGTAAAAATTGTAATTTTCGGGTGCACCACAAGGGCGACTGGCCTAGATTTCCTCAATGAAAACAAACAATCGGTTGTTCAATTTGCCAATACTAGAAAACTGTTTTGAATATTGAACTTGGATCCTTACGGAATATGAAAGCATACATTTGGAAAGCTATTAATGGTATATATATTTTTTTTATACCTTGGTAAAAGTCTTTTTATCAGCTTTATTATAAAAAAGTATATATTAAATAAATTTAACCCGCAAATTCAAACTGTTAGGTAAACTTGGCCTGCTAGTGGATAGCCACAAGAAATAAAATTGTGTAATGTAGACATACCATGCATTATGTTTATAAACTTGTGATGGATCTGTGAGAAACCTATTACCAAACTGCTTTCTCTTTTCCTCTGAAGAGCATTCTGTAGTAGAAGGGGCTGAAGTCGCGCATTCTGCGGTCGCCATTTTTAGTAGTTTCATGAAGACGAGGCCGTGTCATGAACGAGGCAAAAAGCCTTTCATTTGTTTTTATGATGAAATAACATATCAACAAAGATTAAAAGTTTTTCAACTTGAGTCGAGTTAACAGATTGTGTCTCTCATATCAGGTATAATTCATAAATTGTCATAGGCTAAAAATGAATAGGCTCAAGGCTCAGCAAAAGTTTATATGCTCTTAGAAAAAGGTATGCACTGTCAAGAAAGAAAAAAAACCCCTAAAACCACAGAATACTAAAGCTCATTGTCATTAAGGGGAGGGGTGTGTTAAAGTCATTAGGGGGAGGGGTATGTTAAAGTCATTAGGGGGAGGGTTATGTTAAAGCTTAAATTATCTTCAATGTTGCTTAGCGGTGTTTGACGATTTTTGCTGAGACGAAACTGTTTAGCAACGAGTCATTCATAAACAACGAAACATAAAATGACAGATCATGATAAAAAGATAAGAGGAAATTTATGTCTAGATGCAAACTGCTAGTAGCATGAGAGGGAAATGAATGAATCGTTTTACTGTTATTAAAAATGACCCCTATATCTGTGGAGCAAAGTAAGGAGGTTCCAACAATTAACCAATTCAAGTATTAGAAGACTGGATATAGAAACTCTTATAGACTTTAGATCGTAGTTAATAGACTATAATTTTAAATATTATACTTTATTATTTTTCGTTGTGGCCCCAATTGGCTTCTAAGCTAAATACTTTTAACACCTTAATAAATATTCATAAAGATTTTGATCGATTGATTGATTGGTTTCCTTAAAGTTTTTGCTTTTGTAATGTCAAGGGGGTTTTTGTGTTGAAGGTTATGACCTGTTTTTTTTTGGTACAAAATAGTCTTTCATGAAAACAGGATTAAGGTAGTTTAGTGTTTTATAAACTTCGAGCGCTAAAATTCTAACTGATTGGACATGTATGGCAGTTTCTTTTGAGTTAGCAAGTAAATCTTTGTAAGAAGATGAATAGTCGGAATAGGCTAGTCTTAATGCCCTCTCGTTGATTTTCTCTAGCTTATCCTGACTTCCTTTTCCACATAGCATCCATATCAATGGACAATAATTGAAGTGACATAGTATAAATGAATTCATAATTATCTTTTCTTCTCTGACGCCCATAAATCTTGCCAGTCTTTTTAAAGAATTTAGCTGTTTAGCTGCTTTTTTACAGATCTTATCGATATGAGTGTCAAACTTTAAATTTTTATCAATCTGAACACCAAGCAAAGTAACGTTTTTCTCTATTCTAATTGCATATTTTTGGTCAATTTCAAACTCATTTATGCATTTATCTTTGCTACCGATTGTGATAGCTCGAAATTTAGAGGGATTTGCAATCATTTCTTTAGTTTTAAACCAATCAAGACATTTTTTGGTGTTAATTTTCACAAGTTGCAATAGTTCATCAGTATTTGTTGTAGTGACAGATATCGTGTTGTCATCAGCAAAATTACATAAAGACCCTTCAGTAAGGCTGTAAAAAATATCAATTAGGAAAATATTGAAAATTAGAGGTCCAAGTAATGATTCCTGTGGCACTCCTTGTCCAAGTTTACCCCAGGAGCTGTAATGACCTTTCATTTTGACTCTTTGCTTTCTATTAGACAGGTAGTTTTGTATATGTAAAAGAGAATTTCTATCTACACCATAGGCATGTAGTTTTGCTAAAAGTAGGTTTTTTGGTAGACAGTTCCTTTCCAGTTCTGTTTTCCAGTCTAAAGAGAGCGTGCTGGGAAGAAAACTGTTTTCTATATGCGCATAGGAATTTTGAACATTTTTCTTCAAGAAATGGAGAAAGTTGAAGCTCTATTGCTTTTTCAAATACCTTTGAAAGTGTCGTTAGTAGACTTATTGGTCTATAATTTTCCTTATTGAAAGAATCTTTTTTCTTCTAGACAGGTGAGACTATAGCCTTTTTCAAGAAGTTTGATAAAGTTCCTTGAATAATGCATTTATCTATGATGTTCAAGAGGGGCTGTAGGATGATATCAACTGAGATCTTTAGGAATCTTGCATATATCATGTCGTGTCCATGTGCCTTTTTGTGATTTAGCTTCATGATTATTTGTCTTAGGTTTTCTTTGGTTATCGGTTCAAAGCTTAAGGTTGAGTTAATTGTTAAGAAGTTGTTGATTGTTTTTATGCTTAATTGCTCTTTAAAGTATCCTATGATTTCAGTTATTGTTAAATTCTCAGTCCGGCCTTCATGGATTGAATTTGTGGTTTGACCAATGCTGACGAAATGGGCATTCAGAATCTCAGCAACTGACTGTGGATCATTAATAAGACAATCATTCTCAGAAATTGTGATTTCTGAATCGCCTAGAAAAAATTTAGTTTTAATTTTTTCCAAAATGTTTTGAATCTAGCATGCCTTCTCGACAGATTTTTGTAAAGAAATTAGACTAAACACGTTCACGAAGATTTGCACAATGATTTCGCTGTTCTTTATACTTTTGAAAACTGTCTTTAGTTCTATGTTTATTATAAATATTTTTCAGTTTCGTGCGTAACATTATTGCTTTTCGATGAATTTTGGTAAGAGGCTTATTGTTTGCTCGAACTATTTAGAATTTAAGAGGGGCGTGTTTTTTAACAATGCTACTAAAAATATCTTGAAAGCTATTGAATGCTTGATTACAATCTTGTTGATATTCACAAAGATTAAAAGGTGCTGCCAGCAAATCTTGACAGAAACCTTCCTCTGTCAATTCACTTAAATCTCGGTAATGTTGAATTTTAGGGTGGTGTTTAGGCAGAAACGATTTAAATGTAGTTAAAATTAATTTATGGAAATCAGTTAAACTAGATTCAATTGCTATGCTATTTTTAAAATGAATTTTACGATTTGTTAAAATTACATCATTTGATGATGGATTACAGTTTGGTTTGTAGCAGGTTGGTTCTTTTTTAAGGTTAGTGAGTCCAAAGGAAGATCATATTATTTTGAGGCTCCTCGCCTGGAACGTGGTACAGTACAGTAAAGCTACCTCGTAAAGTCAAGTACACAATATATGTATAAAATATCATTTATATATGAAGTGATACATGGAATAGCTAGATACCTATGATAAGCAACATATGTATAAAATATTATTTATATATGAAGTGATACATGGAATAGCTAGATACCTATGATAAGCAACATATGTATAAAATATTATTTATATGTGAAGTGATACATGGAATAGCTAAATACCTATGATAAGCAACAGTGTGTACATCTCATAATTCATCATACAAAGACAAATTTGTAATTTCTTCAAATGGCACTAGCATTTTAAAGAAACCAAAAATCAACGCAGCGGCAGATAAGTTGACAGATGCTAGAAAAATAAACAGCCATCTGGGACCAAAGTTTGCATATAGTGACGTCATCACCAGAGGTCCAGTAAATCTTGCAAAAGATCCAGCACACGAAGCTAAGGCCATATACAAACCCTGTTTAAATACAAAATGGGAGATTAATCATTGAATAAAGAAATATAAAGGAGATGCCATAGAAAGTTAAAGACAACAAAGATTTTATAGAACTTCTGATCATATTACTATCCCTTTCACAAGGAACTGGACTGCCGGGTAAACAGGGAAGACTTGACATGCAACATTGATAAAATATGACATAGACATAGAAACAAACATAGAAACATTGATAAAATATTCAGAAATGTAAGGAGTAAAACGTCGCTGGATAAAAGGACAACAATATCAGCATAAATAGACAAGCATACGAGCAATGTAACAACGTTTATTCTTGGTGATAAATAAACAATTTTGTTAAAAATATTTTTCATTCACAAAAACCTTTTGCAATTCATAATACACATCGTCAAACTGCAAAAGTATTTAACTTATTGATCTTAAAGTTATGGTCATAGCTTTGGGCAAACAAAGAAATGTATTCAATGTCTAACCTATCACGCTATGAAATTATTGGTCAAGTGCACAATTACTCTGAGCTACGGTGATAGACTCTCAAAAATAAAAAGTAGAAAACAATAAGTTTATATTGCAAAACAACGCGTGTTATCATTGTGCGCTTGTCTGATTTTAAATAAAACTGGCTACATGTCTTTAACAAACATTTTTTTCCAACCTTGAAAGATTTGATATGGTAGCATTACTGTTAAAAACAGCTTTTGACAAATCAATCCTGTAGACCAGGAAGAGGAGAGGGACAAGGCAATAGCCTTGTGGTATTACTATATAGTTATCAGAGTCTGCATTGATTCTAAATAGAAATTGCTTTTGATTTGCAAAGTAGGACCAGACCCACATAGATTCCCTATTTTGTAACATATTGCTAAGTTTTTGCAAAGGAATCCACAATTTAGCACACCATCAGAAAAGTTGCTTGTTGTTAGCATTCAGCGGGAAACATGGATTTGCAGCTTAGTACATTCCTGTTAGCTCTGCCTTCTTGGCATCAACAGTTATATATAAGAGCAGCAACAGTTTTACTTACTCTGTACTGTTAATATACTGTTAATATAAATGAATAGACAAACAAAACAAATCTGCCACGGGATTCTAGCTAACAACCGCATCACGGGCTCCTCCGCATAGCCAAGTAAGAGAATAACCAGAGTAGTAGAATATTTAAGTCTTAGTACTACATGTACCATTATCACCTTACCTGTTTTCTCGGTCCAATTATCTTTGAGTACAATGAATTGATAACCATCGATGGTAAAGCAAAACCAATGAAACCAATCAGCATGGCAATTATATATTGGGACAAATATATCTTAGGTGTGGTTTTACACCAGCTGTACCTAATTGGGCAGCCCTCGGACAAAACTGTCTTCGTCAAATTTCCAACATCTATTGTTTCTTGAATGGGACAAAAGAAAATGGTTTAAAACTACAAAGACAAATAAAGACATCTAGAATGATTTACTTGATGTGTTAGGAGAGCATGTTGGTATTTTCAAATATTTGCTAGCTTTAAGAAAAAGTTGCAACACCACTCTTCAAATTCGAAGGCCTTCAACACAACACCCAACCTCTCAGTCGTTGGCCAGGGATTGCAAATTACACTGAGAGAAAGATTGCTTGGACAATAAATCTATAACAATGGTCAATGCACAATTACACCATAAAAATAGCAGGTATAGCACACTCTTAGATATACACAGAAGTTACAATGTTAGGCGGACGTACCTTTGACTTGGAGTGGTGGATGCTCACTTCCCCACGGCAAAAAAATTATGAATGCGACGAGCATAATGACATATCCAGTCAGAAGCACCGTTCTTTCACGAATTCTTAGTAGGAAAAACAAACAAATTTCGTTTTGAAAACAAACAAATTTTGTTACATTTTTGTAACAAAAGCAAAGCACCGTGTACTTTCAAGTAATTTCCAGCAATGCCAGATTTAAGAACTATCATCTACTTGGAAAGACCTGGAATGTTTTTTTGGTGATCTTAAAATTTTCATACCTGTATGAGTTTTGGATAAAAGTATTCTAAAAAACTTGCCAAAACTTTTGCTTTTCCTTGTGATAGCGAAATAAGATATATTTGTTCATCGATTTAAATGAGAAATTTATAATGTTCTTTTATTTAAACATGCAGAAAGACGAACTTAAAAACACGAACCTGTTACTTGCAAATTTGATAACCCAAAATGTTGCCAAAACGATGACGGCTAATGAAGAAAGAATTATACCAGCGTAAAAAACGACTTTATCTTTGGAAAGAGCAAATTCATCTGCTATCAATGGAGCTGTCATCCTAGGTAGATGAAAACAGAACCTTCTTTACAAAAAATGTCATATTAACAAATGATAAAGAGGCTGCATTTTGAAGTAAACAATTTCCAAATTTTCCAATGTGAGGTCAAAAGACATCTGATATTTAACTCAAAAAAACAAGGTGTCTTCGTCCAATGTTAGGACGGATTCTTGGGAATAATGCTAACATTGCAATAATATACGTTAATATTTCTGCCAGATATTCAAATCACCATCATGATCTTATCCTTTTGTAGCAACGAAATCCTACTGTTATAGTAAAAATATTTTAGACACGCTTTGCTGTAGCTCGTCAGCCTAACGATTTACATAAAACCATTTGTGAAATCTCCAATCACTGCTCTACACAATCTTTCCCAACTTCCCCTTCCTCTATTACGCAAGTGATGACCAAAATATTGACTTGTCGTAGTCCTAATTAACAATTATGCATCAATTTTGCATAACAATGAAACATACGTACGTTTCGAGCATTGCAAAAACGGAGAAAAGCACGTAATAAGCCATTGTGGTAACCAAAACTGCGCCTGTATTTGGCTTTGGCAGATTTTCTAAGATTGAAAGCAACATTATTGTATCATTTCTGCAAGTAGAAAAAGTCAACTGAAGCGTTGCATGCATGACTAGATTTTCCAAAGAGCACTCACCATTACTAGCAAATACTTTTGAGATGAAATTAATTTAGCAATTTAGATCCATATGCAATTGCATTATGGTGTAGTCAAAACGCCATAACCCGGAAATGAGAGCCTCAAGCCAACGCGAAATAACGAAGCAACGACAAGAATACATGTGTAGATTTGTTTATTTTACTACTACCAAAAGTGAGATGTGAGTCTTGAAGTAAAGGTTTTGTCTTTCAAGGAGTATTAATTGACAAAAAACTTAACTGTCATCTTCTTCAAGTCATGATCACTGTGAATAGCAGTTTCTAGAAAAACCCGGGTTTTAATTCTATTAAATCCTTGTTGCTGAAGTGTGGGCAACAGAACATGATTGTTGTGGTTGTTTTGTTCCATGACCGCCTTTTTTAACCATCTTTTGTTCAATATAACCTGTTTTGTGCTTGTATGATACATAATTGTTTGCTTCTTCAATTATCTATTGTTTTCCAAACTCAAGTTATCCTTCTATTTTACCATTTGCCTTCAGCCTTCTTGTTAGAGTATCCATTTTACCTGCAGTAAATTTCCAGGTATAGTGAGCAACTTCCCCTATCTTTGCATTTCAGTCACCTTTCACGATCAGAAAATTAGTTCTTGATGCTACTTTGATAGCTTTAGTAAATGTTTCATACAAACCCTCCATTACAGTCTCATTTTAAAGGACTGCGATATTCTGTGAATTAGCTGCCAGATGTATGCGCATTACCATGCTTGCATTGCATGACGTGCTCGTTGAATGACAGATTCCCATCCAATTTAGAAGCAATTTCATGCATTTTATGCATTCATGCAACAGAATAACAATTTCAAGCCTTCCTCTGTTCTTATTATAGCTGTCAAGGTCATCTGACTTACATTTCTATTTCATGAGACTACTCTGCCAATATGTCCTGTGCATTAAAGCTTTTTACATCCGGAATTCCAGTTGTCAACTCTTGCAAAAATTGGTTTAGTATTGATTCAATTATTTAAGTCAGTAACCTCTAAATTCCGTTATTGCTAGAATTCCAAAAGAAAATTCGCATCAGCCTAAATCAAAGCTAGAACTTGAAAAGTTAATTGAAGATTACAAGAATATTTTGTATTTATGATTAGATGCCAGAGAAAATAGGTAATGACAAGTTGTATATTATGAGCAAACAAAGAATAGCTTGCATGACAATACCTCGGTTGTCATGCACGTCAATGTTGTATTCTTTGAACCAGATGAAAATCAAAAGAATGTTGATGATTTCCACCACTATTCCGATCCATCCAGGAATATTGAAAATATCAATATTCAGACCAAAATAATGCAGTCCTTTGCCAACCAAAGGAACGGCTGCAGATTGGAAGGCTAGAAGAGAAACGAGACTTTGACAAATACTTTTTTCACACCAAATGCCACAAAACAATATCATTTTGTTAAAAAGGTCACACAAATTTATCCGCGAGACCGAGTGCCGACCTGATGCCGAGAGGCTACATTAGCTGATACATACAGTATGCTCCCGATAACTCGATCCAGTATGCTCCCGATAACTCGATCCAGTATGCTCCCGATAACTCGATCCCCCGATAACGCAAGCATTCACCATCTTGAAACAATTTTCGATTTCCATATGAATTAATTTTTTAGATAACTGGAACTTTTTTAATGAACAAGACAAAATAACAAGAATATGCGAATCAAACTAGTGTTTTTCGATTCAGCAAATCAAGTTTTCGTCTCAAAGAAGAAACAAATTTGTTTTTGTTAGAAAAATCTGAGCAAACTGATATTCGCACCATTTTTCAAGTCAAGAACAATCTATGAACTGATATTTCAATCATCTGTTCCATTCTTATCACAAATCTTAAAAACAGAATGGATCGAGCAACCTATTGTCTGCGATTCACAATTACTGAAGCGCGGGCTTTTTGACTCCGCTATATTGGAGGAGCTTGTTTTCAAATTTAGCGGGAAGATCTCGAGAAATGCGGCGATGGAAAAGCAAGGTACCGAATGCGTCGCTTACGGCTACAATAAAAGGAAAAAGAACATTAAGGACTCTAACTACGAATGAAATGATAGCAAGTGCAGTAACGATGAAGGAACATAAAGAAGCGGACCTTGCCAAGAACTTTGCAAAAGTGAGGTGAGTTAGGCCCTTATCTAATCGTTCATATGGTTTTTACATTTGCAAAAGTATTGTATCTAAGATGATGTCGAATATATGGTTATTGGTCATAAACGACAAACCAACCGTCTCCTTGGCCAACTAGAAGTAAATGTAAATGGAGAGCCAATCAAACGAGCTCAAAAGGTAAAATACCTAAGAATTACGGTCGACGAAAACCTGACATGGAATGAGCAATATAAAAACCTTAAAGGTAAAATAAAAAATGCACTCTCGTCCCTGTGGAAACTAAAGAACATACTCCCGCAATCGAAACTGGATCAGGTCTATGAGGCGCTGCTCGAGTGCCATTTGAGATACAGTGATGAACTATGGGGCAAATTGTGAATCACAAAGCTCGTTCATCTTCAGCGTTTACAAAACAGAGCGCACACGCTAATAGAAGGCTCAAGATTAAAGGACGGGTGGAGCTGCAATTGGCTTTCGGTCTCAAATTTGATAAAATTTGACAGGGCAGTAACGATCTACAAAATAATAAATGGTCTCTGCCCTGAAAATTTAAAAGGAAAACTTGTCACAAGATCCCAAATATCTAACTATTCAACAAGAAATTGCCTTCACCTAGACATCCCAAGGCAAAACCTAGAATTCTCCAAATGGAGTTTTTTCTATTGTGGTGCACAGACGTGGAAGGAAATTTCATTACAGATAAGAATGAGCTCAACGATTACTACGTTCAAAAAGAAACTAAAGGAATTCCTGCAAAATTAGCATCCTTTCCCGAAGCACGATCCCTAGGAAGACCAGCATTATATGTAAATTAATCTTTACTTTTTCTTTTTTAACTTAGTAGCTGATAGGGTTTCTGTGTATAAATATGATAAAATGAAATGAAATATCATAAAACTCTTCCAAGAATCTCAAATCTAAGGCTTTCCCAGAAGAGTCTGGGATCCGTAGCCGGCCAAGCATTCCTAAGAACATGCACTACACCCACCACTGTGGTACTGTGATATTTGAACATCAAAGGCACGATTCGATTTTCACTTCCGTCAGGTTTTATTCTTCATTTGAAACTATTAGATATTCCCAAAGTAAAGAGAGAATCAGTTGCAAACAAACCAATCAGTGTAATGGGACAATGACTATGGAATGACATTTCTTATGCACTAAAACAGTACGGGGATATTGAAACATTTAAGAAAAAGTTAAAGAGAAAGATAGAGTTAAAGTTAAGAAACTGCGAAGCGCACTTGAAGATTTTGCGTCAAGTATATATGGAAAAATCTTTTTATATATAAATATATTAAGTGATTCATTTGTAATTGTATTTGTAAAGAAGCCACTACAACAAAGGCAGACAAGGTACTACCGATTCTGATTTACCATCAGAATGCTAGTAGAAAGAGCATTGGAAATGCAGACTGATCTATATATCTGTTATATTGACATTGGATAGGGTGAAACATGAAAGTCTATTTGCTCTGTTAGAACAGCTCGACCTAGATGAAAAGGATCTGCGAGTAATTCGGAACTTGTACTGGGAGCAATCTGCATGTATCAGAGTAGGAAATCATTACAGTAAAGCCTGGTTTCCATTAAATCGCAAATGGGTAGAGAATACACACCCTTGCCTTACACCTCTTTCGGCCTATGTGAACTTAAGCCTGGTTTCCATTAAATCGCAAATGGGTAGAGAATACATACCCTTGCCTTACACCTCTTTCGGCCTATGTGAACTTAAGCCTGGTTTCCATTAAATCGCAAATGGGTAGAGAATACATACCCTTGCCTTACACCTCTTTCGGCCTATGTGAACTTAAGCCTGGTTTCCATTAAATCGCAAATGGGTAGAGAATACATACCCTTGCCTTACACCTCTTTCGGCCTATGTGAACTTAAGCCTGGTTTCCATTAAATCGCAAATGGGTAGAGAATACATACCCTTGCCTTACACCTCTTTCGGCCTATGTGAACTTAAGCCTGGTTTCCATTAAATCGCAAATGGGTAGAGAATACATACCCTTGCCTTACACCTCTTTCGGCCTATGTGAACTTAAGCCTGGTTTCCATTAAATCGCAAATGGGTAGAGAATACATACCCTTGCCTTACACCTCTTTCGGCCTATGTGAACTTAAGCCTGGTTTCCATTAAATCGCAAAGTGTTGCAAAGTGTCGTAGCGTGTCGCAGAACCTTTTTGTGTGCTACACTCTGCGACACTTTGCAACTCTCTGCGACAGGGTGTCGCAGAGATAGAATTTTTTCTATCTCTGCGACACTGATCGCAGATTGTTGTAGAGTGTCGCAGAGCCAATCATCTGTGACACGCTACGACACTTTGCAACACTTTCGATTTAATGGAAGAGGTGTAAGGCAAGGGTGTGTATTCTCTACCCATCGTATCTTTGTTTAGATAAATAGACGTATTGAACAAGCACGGGGCTTTAATTAAAGGAAAAAAGACCTAAGTTGTGTCAAAAGTAGCACGTACGATTAGAAAAACAAAAATGATCACAAGATAGAAGTCAGATCAGAACAATTTCGAGCGAGCGGTTGCGAGTTGAGAGGGAAAGGTTTCAATAAACAAGCAAACTGTAATTGGAATAGTAGCACTGTTCTTTCTTTTCGTCCTAATTCTATCAAATTCTTTGTTTCCATTGACTTTTTATGATGCAAGTTTAGTTGCTTACCCGGACCAACTGCGTACCCAAGTACTTGCATTCCTGCCATAACTGCAAACGCGCCCTTTCTTTCGTCTTTTGTAGTTGCCTGAGAGAGAACCGCGCGGCAAACAGCCATGTCGCCTAGAAATAAAGCGCAGAATCATATCAACGAGCAAATCAAAGGGGTGTATGGACGGCCAAGAATTATATGAAATCGTTTTAGCTTCCAATTTTTTGTATCAAAACAGATTTCAAACATGTTCTCATCAATAAAAGGAACCAGGTTGTTAGAATGGAATTTGTACCTGTTGACAGGCCAACAATGAGTTTTGACACTAGAATCAATATTTTTCCACCATTGCCAGGGCAGTTTTCTGCAAAGACATATAGAAAGTTTCCAAGAAAGCGCAGGGCAGCGGCAGCTACAAATGGCTCGATGGCTGGGCGGTACAGGCACCAAATACCAAACAGAAATGAACCAATCATCTGACAAATGCTGAATCCACCAGCGACGATGCCAAGAAACTGGGCACTGACCTTTTTGTCAACCTTCGGGTAACATAAACACAGTAAATGAAAGGCCTGCTTCGGATTTCAGAAGAATCTTTTTGCTTAATTGATGCTACATCTAATCGTTATTAAAGAATTAATAACTATTTCTTTGAGTAAATGACGCTTGAACCACCTCTAATTTTCATCTGTATAAGAGGACAGTACGTCAAATTAAATAAGTTATAAACTATTTTAGTTTTCTTGACTTTAGCTTCAAGTCTTTTCTCCAAGTAGTCTTTTTCAATCTTTCTAACTGGTTTTTATTATAAAAGGTTTATCCCCGTGTACAAAGGAATTTTTAAACTGGGGAACGTAAATCTCAAGCAATAATAGGAAGGTAAGGACAGTGGCCTTGGAAAGGACAGTGGCCTTAAAAAGGACTCTAAGGAGTGCCAGGTTGAAAAGCACCGACAACTTTTACTGACAAAACAAACGCTACGGTCGGCTTTTTGAAAATTTGAGGGCTTTTCAAAAGTGACCTTGAGGAAGGGTTATTATTAATATTTTGCTTTTTTATCCAGGGCTTTTTGTTGAAATTGATTTTTTCTAATCACCAATAAAACACAATATAAGTAATATGACTTCGATAAAGTTGACAATGCTTTAGAAAGTTTTTACTTTCAATTCATTCTATGCTTCGAATTATGTCTCGGTTGCCAGACTTCAATGAGAGATGAATGAAAACTTTTACCTGTTGTAGATAAGGCCAAAGTGATGGCAAAGTGATTGAATATTCTACAGGGAATTTAAAACAGAACGGTTGAAAATATTTCTATTTTAGATTAAAACCAGATAATAAAATAATCACACAAAGTTTTGGCAAAACGACTAATCATTTCGCTAACTTTTTCAGTTAACTATATAATGTTTTAGTAAAATTTGCTTTGATAAATAAATGATAAATATTTGCTTTGCAAAAAAGATTCGATTCACAACAGATTTTTTATTAAAATATAAAGTAACTCGGAGCGAGCTAAGAACATTTTTGCCTATCGAAAGAGTGTCGACAAGATATGCTGCAGTACAGTTTGCTTTACTCCACTTTTAAGTGATGTCTTCAAAGTAAATGAAGTATATGTAATTTACCCATCGCACTGAGCAACATAGTTATGTAAATGATCTTTATGGATCTCCATCTGACTTTGTCTTCTTGTAATGCCTTTTTCTTGATATCTTTCTCCCTATCACTTTTTGCGCAATCTCTGCAAGAGAAAACTGTTTATCATGTTATGTTCAGGAAAAGTCTAAGAATGGAAAAAGCGACAGTGGACATGCATACACCAATACCGGAGTAACAGGGGTTGGAATAATGCTAGTTTGGTCTTTTTGTAAAGCGCTGAATGGTAAATGATACCACATCTAATGACCTTACGTTGATCCTTAAAATGTAGATGATGAGATGACAAAATAATTTACGCGCCTGCATGTTTTTAATTCTTGGTTCAACTAGGAATTTGTAGAATTTAGGAAAATACGCAAATTTTTTGCAATATCTTCAATCTTCAATGCCATCATATGTTAATACAAATTGAAAAATTCTACTTCATTTCACCTTTTTCCAATAATGAGCCTTTCTTAAAAAATTATTGTTATCATAATTTCTAGGATGCAGCTCGATTCTCTCTTCGATAAAATAAAGCGAAAGATTCGATAAAATGAGTTATTGACCGCTAATAGGCCACAGGATCACAATTCAAATTCACATAAGCCCTGTTTACACTACAACTTTTAACCTGGGTTGAACCTGGGTTAGCGTTAACCCAGGTTAAAAGTTGCAGTGTAAACAGGGCTATAGCTTAGCAACCAGGACACCGATGCAACCAAAAATACAGATATGATAGTTACTTTTGAGAATCAAGAAGTCTTTTTGTCTCCATGACTGAGTCGATCAATCTCCTTCCTCTGCTATATTTCTTCCCGCGATTACTCCAAACTTGGAAAGATTACTCCCTGGCAAAGTGAAATATCAACATGTAATAGTCCTGGAGCCCACCACAGAAGATTTCACCCCATTTTTTACAGAAGGTTTGACCTCATTTTATTGTTTGTATGCGTGCTTGGATGAACAAAATGTTGATCGTCTCAACCAAACCTGGGGGGTCTTGGTACCACAGCCTCCCATAAGTTGCCCCAAAGGAATTTTTTATCTCAAAAGCTACAGGTCTGAAAATGTACCGCAATGTAACGGAAACACCAGTGTTGAAGAAGAAAAACAAAAATAACCAAAAGGTTTGCAGGCCTTGTAGTAGTTTTTGAGGGTGGCGACGGGACTGGGGCCCTGAAGCGTTCAAATTGCTCAATCAAAAATTTTTCCCTTTAAAAGGTTTTCCAAATTTTCCAGCAAATCCAGTTGAAACAAGATATCTTGAGATTCAGAAGTGTGTACTTCCTGTGCACCTCTTCCGTATCGATAAAGAAAATTGAGATGCTTCCCTTTCACAACCTCTAACCTCATCCACTTTCATCCCTTGCCTGCGGTTGTGCGGCACGGTCTAGAATAGTCTTTGAATTTCTTCTATATTGAATTAAATCGTAGCATTGTGTATGGGGGCCCGTTTAGTTAAAAAGTACTTTGAATAAATATAATGAAAGTTAACTACATTCATGCGTCTTGAACTAAATTCGGTGTACTTCAAATGCTATTAAATGATACAAAATTAATAATGGAAGTTTTTCAATAAATTGTCGTAGGTACTAAAAGTTAATTATTAGACATAAAAATAATTGAATATTGTGCAAGCTAAGAATTAATTGTTGGACAGTTATTGCTACATAGTTATTGTGGAAGTCTTCCACGGCTATTCCTGACACTCGAATCCTGAGTAAAGCACGGACAAAACTCCACTGGACAATATGCCACTCAGACTAAATATCCTGTCGGGTTTTTCATAAATCATGCCTGTTGAGATGTGACTTATATTTACCTATGTATGAACATGAACATTTACCATTATGAAGCATTATCCTTTCAGTGGTGCCTAGTTTTCTGACCGCGCACCACGTTTTTAGTTAGTTCGATTAGCAAGATGGCAAATATTGTTATGTTAACAATAATCCAATGAGTTTTCTCTAAGTTTTACCTCCGTTATGAGTACAGATTTAACAGGTTATGGGCCAAGCTCACAGTGGAAAAACTTGACATTCGATGAAGACGAGAGAACATTTGAAATATGGGAAACGAAGATTTTGGGTTATATGAAGTTGAGAAAACTCAAAGACACTCTTGTTGAAAATGGTGAAGTGGATCAGGACAAAAATGAAATTGCCTTCGCCGAGCTCATAAAATTGTTGGATGAAAGATCTCTGCCTCTTGTGATCAGAGAAGCGAAAGACGATGGGAGAAAAGCCTTCAAAATTTTGAGAGACTTCTATGCCGGAGACAGTAAGCCTCGTGTAATTACACTATTCAACCAGTTAACATCATTGAGGAAAGCTAACCTAGAAAATGTCACTGACTACCTAATTCGTGCTGAAAAGGCTGCTATGGCATTGCGATCGGCAAATGAAGAAGTAAGTGTTGCTTTATTGATAGCCATGGTATTAAAAGGACCAACCGATGAATATAAACCGTTTATTGCTATTATAACGCAATCTGAAACTGTTGATACTTTTCAGAGATTCAAGCAAGCATTACGAAATTTTGAAGAAATGGAGATTATTCGCTCATCAGGTATTTCAAAGAAGGGTTCTGTCTTAAAATCCAAAGAATACAAAAAGCCGCTCACATGCTATAACTGCGGTGTTGCCGGACATAAATCTGCCGAATGTCGTAGGCCTAAGCAATCAAAATGGTGCAATACTTGCAAAAGCACATCAAATTCAGATCAATCATGTCACAAACAAAATAATAAGAAAATGCATGGAGCTGACCAGGCAAAGAAAGCTGCTGATGATTATTATGATTAGCACTCATTTCAATATATGTTTAAAGTCAATGATAACAACAGTTTATATTTGGAGACCGATAACAATTGTTTACTCGTAGACTGTGGAGCCACTACCCATGTTGTAAACCATGATTCAAATTTGATCTCGGAAGACCCATCATTTATCTATGATGGCTCACAAGGGACATGCAGCATGTACTAAGTTTTGCACGCACACAAAAGCAAAGGAGGTTGCAAAATGAATTTCACATGCACAAATTCATTTACATGATCACAAAATATAACTGCAGCACACTAAGTAAATGTTGCAGCATACACTAAGTCTGACCTGCAGCATACACTAAGTCTGACCTGCAGCATACACTAAGTTTGACCTGCAGCATACACTAAGTCTGACCTGCAGCATACACTAAGTCTGACCTGCAGCATACACTAAGTCTGACCTGCAGCATACACGATGCTGCTGCAGCATGATCAATGTGGATCGACGAGGAAACGATCACTGAATTCAAGTGGTCGGTGTGATTGTCACAGAAATCAATCAAATGAATCAATTACAGTGATCAAAAAGTAATCGAGGCAAAAAGATCTCGACAAACTGCTGGTTGCGAAGTGTCATTTGCGGCGTTTATGGAGGCGAAGGGGAAAGAAAGGGCTGCTGGTTTCAAAGCCAAGAAAACACAAAAAAGCAAGTCACAGCAACCATCTGATTCAATGTTCAGATCGGAATTATGCAGAAAAAAGATGGACTTTGGCGCATTGCCAGGGGCTCTTGCTTGCCCCTCAAGATTAGCCCAAGCGTAGGTGCTGAAGAGCTGCTGGCAAAAGCACTCGAGAAAATTGTCAGTTTCAACCAAAATGTATTCGTGACACATGATATGGTAACCCTTGTTTATCCAGATAGAACGGAGGTGAAAAATTTACCTGGCAGCGCAGGACAATTCATTTTAAAAAAGTACAAAGAGGAGCCGGGAAAACCATATTCCAGAATTTATTTTTATTTGACTAAAACGTCAGACTTTTTTGAAGCTCATGCTAGATGAAGCATACAGCCCCCCCCCCCCCTCGGAGACATTCAAGAGGTAGGATTTTAAAAAAAAATTATTTCCCAAAGGGTACTTGTATGCTTTATCCATATACACTCTTTATTCATAAGAACCAGTAAATTTAGGTTCAGGCTGTTTGTTCTTAATTTTTCGAAAATCCGAGGCTGAATTGTTCTTGATTTGTTGTTAAATTGATAAGGTGTACGCAGTGCAATATCGATTAAACTTTAATTGGTCTTTCTATTATTTTTCTACGAAAAGTTATTAAAGGAAAACCGGAGGGCTGTTTTCACAAATTGCACGTTTTTGTCAAAGTTTCGGAGACTTTCATATTAACTGGAATTTTTATTTAATTATGGAAATATGAAAAAATAGTAAAACTATGGTATTTGTGATGCTTAAAAATTAAATCAGTCCTACAGATTTAGTTAGTTAAAAGTTATCAAAGGAAAACTGGAAGGTAGTTTGCGTGCGAATCGTCAGAGCGAATCGTCAGGCCTATATAAATCAGGTCAGACTTAGTGTATGCTCCAGGTCAGACTTAGTGAATGCTGCAACGTTTACTTAGTGTGCTACAGCTATATTTTGTGATCATGTAAATGAATTTGTGCATGTGAAATTCATTTTGCAACCGCCTTTGCTTTTGTGTGCGTGCAAAACTTAGTACATGCTGCATGTCCCTTGTGAGCCATCATACTAAAGAGAGGATCCATACTGATTAAATTACATAACAAAGAAGGTAAAGCCGTTAATGTGTGGCTAGTAATGTACTTTACATTCCATCTTACCCGCAGAACATATTTTCAGTACAATCTGCAACGAAAAGAGGAGCTCCAATTAAATTCTACCAAAACCAAGCTGAATTGATTGCCTCAGACGGTACAATATTTGAAATTGAGCAGCGAGGACACTTATATTATCTGTACCAGAGCTCCGTTAATCAACAAAGGAAAGAAAGCTTAGAGACTTGGCACAAAATCTTAGGCCACTGCAACATTGAAGTTGTTATAAAGCTAGAGCATGTTGTAAACGGAATGCATATACGTGATCAGGGAACTTTCGACTGCGAAATATGCACTCTAGCTAACAAGTCCAACCAAAGAAACCACGAAGCTGATACTCGTGCAACCAAGCCATTCAAGCTGGTACATACCGATTTGGCTGGACCAATTGATCCGATTGCAAAGGGTGGATTTCGTTACGTGATTATTTTTACGAATGATTATTCTGGCTGTTTATTTACCTATTTTCTGAAGGAGAAATCTACTTCAGTTGGAAATCTCTAAATTGGAACGTCGTTCCAGGCTTTAAGAGCAGAGTAGTTAAAACTTTTTTTCACATGCTCTGTATTTGTTCTAGGAATATTCAGATCCCTACAGTACCTTGTTGCATAGTTTGGTTGCGAGGATCTTTACTGAAACTTACCCCAAAGGCTTTCTGGGCTTAATTTCTTCATAATCTTATACGTCATGACCGATCGATCGAATCGAATGAGATTTTCAACGCTCAACCAGTTACACGTCCAGTTTTCCATTATTGATCGAGCGCGGTCCTGCAGACGTTGGAGGGCATCAAGTTTAGTTTTTGGGAGGCTGCCCCAAATAACGTTAGCATACCGTAGGTGACTTTCGACAGTGGCGTAGTAGACACTGCAAAGTTCTTTTTGGGGAATTGTATTTTTTAACATTTTTAGTGACCTAAGCCCTCCACAAACTTTTCTTTTTATAACTTTGTATTGCTCGTTAGGGAATTTACCGTTTGTTAGGGATGAATTGAATATCATCGACAAAGGCTTTGACAAAAGGTCTGCCACATCTTTGACAACCGTTATGGGTATCTTGTCTGGACCGGCTGCTTTTCTATTTTTTAGCTGTTTGATTGCATTCAGTATAAAAGCATCATCAATTGTTTTCAATTCCATTTCTTTTTGTACTGGTTTGATGTTCTGAAGACAATCGTCCCAAGTGCCTCTAGAATATCATTCTCTCGAATGGGATGTTAACCATTTACCATTCATTCATGGTATTCCACATTTTCTTTGGATTTTCTACATTTTCATTGATTAGGCCGTGATAATAATCTGTTATTGCACTGCGCATCTCTCTTGTTACTTGATTATGCAATCTTTTATAAGCATACCACTTTCTAGTGATTTCTCAGCTTCCTGTTTTAGTATTTCCCTTTTTATCATTAGATTTTTGAGAGAAATAGAGAGCCAGGGAGCAAATTGGCTACGAACCCTCTTCTTTCTTACTGGTGCATGAAGATTAAGGATTGATTCGAAAATCTCCTGAAACGTAGCTGCCATACCAACAGGATCATTATCAAGTGGACTAAGGATATTTGCCTAGTCAATCTTATCTAGGTCCTTACGGAATAGCATTTTATCATATTTTTTCATGCTGCGAGACACGACAACTTTTTGCTTATTTATTTTGCGCCGCCAAGCATTTATTTTCCGTATACAATAAATCAGATAGTGGTCAACCATCCCGGTCTTTACTACATCTGCCTCTAGAATATATTCTGGACTGGAGGAAGAGAAATGGTCAATGAGCATTTTAGTTACGGTTTGCTCGCCAGATTCAGTGGTTGTCATAGCAACCTTGGGTTAGGGTTAGGGTTGTCATGTCATAGCTCAGAGTAAATCAGCTTAAGCTTTTTAGCATTCGCATTTTTTACGCATTTCATATCACAGTTGGTGTCACCAATCAAAATTAATTCTTTTTCATCTTTATCTATTCCTTTAAGAATCCCCATTAAGTTCTCAAAAGCAGTATGCTCTACATTAGGAGTCGGGGGGCGATACCAGCAAACAATAAAAAAAGATTTTGCGATATAATTAGGTGATACTTCAAGAGTGAGGAGCTCAAGTTTATCACTACTCAGCTTAATTTTAGGCTCAGGGAGATTTTCTTCAACGTACATTGCTACCCCGTCCCCATTCCTATTTCTGTCATTGCGGTAGATTCTGTATCCTTCAATAGAGACGATAGAGTCTTGGATATTTTTGTCAAGGCGTGTTTCGCTTAGGCCAATAATATCGATATCATTGTCGCGAAGGATTATCTCGAGCTCTGATTTATGTTTTCTGAGTGAAACTATAATTAAAAAGGCAATTTTTAGACCGTTTCTCTTCCTTCGGCGATTGATATTGATATTTCTTCTATCCGAGCTAATGTCCCCCTAACAGTATTTAATGAACTTACCCAGATTTGCTGAGTATTTGCAAACACCTCCATCGTTTAGATGGAGACCGTCTGTCCATAAATTACTATACATGATATTATTATTGTCGATAATATCGATACCTCTAATGCACAGTTCTTCTTTCAGGAGTTTGTTAACTTGCGTTGCTTTTGCATTTAGAGCTTGATCGTCATTTCTTTTGAAGATTGATGAGTAAGCCAAGTGTGCTGTTGGATTGTTTTCTTGTACCTTGTCGAGTGTTGTGACTATCATTTCAGGAACATTTTTTGGTGTCTTGTCCCGGAGGTTATTGGTGCCTGCGTGTACTACAATTACGTCGAATCAGCGCTTTTCTCGATCCTTTTGTTTATTTCTTCAATTTTCATTCCTGATTTCAATCGCACTTCCACGTCTCTGTATGCATTAGTGAGCTTCTCCCCTTTGACATTTCTTGAATTAGAGTCTCCAACTATAAATATCTTGAAATTTTTGTTGGGTTCTGGCCTTTTATTGTCCTTTCTTTTTGTACCGATAGATTTGCGTAGCTCTTAGTGTTTACTTGGTTTTGTGTCAATGCTCCTTTTGGCTGCTTGTTTACTTTTTGTCCCCTTGTTTGCAAGTCTTTGTCTTGATTCAACGATCTCATTGTCCCTGATATCTTCTAGCACGATGGAGCTCTTTACATTATCACTGGCTTTTTCCGCTGATACTAGACTGTTATTGTTTTCAGCAGTTTTGACATTCATTGGTCGTCGCGCCGTTCATTGGTTTATCGAAACAAAGATCGAAATTTCTATTTCAGTGAGTTTTCATTTCGTAACAAAGGACGCTTAATGATGCTAATGATGAGTTGTTCTAATTTGTCACGCTTCTCTAATTTCGAGGACCCTCGAAATTCAACATAATGAACAGCGCGACACACTGCCTTTTGTCGGGACTTATAATCTAGTTTGCTTTTCTTAGTTTTCTCAATTGAGTTTGTGTAGGGACTCTGAATCAATGTCATCTCTATAATCCTCTGCTTCTCATGGAGCTGCTTTTCTAACGATTGTATTCGGGCCTCTAGGTTATTGATTATGATGCGGCAGAAGGGATGATCGGGATGATCGACCACTGGGGTAACATGAAAACATTTAGTCAGCCTATAAATGATCCTTCCAAGCATCAAGATGAACAAAGCTGTAGAAGGGGTTCGAAAATTTTAGGATAAACACTTTGTTATTTAATATTGAGAATGGCTAATTAACGATCAAATGGGTTGAACGAACATTAAAATACAACAGTCGCCCTTGTCAAATGTCTCAGTCCCGTCCATCCAATGCATTGGTATCTTTACCCATGTGAATTTAAATTACTATTTCTTGTTTTAGGGAAGGGTAGAAAGTTGCTGATTTATTGGCGAACAGAGACTTCTTTCTGTGAGTTATGAAAGTATTTTTAAAATTTGGTGCACGAAATTTTTGATCTTGAGATTTTGCAAGAATATGATAGAGATATCATGAAATGCTAGATGTGGTTGGAGAGCAAATTCTTGAAATAAGTATGGTTTAACTCAAAACTGAAGTACCTTATCCATAGTTATCCAGACAGAAGCACACAATGTTACAGAGGACACAATTGTTTCGCTACACTTAAAGAAAACATTAGCTAAAAACCATAAAAAAACTCACGGCCCTTTTCGACTTAACTCCAGGCAGAGAAGAATGGAAAGACTCGTACTGATCACGACCGAACCTCTTCCGTCAGCACTGCAAACTTCAGATATATAAATGCCTGTCACCAATTAATAACAAAAACCAACCAACTGGAGACACAAAAAGAACTAGAACCAAAAGAAAGCGTTTTTAAGCTAATTGAAAGAAACCACGACAATTAATAAGGAAAGGCGCGTCCCAGAAATCTTTGCCAAATATTTTCAAAATCTGCAAACAATCTTTTGATGGTACAAAACTTGTAAATGGCTTTGATAAAAGCAAACATTTAGTAAACTAAAGCTTTCAGAGTTTAAAACGTCAGAACATAGATCTAAAACTCTACGCTAAGAAGTATATATACCCAGTTGTGGATCGAAATAGGCCAATCAGAAACACGAGCACATGACTGTATAGGTTGACCAATCAGTACCGCTTGCCTATTAGAATGTTACCAGTGGAGTCCTAAGGTGAAAACGAACTCCTTTTGTCTACACAGTAGCGGTTTTTTCGTGCTTATGTAGATAGATTCTAAAACTGCTAGGTGGAACGACGATCGGGCTTTACCAATAATCCGAAACATGTCGCCATTGTAGTTTTTTGCACAATCTGGGTTTTCTAGTAGATGCTGCCCGATAGCAGAATCGCAGGTTTTAGTTGTAATTTCAGATTTGCAAGACCGAGGTGGCTGTTCTGATGTTTGAAACTCTGAAGGATGTCAGACGAAAAGCTTTAGTTTACTAAATGTTTGCTTTTTTCAAAGCCATTTTCAAAATCCTGCGAAAGTCGAACTTCTTCAACACACAATCTCTGATTTAGAACAAGGGTGGGCAACCTTTTTGGAGAATGGGTCAGATCCTTCAAGCCTTTTCTTTAAGCAGGCCAAGTGTTGTAATAATTGATAAAACGAAAACGATAGTCTTGTAATAATTGTGTAAAATAAAAAAAACTAATTAACCGCGGGGAAGGAGCGAGCGCCTGGGTGTGAGGAGCTTTAGAAACATGACTTTTACTATTCTTACGAACGAGCGTGCAATGAGAGTATATAGCCAGTTTGTTATTGTTTTGTTACTTTGAAAGAAGAATATTACGTTCTATTTCGAGTTTTTTGTGAGTTTGTCGCCTTACCTTGTTCGCGATATAGTGGCACCGTCCAGATGGGAGAAGGTGAGAATTGAGTGAAATTTCATGATAAGTGAGTTCAAGACTGTGAATTCAAAGTGGTCTTCGTGGAAGAGTTTGTCAAGAAAATCGACAAAAAGCTTGGATTTTCATCGTATCTGAAGAAAGAAAATGACAAAATCATGCAGAGAAAGGATCAAAAGAACATCGAGAGACAGTCTAGTGTAGCAGAAACGCTAATAAAGGACACTATACTGCACATGACGTCTTTCCTGGCAATTCTGTGATTGTGGTATAGTAACTGCTCCGAAACGCAGATTTGGCGAGATATATTATATTATTATAAGGAGCAAGAAGGAATTGTAGAGAAAGTTACATGTCAGAGCAAAGAAGGAAGAAAGTTTTATTTGCCTCACCGAGCCATAGTAAGAGAGTCAGCAGAGTCAACCAAAATAAGAATTGCATTCGATGCATCTTCAAGAGCAAACGATCAGTCACCATCACTCAACGATTGCCTCGAAACAGGCCCTCCATTGCAAAACCCTATCTGGGACATTTTGGCACGAAACAGATTGCAACCCATTACACTTTGTGCAGATATGAAACAAGCTTTCCTACAAATAAGAATTAAAGAGCAGGGCAGAGATGTGCTAAGGCTCCATTGGTTGAGAGACAGAGATTTAGAGAAACTTGAAGTCTATCGATTCACTCAAGTAATGTTTGGGTGCAACTAATCGCCATTTTTGTGCTACCGCAAAGAAACATCTTGAAGAATGCAGAGCAGAGTTTCCTGAAGAAGTCTCAGAGATTGAAAGAAGCATCTACGTTGATGACCTTCTGCTAGGTGGGTCATCCATCACAGAGCTACAGAAATTGAAAGTCAACCATAGAAATATTCGACAGAGCAAAGATCACATTGCACAAATTGCATTCAAACAGAAAAGAATTAGAGAAAAATGATTGTGAACAAGAAGAAAAAGAAGAGAGTTGTGCCAAACAGCAGCTGGGAACAAAGGACAAAGAGTCCAAACTATTAGGGCTTACATGGGACAAACAAAAGGATACAATTGCAGTATCAATAGAGGAAGAGAAAGGCAGAGGATCAACAAAGAGAGAGTTATTGCAACATCTGGCCTCAATAATTATTTCACCAATAACCCTAGCTGGAAAGATCATTTTTAGAGATGTATGTAACAGTGGCGTAGCGTGACTTTTTAAACTGGGTATTCTCTATTAAACAAAAGGGTGGGGCAGGGTGTGGCTCGATGGGGCTTGATGAAAATAAGGGGATAATAGGAAGATTAAAAGACTAGTTATTGACATTTTATCTAATTTACGTTTTGGTTCGGTTGGCAAGTACTGCACTTTCAGGGCATTACTATGATGAAAACGATACTTTGCTAAAGAACCATCAAAATACCACTAACCATTTCATCAAAAGTAATTCAAATCAAAACATTTCATTGAAAATCAGTAAAATTTTGGTGGTCGTAATATGTCCCAATAGTTGTTGTTGAATCCCCTTAAATTTGCACTGATGTAAAGAGGAAGTAACTGTAAACACCTACTGTTGATTCCTTAATGCAAAAGGGCTTTCGAAAGTTTTTTTATTTTTTTTTCACATAGGGCATTACACGAGTTATAAATAGTTTGTGGTATGCAGTCTAGACTTTTTCTTCGTGGCCTAATCGTGATATTTTCAATACAAGTTAATGTTCCAACGAATCGAAGGTAATGAGATGAGCTGCACAATAGGCGCTCGAATAATGCAAACAAAATAGGCCAACACTTTACGTGAATGCACCAGGCAATTATAAGGAATAATCCAAGCCTATCTGCATTTACTTTATTCTATCAGGTAATACAATCAGAAGCATCCCTGACTGACAAGCAATGACAAAATTGGCATTTCAAGGGCACGGATCTGAGTATAGTATTATGTAAAAGCCTACCTTTCCTTTTCACTTTGCTGTTAGTAGATTCCAGGGGCGGATCTAGGGGGGTGCTATGGGTGCTTGAGCACCCGTCAAATATTTCAGGATGTGATATTTTGAAATTTCAGAATAGGCGGACACTAAATTTGAGGTTTTCGTTTGTATTCCTCCGAGAAAATTAATTTCTCTCCCGTCTGAGCAATTCTATCCCGTTCTCTGTATGTTAAAAGCAAGTTAATTTACAGACCAGATTGTGCAGCTTTTTATCGTTGTAAAATTTCCAGCACCCCCTGGTCTGTGCTTTAGTCTTTCGCAAACTAACTATAGCCAATCAATGAATGAGCTTGAGCACCCGCGATTGTAAAGCAACCAATCGGCTTCTGATATCGCGGGTGCTCACTTTTGGCGGGAGCACCCCCTATTGTCAAACGTAGTTTAAATTTTCATTTAGGCAGGCGGAAGAAGCATGTTGTAGTTGTTGTATAGAAATGGCGATCGGCAGTCACAACAGAAGTGAAGCGATTTCTTTTGAAATTTTAACAGAACAAAATCATGCGTAATGAGGTAAGGCCTATATTTCATTTTTTAAACTTGATGCAAGAGATCAAATTATAAACCTCTGCGTTTGTAATGAGAGCCCAGTCTGTAGAGCATGGCAGTTTAGGACAAGATCTTGTTTTTGCAAGAGCAAAATAGATGTGTGCATGTAAATTCTATTGCGTGCACATGTCACACTGTGCAGACTCGATGACAGCAAGGTAAATTGTGTTTCAGGCGCAGTGTTTTTAGATTTTCCATTTTAAAGTTTGGATGTTTGAGAGGATATCTTACATGAATATCTTACAAAATTTATAAACACTTGAACTTGAGATATTTTCACAAAATCCAAGTTTTTTAGTATGTTCTGGCCTACACCTTAATTCATCTTAATTCTAAATATGATTTTAATATTTGGCATTTATTTTGAATTCCAAAAGTTTTGAATAAGTATTTCCAAAGTAATTGGTAGCAGATATCAGTGAGAGGTTTAGTTAGTGGTCAGTATGGGGGACTGATAGAACAAAATTTTATAACTTTTTAAGATTTAGATTGGATTCTTATTATAAACAAAAAGTTTTGAAACCTATATTTGTGAGTATTCTGTTTTTCTATACCTTTTTTGATGCCAGGCAAGGTAAATGATTTCCATCTAAGATGCATATAAATTTAAAAAAGGTTATTTTATCTATAGACTCCTCCAATGCAACTTTCCAACTTGGTTTCAATAAACGATTTGAAAAACACTTTTTGTTGGTGTAATCCACAAAATATTTAAGTTTTTATGAAACTTCTATGAATCTCAGTTAAATAGCCAAGAGCTCAGCCTTACAGACCTACTGATTGCCCAGAAGATTGTCATCTTCCCAAAATCACTAACCAGATATTAGTACATAAACTGACAAAAACATTAATGATATTTATTTCATCTATTGGAAGTAGCTGTATTTTAAAAAAGTTTATAAAGCAGTCAGAATAATGGAAGAAGAAATAAAATATTTGTTGTCTTTATTTCAACCAAGAGAAAAGCAATTACAATTGTTTCTTAATATCCTTTTGTTGTATTTTATGTATAGGTTTTATTTCAAATAGCACATTTCCAGAAGTTGAGAAAATAATTGTTTTAAAATCAATTATTTAAAAAACAGGCATTGACAACCCTTGCTCTTTGAATGTTCGAAAGAAATTCTAATCAGCATAAATTTTGAAGGGCGTGGCACCAGCAAAAAATTTTGGCGTGGCATCAGCCCCACCCAAAACTGAGCACCCCTCAAATTTTTTTCTGGATCCGCCCCTGAGTAGATTACGAGTCAAATGAGAGAATGATTATGAAATAGTAGTACGGACATTGCAAAAGCTTTTGAATGTAGTCATATTTATTGTTTTCGATGAAGGTCCATCACTCAAACCGCTCCAACGTCCATTAACTGTTTATATTGATCTCATAACGAGACTATTTTGAACCAACTTTGAGGCTGTATGCTGCATATTTCTCAGCGTACAGGACCATTGTTTTAGCTGATTAACGATAAATATTATTCATGGAAAGGGACATTTTGATTGGTAGAAGTACCGTCTAGGGTATTCACTGCGTATTCATGACCGATCTCCATTCAACATGAAGTAGCTCAATCTTGAAAATTAGCGTCAAAGATCTCCCAGCTTCTTAATGCTTCGCAGCGTTGTTGTTTCCATGAATTTCGTGATATTTTGTACTTGTACTATATGTAGCATATCGAAGGCAACGAATTAAACCAGAATCAATAGCCCCAAAGCATTTTTTAGTTATTAAAATTTTACGTCGTGTTAATATTTTTTCTCAAAAATCTCAGGGTATTCACTGAAGACCTTGAATACCCGGACGCTACGCCACTGGTATGTAAACAATAAGGTGTCAAGTGGGATGAAGGACTACCAGAAGACCACAATGAAAGATTGTTCAAATGGAGTAGGAGTTTGCCAGAAAGAGTAGCGATACCCAGAAGCATTCCAACGAAAGAAGGGAGAAGAACTTCGACTGGGCTACACGTGTTCGGAAATGCGAGTGTAGACGGAGTAGCAGCTATAGCTTATGCAGTCATAAAGCAGGAGTCTAAGAAAAGTCAAGGATTTTTGGAAGCAAAGTCTCGCCTTGCAAAGAACCACCTTACAATTCAAAGGCTAGAGTTGGTAGCTGCACACATGGCAGCTAATCTTGTCGAAAATGTAGTAAGAGCACTTGAAGGACACCCAATTGAAAAAGTTTATGCTTGGCTTAACAGCACTGTTGCCCTTCATTGGGTGAGAGGAGAGAACCGTTATAAACAGTTTGTGAGTAATCAGGTCTCAAAGATTAAGGAGAAAGATTATAGAGTTTGGAGGCATGTACCTGAACTGAACCCAGCTGACATAGCAAATCGAGGAGCAATGTCAAAAAATTGACAGGTGATTGGTTCAGAGGACCAGATTGGATTAAATGTCAAGCAGAGTGGGCAAAGGATATAAAAACAACATCGGACACTGATACAGAGTTACTCATACAGAGGACACTGATACAGAGTTACTCAAGGTTGGACGAGAGATAAGAGATGTACTAACTGAATGGATCATAGAAAAGCACTCATTCATTAAAGCAATGAAAGTGACAGCTTGGTTGAAACGGTTTGCATTTAACTCCAGATTAAAGAAAATAGGCAAAAGAGTCGGCCCATTGACAACTGCGGAACTGCAAGATGCAATCGCATTCTGGATTAGAAAAGTTCAAGGAGAGTTTGAAATAAAGCTAGAGTTCAGAGAAGCAACAAGGGTTAGAGAAATATGAGAGAGAAATCTGTTTGTAAAGGAAGAATTCAAGGAGAGTACCCAATATTTCTCCCATCCGGTTTTTTATTTAGTGAGAGATTGGTTTCCTATGCGCATTTGAGTACTCATTGTGGTTGGTCAGGATTTTCAATGGCGAAAGTTAGAGAGGACTATTGGATTCCACGACAGCTAGCAAAAAGATTCCACAAGCTAGCAAAAAGAGTCATCAGAAGTGTCACACATGCAAAAGATTCAATGCGTGACCAGTTTTCAAGCCAAGACCAGGCTTATTGCCAGAAGACAGAACTGAAGGAACAAGACCTTTTGAAGTAGTCGGTGTTGATTATGCAGGCCAAATTAGTCACAAAACAAGAAAAGGGGGAGAAGGAAAAGCGCATATCTTATTGTTTGTTTGCAGTCTAACGAGAGCTGTTTACATGGAAGTTATTCCTGACACAACAGCAAAGAATTTCCTCCAATGTCTGAAAGGGTTTACAGCAAGACGTAGACGGCCTAAAAAGATTTATTCAGGCAACACTTAGACAGCGAAGTGGTTAAAAAACTAATGATAGATGAGGAATTCCATGATTTCCTAAGAGATCAGTCCATCAAGTGGCAATTCAACTTGAGTAGAGCCCCCTGGTGGGGTGGCCAGTATGAAAGAATCACATGTTTAACCAAGCAAGTAATGTACAGAATTTTAGGTAAGCAAACCTGAGTTAGCGGACACCTTGCTCTGGCCCCGGCGGTGTCCGCCAATTGGAGAGAATATTGTAGCTGCCCTTTGCTTGCGGCCTTAATTTCTAAATCCATAAATCTTTCAAAATAATCAGCTTGCTTCATCCAGAGTGTATTGATTCATCGTATCCGAGCTATAAAGTAGATATTGTTTTAAAGAATAGTTACGTAATATGTCTGTTTTGTAATTGATTTGTTTTATTAAAAAAAATAAACTTTCAGAGGTTGCACAATCGTCTCCTCCGCAATTTAGATATGCCCTCCGCAGTAGTACGAATGCCTTACGGATTTAACATGAAATAGACTTTGAGAAAGTCTACGAGGTATGAGACCAAACTCCCCTTTCTAAACATGACAGGGCTTACCTTTCTCTCTACCATTAAATATGACAGGGCCATAATGGCGTGCAAAATGATGAATGGCTTTGCCCTGACAGCCTTAAAGGTAAATTTATCACTAGATCAAAGATATCCAGTTATTTGACAAGGGATCAACTTGATATTGACATCCCAAGGCAAAATTTGGAATTCTCAAAGGGAAGTTTCTTTCACTCTGGGGCCAAAACATGGAATGCGATTCCAAGAAACATCAGAATGAGCCCCACAATTTTTATGTTTAAAAGAAACTTGACTTGAAGGGATTCCTACAAGTTAATAAATTCCCAAAACAAAACACGATCCCTAGGTAGAACAGCAACATCTTTATTTTATATATATTAAAGAATTAATTTGTAGTAGAAGTAGTTTATTTATATTATAGCTGATAGAGAATTCGTGTATAAAGATTTAAGATGAAAAGAATGAAAATGAAATTTCGCACTTCAGATTGTATGTAAATGTCAAATTTTGCAAGCATACACTCATTAAATCGCTCGCAAGGGACTTTTTTCATATTGAGGACTGGGACCAAGTTCAATGCTCTAAAAATAGCTTTTAGAGGAATTTTTCAGCTTGGGTCTGTTTCGCATCCGTTTTTATGCCTCAAACTACTTAAGTTGTGAAGATTTCATGCTGGTAACATATTTTGCACGATTGTTGTGACTTCAGACCGGACTACAACAAAAACGTGTCTGGAAATCTGATTTGTTCAAACGTCGCACTTCTCCCGCAGAGCATGCGCAGTAGAGACAAAGCTAGACAAAAAGCTCACAAATTGAAAATGAATTGAAGATTTACTTAAATATAGCTGAGAGCATTACACATATTCACCTTTTCTATTCGTTTGTATCGGCCTTTACTGGTTTCCAGCACGTTAAAACAACAACTTATAAATTCCTTCCAGTTCCTCTGCATAAAATTTAACTATAATCATCACAAAAGCATGCTATCAGTGTTAACTATATTCAATGAGCATTCTAAATTATTCAATATTTACCTTCACAATCCTACTTTACTTTATCAAGCGTCTTAAGAAATTTCGAGTCTAAACCGAGATACCTCATGAACTGAGTCTACACTGCCTTTGCAGGCAATCACTTTCGCATCGCTCACTGTTCAAAAATGGCGCAGAATTTGATAATATAAATGCCGTCTACTCAAAATGGAGAAACCTCTAGGCTTGACTATGCCTTTTCATATTAAAATGTAACAAATATTGTTTGTTCTGCAAAAATGGCTTTATTAAGATGCTAACCAATTGTGATGGGTTCTCGGTACAGACTCAAAATGGCATCAGCCAAGCTGCCAAATGGAAACTGACCAACAGGAAACTGACCTGTTCTTTCACACTTTACACCGATAAACATCTCTTCTAAAATTCATTTTTTATATATTAAGAATATCTTACCTACAATAAATAACTGTAGTGGATAAAGGGAAGACCTCTATGACGTTACAAGGGAAAGTTTTCTTCACAACATACCGACTTGCTGTGTTCTACATGGTGACGATCTGCACCACTCTCATGTGATAAAACAAACATAAAAGATGAAATATACCACGTATACTATCGATGAAAATGAATATTTTCTAGGGTACTTAAAGCAGCTCAAACAGAATTTCTCTTTCGCCCCTGTATCTCTACCCACACGAAAATTCCCATTAACAAAGATAGTGACAGTGGACCTTATTGACAATTTTCGTGCAACGACTACATACCAGAAAAAAGGGGTTTTCGCCTTTTATCAGTAAGTTTGGGTTGGTTGCAGACGAGAAAAAGTCAGTAACAGTAATGACCCTCCCTCCCTTCCAAAACACTCCAGAACATAAAGTACAATAACAGCTTAACACCGTTGATAGAAAATCCGGAAACCAAGAAAGATAAATCCTAGCACGACTAGATGTGTATCGTAATGTACAAATAAAACTTCTCAAAGGCGCATAAGAACGTGAAAAGCAAACGAGTACAAGAGAGATGTGCTTCCTTAAAAGAGCATTGGGGTGATGGGAAGGGAAGGATAAATTTTTCATTTCTCTAATCCCAGACATTAAAAATTTGTTTTAGCGCTGTCATTAGGAGTGCTGTCAAAATGAAGGCAATTTCAACTATCGTGAGACTATTCGAGCACAAGAACGATTCAGAGGAAAAGCTCATAAAGACCTAAATAACACGTGGCTGTGGCTTAGTTCCTAATTTTCTAATTGTGAGGTAGAAAACTAGATTTACATAAAAAAGGGCACCAAGAAAATATGAAATAAACGGAAGTCAAATCAAATCAACATTCGACAAAAATCTCTCAAATAAAAACGACCACATTACACAAAAACAAAAGGCTAGTTTTTTAAATAAGAGTGCTGCTTCGTTCGAGTGGAAATTTCAATAAAATTCTGCTTTCCTAACGACATAAACTTTCAAAAGTCTCTTACGTTCTAACTATAAAATAAAGCGTTTTAAAATTTGATTTAGTAAAACGCTATGAACTTGACGTACTACTACTTCTCGGAGACGTACCACTGTTGTCCGCAGCAAAATGCGTGGGGGATTTTTGGGATACCCGCAATTTAAACTTTGGACTATTGATCGTTTCCAAAGCATTCTGAGCGTCCGTTGCAGATTTGAATATGGCTAGAACCCGAGGTCCGACCGGTGTTTGTGAAGAGCCGATTGAACTGTTGTTGATCTGAAGGATCCGGCCGCCGGCATCTTCCACGTCCTTAAGTAGAGCCTCGTTTTCAGAAGAAGACAATCCCTCAGGCATATCGTAAACCTCTAAGATGTGACTGACCGCTAAAATTTAAAACATTAAATTAAAGGACGATTAATTTTAATTTGATAAACACTGATGTACGAGGAGCCTTTGCAATAGCCTAAGTACATGAATGGGGAGTGTACGGTGCCATTATTTTGGAAAAATTATAACATCACTTATTTAAGTTGAGCAAAAACAGCTTCTTTAAAATTTGTGCAAGTTCTTTAAAAGTCTATAATATCTTAGCAACTCGTCGAATATAATTTCCCCTGTGACTGTTATGGACAAGAAATCAACACATGTAAAACTAAAACATGGAATATTCTTCCCTTAAAATAATTGCTCTTGCTGTTTGAGGTTTCTATAATTTTTTATTCCTTGTTTGTATCAACTGGAGACCGAATTCAAACTTGGTTTTCCCAATCAGCTACTTGCTCTAAACCATCCCACCAGATTACTAACGAGCCCTAATCGGTTTACGCAGCTACCCCCTTACTTCCACAGCCCTCTTTAATAAAGCACCGCAGAGCTGGTTGCTAAACACCTATATACAGAGACTGAACTCAAATACCTATTGTTCAGGTACTCGAAACATCTCATATTTATGGAAAGATTTTTGAAAAGATGAATAAGAGAAAGACGCAGCATATATAAAAATAAGGTTAAGATTTAGCAAGTTTATTCTTACTTTTTTTATCGTCATCTGCTGTGCTGCTATTTGCAGACTGCCTTGGTGTTCTGTTTTGCACCCTCGGCTTACTACGTTTATATACAGGAGAATATCCAACAAACTGGTTATACGCTGCTGGTGGCTGTGGAAACCTAAAGAAGAAATGTTACGCCACTAAACATTTCAGTTGATTTCATAATGTTAAGATTAGTTGTACTGCTACTTAATATTACCGAATTCTTCAAGGTAATGATAATCAAGCTTTTTCACATTTAAAAGAGGTATGTTTTGACATCGAAAACAGAATCGAATTTACCCCTTGTGCGTCAGAAATAGAGTAGAGCTTAGACAAAACGCAGAGGAGGAGCGAATTCGTTGCTACAAAAAGAGAAAGACCATAACGCATATCTGCTGGAACGATTGCCGATAAAACGATTGCTGACAAGACAATTCCAGATTAAAGCATACCTAAAATAGCAGCTTTTCTCGCGATTGACATACCTTTGCCCTGTCATCACTGGTAAATGCGGAGGCACGTGAATCATCTTTACCATTGGTTGTCTAGTCTGCGCTGACATCGAGGCAATGTTTTGCTGAACTCTATGACCCTCCTGGGCCAAGGCTTGGTAGTGAAGAATGTCGTGGCTCATACCATTGGTCCCCTTTGGCCCCCTCTTTTGGGCCTTCCAACTAGAGTAAGGGCCAGATGTTGCAGGAGGGGTGACTGAACCAGGAGGTACTGCTCCACCTGCTTGAGCCGACAGGGATTGAGGTACAGGAAAAATCATTGTACTTCCTGGGACGGGTCCTTGCATTGTATTACAAATGTATGGAGCAGATGTTGGTGGAGGTGTCCTTGTGTATGGCGGGGTCTGACCTGGGGCTGAGCGGTTGATATGAGTAGGGACGTGATGAGGATGATTTCCTACATACTGTGCACCTACCATTACTGGGGAGGGCGATCGGGCTTGAACAGGAGGAGTTTGTGACTGAGGATACCTAGTTCCTGGCTCTTGCATTGTCACGTATTGTGCATAAGGAGGGTAGGGAACGTATCCCTGGCCGGGGATGTACTGTAAAGGCATTGGGCTCTGATACATTTGCCCTGGAACCATTTGTCGATGAGGAACTAAGACGTAAGGGCTACCGGGAACCATCACCTGATGCTGCATGTCCATCTGGCTATGGGGTGGTGGTGTTGGTGTTGTGGAATAGCTGTCAGTTGACGCAGAGTCCTCGTCAGCATTCTCGTGATGACGATGCGACAGCGACAAAGCTGCCATCTGACCAGCAACTTCTTGGTATCCAAGTTGGGCTTGCTGGGCTGGTCCGGGCATAGAAGCTGTATTCGTCTGCGAAGAAATGTTGTAAGCATTATCTTTTTAAAACATTAAGATGATGTAATGATGAAATGCAAAATCTATTTAAAACATTAAGTACCTATAGAGCTTCGAAACGTAAAAGATGCAACGCGTAAAAAGGAAACCTTAAATTCAAACGCACAAACCTAACATTCCAAACTTGTTAAAACTCGAATGTGCTACCGAGATGAACGAAGAAAAAGAACACACCTGCATGGGCTGCATTGCAGAACGATCGCCTTGTGGTTGATGAACGACGTAATAATGTTGTTGCGGTCCGCCACCAGAATACTGAACTGGCATCATGTATGGGTAATGCGCTTGTTGGGCAGCGTGAGATGGCATTTGCTGGCTCTGATACACAACGCCCCCAGGACGTGATGCAGAGTAGCCAGGCTGGTAAATTACTTGTGAAGCATCGTGCCCGGCAACAGGCTGGCCTAAAAGGAGGAGTAGGTTGATATTTAGAAATTTACAGTTAAAACGAACATATGAGTTGTAAAAATAGACGGCGGACAGCAAAAGATGAAAGTTTCGCCAAATCAAATACACGGATGTCGATAATGTGACAATGCACTTCATCTCTAGAACCGTTAAAGGGCTTTAAAAAGTGAATCAAATGTCTGCAGAAGGCATCATGTGTAGTCGGATTGATTTTGACATCATGTGTAAATTTGAAAGGAAGAGAACAGGTTGAAAAACCGATACCCAGGGCTTTTTATCATTACAAAATCATATTGTAATGATAAAGGTAGCATTATCACTTTTTCAACCAAACAGATTAAGGTTATAACCGTCATGTGAACTTTCTATAGGCGGCTTCTTCTCATTTCTTAATATTATATAACGATTATCTAACGCTGTATCGTACATTAAGGAAAAACGCCAACTCGGGCTTGAAAGCATACTTTTTTAATCATTTGGCAAGCTCATAAACATCTGCTGACAGCGTTTGATAAAATTGATTTAAGGGAATTCATCTACGGTGCGAGCCACCTTTCTGCTGACGTCATCAGAAGGTACGATCTGGTTACTTTCAACGACTGTAGGGAGGACCTAGATTTTGGCTGAACCGCATTTAATGTCATTGGAGCGTCGTGGTCCAAAGGTTACAGACAACTTCGATAAATACCAATCGAAAGATATCAGTCCAAAGCCAACCAATACAAGATTTTTGAAATGGAAATCAAATTGTTTGGGTTTCAAAGAGGCTGTACAACCTCAAGATCACCAAATGAAAATGCAACAATCTTGAAATCGATTCAAAAGGAAATTTATAGAAAGGGTAAAGTAGGAAATAGAAATCGGGTTACAGCTTCTTATTACTTAATTAGTGCAATCTGATAAAAATCTTAATTTGTTGATGGAATGATCTGTTTTTAACATTTTTTATATCCAGGAAATGAGACGAGTACGCCTATCATCTGTACGTTTTACAATCAATCTCTACATTTGTACGTACTCATGCGTACTCGTTTTCCTTTTTACACTAACTCCCACATGCATTGCCACTGACAGCCTAATTGCTGGCCCTTGGTCAGCGTTGGGATATCAATCAGTCTAGCTGTACTGTCTAGCGAAACCGGTCTACAGCCGACTGTTTGAGGTGTCAGTGGTTTTCTTTACTTCACAATCTCTACATTGACTACATTGAACAGTAGGCGGGGTACGAGTAAATATGGCTCAAGGCATTAATGGGATTAAAGAGAGCTACGAATGCAAATGATCATTTTCAGAAGCAAGCAAATCTCTTCAAAATATTCCTTAGCGAACGGTGAGTAATTACCTGAAAGCATATCAAAATGTGTAGGTTTACCAAGTTTCATAGCTATATGGCCAACTTTAAGGACTTTACTATGATATTGTGATTTACTCTGGGCATGAGTACCCTAGTCTAAAAATAATGCAAAAGGTAGGCGAAGGTGAAGAATCCGGTTCGGATAACCCGATTAACCTTGTGTCATACACGTCGAGGAGTTTTCTGACTGTATCAACGAATCGCAGGTCGCCTAGGGTCAGGGAACGCTCGCCTAGAAATATGACATCAAGCAAAACATGATGCCCCTCCGGATTGTTCATGTCCGCCCAAAAGGTATTTCTGATTGCGAGGCTTCTTCCATTTTTTAGCAAATCCAATTCTGTAAGTTTACCTAGATTTATGGCTATATAGCAAACAGAAAGGAATTCGCCACAGTAACGTCCTACAAGTACTGGGTACAAGTACTGGGCACAAGTATAGGAACGATATTATTTAGCAAGAATTTCCGTGGTTCCTATCTTTATCGTTTGACTTTCCATCGTTGATGTTTGTTCCGGTCTTATTTAACGTGCAGAGAACACGGAGCCAGTGAGAGAGACTGTGTTGCTGTATAACTCTGATCTGAACTGAACTCACTTACATACAAATTAACATACTTTTATACAGAAATCAAATTGCTGACTAAAGATCAGTTAGGATGATGTAATGATGATACAATAGAGGAGAAAGACACAGACTTGGGAAGGATCAGTTAGGACTAGATGAGTGAATGTGTAAACAATGATGAAGGGAATGTCGAGAATGACGTAAGTGGATGTCATGGTGATGGCATGATCGAGGAAGCAGTAGGAATATGGCCTATTTTACAATATGAAAATCACTACACAAGTACGCTAGTCTTAAAGGCATTTGACATGCATAAGTACAGCGAATCCAAAAATAAGTTAGGGCAAATTGATCAGAGCACGCGAACAAGTAAGGAGTTGGAAACCGCTCACGTGAAACCACTGCGCGCTGCTCTTGGATTTCACCGATTTGCAGAAAGGCGGAACCTGTTCACATGTTTTTCTCTGTGCGCAATTTGATTGGTCAACCGCTCGTGTTCGAGTGGCTGTAAGCCATTTTTACCTGTGCCAAATGCCTTTAAATGGCATACATGTGATACATACATAATGACATGTATACATGATTTATCTTCAAGTATTTTAATTATATATTGTAATTAGTTTATATTGGAGGGTCCCCTGAAAAACAACTTCTATTGAAGGGCAACCCTCCCTAAACAAATCAAATATGAAATATGAATATACATGCTTTTTTTATAAAAACACCTGATTTTTTGCCGAGCCTCAATATCAGGGCCGTAAATCCCGGGGGGGACGGGGGGACTGGACCCCCCCAAAAATCTGGAGCAAAACGATTTTTTTGGAGAAATTACCATCATTTTCCTTGAAAGAAAGAAATCCCTGGTAGCCGGGTTAGAACCAAACTACGTTTTTCTGTGTTATTGCAACAAACCTCAGCCAATAAGGTTATTTTTGTAAGCAGGGTTTTTATAATTTTTACAAGATAAAAACTTACCGTTTTCTACCGTTTTTTACCGTTTTATTTTTGAAAACAAAGTACAAAATAAAAAGAGAGCAATCTGTCATTTTATTTTACCTATTTACTAACTTATTTACGTACAGTTCTATTGTTTGTCTATTATTTGTTTTTATTCAGTAAATCACTTTTTGTATCATTAAAATGTATTCATTTTTGATGTGTAAACATGGCCTACTGAAAGCACTCAAAATAAGGAAGACGCACATTTCTATTCAGAAAGTAAATTTCTACCAATCAATACAACAGCGTCCCATATTTCCCCAAAGTCTGTCACTAAGGTTTAAGCATGATTCTTCCCCTCGAAAATTTCACCCAATAAACAATAATCTGTGTTCTTCTGAAAAACGCCGAACTTTCTATCCTGAGCGATTCTAGTTTTTTATTAAATTTAGTCTGGGGGAGGCCTTTCTAGAAGATAAAATTTCAAAAATTTTCTTCCGCGTCGGACCCAACCATGGTGAGTCCTCCTACGACAGTTACCTTGATTCTTAGCTCCCAAGATTCAATTTCTTGGGGCCATCTCTGAAAAATGTTATCCATCCAATTATCAACACAAGTCAATGTACTACGGAATATCTGTAAATACCTTCTATAGAGCAGAAAGTCTTGAGAAATCCAAAAATATTGACTTTCGTTTCTAAAGTAATTTGCCCCTCAACTGTTTCCATAAAACATAACACATACCCTTGTGGTGCCATGACCCACTGCATACTTTATATTCATTCGCTCTGCTGACCCCCCCAATTCACATGACAGATTTACGGCCCTGCTCAATATTCTTAGCCCTTTTTTTAGTTGAGCCTAAGATTGATTTTTAATTATTTTTAAGCAACACAAGATGTAAATAGTCGCATTATTAATGACTTCAAGGCCGGATACGTCTATTTCAAAACATAAAGCGTTAAACTCGCAATTGCTTTTGCTTTACAAAAACTCAAATAAACAAAAAGTAAATTCTTGAATAAGCTTGAATTTTGCATTATTTATAAAAATTCTTAAATTTCAGCTATCTTTAGCCTTGATACTTTTAGATTATAATCTTAAATATGAAAAAGTGGAAAAGGAAACATTTTTCAGAAGACGACTATATCCTTTCCTGTTATGCATATCAAATTGTTTTATTCTGCAGTTTCATGCTTTCATCAACATCTGCATGATATTTTTTTCAACATATCGACGGATTTGTATATAAATAATTAGATTACATAACGGGCAGATTAAATGCGTTTAATTCTTTGTGGTCAAAAACAGAGATATCAACATTATATTTTTTACTGCTAAAAGAAAGATCTGAAATTGAAACAGCCCCGTGGAATCAGGGGGGGTGGATTATGTTATTCAAACCCCATCCAATTTCCTAGAACACCCTGCCTCTGTTCAAATCTGGAGTGCCAATATCGAGAAACGAGCACATCTTCAACAGGCTAACAGGTGTGCCGGTCGCTATCTTGAAGAGATATATTATGGTGTCGTTCAAGGACAATGAGCTCATGGGCTTTCTTGTCTAGAGAGAATATTAAAAATATTTAGGGGGATCACGAAGTCACGCCTGTTGTCGAAACGAATAGTCTCAGGCAAAACCAAAATTCGTGAGATTTGACTTGTATACTTGTAATTGGTGAAATATTCATCCCGGTCTTATTAAGGCAGTTTACTTTACCAACATGCCTGTAAATTGTCAAACTGTTGCAAACTAAGACATCGCATGCAAAACAATACTCATTCCTTCCTTTGTTTTAGTCGCATTAAAAAGTAGTAAATTAGACATGAGTAGAAACATTCTACTCAAGATGATACAAGTGGCTAGCAAGATAAATGAGCTACCCACGTTAGGCTTTAATTATTAAGCAGTATCACGTGAGAGAACCATTAAAAACTATTCACAGCAGAATAAAAATTCCGCCATCTTGAAACAACGATGTGCGACATGTTACCTCTGCAATCCATGATCCACTTTGCAACAGCGCCATTGGCCAAAAATAAGACGAAACATTCAGCATCCAGAACAAAGTTCTAAGTTATAATTGATAAAAGGCTTGTTATAAAAGGCTTTAAATACTCTTGGTAAGAAACGACTTTACAATTAAAACATACCAGCAGTTGGGTTAATCCACATGGATCCTGGTGAAAAGCCATCCTGTCCAACGTTTATGTAAACACCTGGGAAACGAACGGGAGAAGCAGTGCTCAGCATTATTTTCTTCATAAACTAAATACAAAAGGACGGACGCACATGTCCAGTGCATAAAACTGACCCAAAGCCAGGCCTATCTCAACTAAACGCCACAGCAAAATGCTTGTAGGCCAGTTCGACCAACCTACTTAAGATGTCTTAGCCTAAAACTGGCATTTCCGATGTCTTATCGACCTTGAAACTGTTTTGAGAGCGCAGCTGAACGCTCAAACATTCCCTAGACAGAACAATCGCGAAGAGTAATTTGAATAATAACACCACGACGGAGAAAAGCGGTGCAAAAAGTAGGAAACAATGCATCTGTGGCTCAGAAAACAGCAAACAATGACGTTACAATTAACTGTATCGAGCCAACTGGGATAAAACAGAGCACGAGAAAGGCGTACAGAGATTAACGACTAAAAAAGCTTTTGTTCTTGAACAAATGGGTTAACAGGTCTTTCATTTAGACATCCTTATGAAACCAACATTGGTTGGCTTAGCCATAAACTGCAGTAAAGGAAACTCCTTCGATGAAAAAAACCAAGGGAAAACTCATTTCAATTCCAACAGTTAGGCGGGATTTACAGAGGAAAATTCTGCAAATGACTAATTAAAAAAGATTAAACAGAGCAAAGTATGAAGATGTGGAGGGCAGTAACATTGTAAAAACCATAGTAACAAATCGTGCATTACAAGAAATGAACTTGCTGGGACCAGTGCCTTCGCAACGATATTAATACTGGGGGGGGGGGCATAGCATAGATTCGCAATTAATGGAAAGCAACCCCCATAGCGCACTAGTCTATTCTTTTTGCTCTCCAGTTATCAAAAATGAAAAACCGATCAATTAAAAACTTTTTTTTGATAAGCAAAGAGATATCATAGCTCAGGTGTCATTTTTTAGTGCCATACCCTTTAACCATACAGGAATGCCGATAAGGGGAATCATAACTTAACTCCTGAACACTTTGCCTCCTGTCACTTCATGGCGATTGACTTCTACCCTTAGTTGGATAATTCTTCTGCATGAGCATTGATTTTCAAGGAGATTTATTTAAAAACAAAATAAACAAGACAGTTTATGATAAATAAATTATGAAGTTCAAATCTTTAAATATATTCATAAGTTAAAAAGCCAATTGACAATTGGCAATTGATAATTTTTTGGTAGATGAAACCTTTAAATGTATTCGGGTTGCGTTCGTTTTGACCAGATAAGAGGCACAATTTTTCTGATTTTTCGTCTTTAAACGTTTAAGCTTGAAAGGTGGTTGATAACGGATAGACAGAAGAATTAGAACCAAAATAATGATGCCAGCTGATATCAAAGATATATTTGGAGTAAGAAGAATTTCAGAGTGTAATGATAAAAGTATCGATGAAGATCAGATGACCCCAGATTTTGACGTCACAGCATACCAAAGCTGCTTTTTGTACGTTTTTCAAGATTAAAAGACTTATGGTAAGATTGGAGTGTCTGAGTGCTCCAAACATTTTGTCAGGTTACTTCTATTGCCTCCATCGTGATTTTTACGAAATTCGGACATAATTTACCCCTGTTCTCAGAATTTCTCGGGAAATTGCTTTTCAAACTAAAAAAAATTGGATTGCTCATGAAAAACTGGTCTAGATAAACTATACCAAAGGTTCTACCTCTCTTGGTGGCACCATGCTCAGCTGGAGCTTGGCCCACTCGGTGTCCTGATAAAACGTACTTTTTAATGCTAGGTAAGGAAAAAACTTGATTCCGATCAAAACACAAGGTAGAATTTTTATATCTTTGAAAGTACCAAAGAAAGCTGATGCGTTGAAAATAGATTAGAGATATGGTAATAATAGCTTGCTCATAACGAAACGCCACACCCTAGAGTCTTGCCGAGATTCAAGATTGCATCTATTTGACAGTGATTAAATCATACCACCTAAAGAGGTATTCTGTCCTGTCGCGGTATCATTTTGAAACAGATATGAGCAAGCAAGCGACCAGATTTGAAGATACATTGGAGAAACAACGACTATCAGTGGAGTAAACAAATGAAAAACAGTTACAAACATCGAAGTCTATCTAAGTGGATCTCTATAAGAAGGTTACGGAGAAGAATCAAATGTCAGCTCTTAATCCAGCTATAAGTCGAAGCACAGAAGATACGGGGGTCAACTGGCCAAGGGACGTGCTGAATGCAGCTAAAAGTTCCATGCCCACGGACCGACCGCCTTCGTTTCTTTGCTGCAATCATATCCTAACAGTCTTGAGTGTCGCAATCATATCCTAGTAATCCAATCTTCCACAGTCTTGAGTGTCTTTCTGACAAAAAGCAAGTTCTAGGCTAATACGAATGAAAATGAATCTTTGCTAATTCAAATAAAAGAGGCTGTGTCACGGTTTTGTAAACAAACAAGTCACATTACTAAAACTATCATTATTTCAAACATTACCACATCGCCAAACTGTCCATCATTGCTATTCGTTCCATCTATTATATTTTCTGTTGCAGAAATAAACCATGGAATAAGTAGTCACAACTTTTCTTATTTTAATGTTGACGATTTTTTTACACACTTTGATATAGTTTTTTTCCATGCAAAACCAGGCAAGCCAATTGCACAGTGCCTTGTAATAGCTAGAGTTATGATTGTGATGGTAATTTTTGTACTACTCTTTCATACTACTCTTTGTCAATGAACTTTACTGTATCTGCTTCATAGTTTCTTACTTCCTTTTTTGCAAAACTACTGCACGAGAGTTTTAAAGCTAAGCTTTGTATCTAGCGTTATTCCTAGGACGCTTCCACATCACTCTTCTATTACAGCCTCTCCAATTTGAAATTTCAACTTGTCATTTTTCACACCATCATAAGATGACATTTATCTCCATTCAGTTTCATGTAATTTGCGGGAAACCGGGTTGAAAACTGAATGAAATCTTGCTCTAAGCGTGAAATGCTGCATCGTCTGCGTGGTTGCATATTTTGGTTTCATTCATCAAGAGAAATAAATCATTCAAAAAAAGTTAAATAGGAGAGGTCCTAGGGCAGACCCTTGTTGGACTCCCTTTTTTAACCTTTTCCATGCGCTAAACGGCCCATAAAATGCGTAAATTATACTGTGACGAAACAGACTGAACATGTTAATTGACTGCATTGAACTCTCGTTAGAAGATTTGATCTTCTTTGTATCGACAAATTAAGCAAATAAAATAATTTTTAAATTTTTCTTTGAAACCTAAAATAAAAGTGATTTCAAGTGCTAGCCATAATGCTGTAGCTAAATTTCAATTTTCCATTGTTGCTACCATCAAAAACTTGACAAATGAACTGACAATGATTACTCTCACTGTCCATGCAACATGGCACCGAAGATTTGAGACGATCAAGTACCAGCATGAATACAAAAGTGATGTGCTTGAGGCATTGCGTAGTCAACTTGTGAATTTTGCGGTGCTCAAAATATTTTCTGGCAACATTTGTAGCCCCAGCCACATTTATCCTGGCCTATTTCGAAAGATATCATTAAAACACAGCGCGCCACAGCGTTGTAATGTAGGATTGTCCCAAACTTCTACATTCAAACAACCTAAGTGATCAAACCCTCTAGGGGTACTCCAGACCTTATGTAAGCCGGGCTAGTGCTTCCAATTGATACCCTTGGAACCCCAGCCACAGCCGTTGTGCGTCGTCTGAAAACCCTGAGAACTGCAGTTCGAATTTCGGTAAGGCGAAAGCAGTACAGAAGGGGGTTTATTGAGCTGTTGATAAATGTTACCGTGTCTACCCATGTGTCCGCAATAAAAACAAGGCTCTCGTTATCGCCGAAGGTGCCTCTCATCAACAAAACAGTCATCTGTGGAGCGTAACACAGCAACATGCACGCTATTAGAATCGCTATAGTGTATGTATTATTTTTCTCGTTTCGAGTGTTGCTTGATGAGGAAATTTTAACAGCAGTACGAACACCGTCTTCCTGAGAAAGACCATGACGATATTGGTTGCTACGATCGTTTCTGCCCGGACAAAGATGATTTTCTGGATAAATTTTGGTCCGCTGGGCTTCTTTCGGACCATTAGTTGCAAATTCAGAAATACTAAAAGTCCTCGGGGGTGAACTGTTCTTTTTCTCACGGATTACTCGGAATATCAGCAAATAAGACACGAACACAATTATCAGATTAGAACATAAAACTACGAAAACACCGACGAAGTATTGCCCAGCTGATAGAACGCCTGCGAACGGAAGGACAGTAAACATCCCCCAGAAGAGCCACACAAGAACCACCAAAAAAGAATGTGTCTGAATAGTAGCAGCTGATTCGTACCGAAATGGCAAACAAATCGCCAAGCAGCGGTCTAGTCCAATCAAGCCAACATTGAGGAATGACGCACCCGCGGTTAAGAACCCAAAAAACGCGAAAGTGACTCTAAGGGGGCAGTTGTGCATCCCCTTTGCTTCCAAAAGCCTTCGTGCAATGCTGGTGGGTTGTACAATCACTCCAACAAGAAGGTCAGTGATGCTCAGGCTAGCAAGCAACACATTTGAAGGCCTGCGTATCGAGTGTACCTTGAAGTAAACATATAAAAACATAGAATTGCCCAAAACTGCAGTCACTGCAGTTAAAGCATTTATGATTGAGGTACAGACAGCAGTGATCTGAACTGCCACATCCGTATCGTTAAGTCGTAAAACATCGAGAAAGGAACACTTTTCTCCTATGGTTACATTCATGCTTGCACGAGATATTCCGCCAACACAGGAAAAGCAGGTCCACTGTTCACTGAAGATATTAATTCCAAGTGTCAACTGAAGTGCAGTTTGCTAAAGAGCTGGATTCCCATTTGAAAACAAGAACAGATGTCGTTTTTAGAAAAAATATCACTCTGCATAAATACAGATCTAACAGCACAACAATGGCTTTTCAATCTGATAGTTCCTGGTCGCCCACGCTGCAACCAAAATCTGCTGTAGCGAAAGTTTTGGGATCGGGTGACCCTTGCAAAGCAGAATTCGTGAACCGTGCAATTCGGCTCGACCACCTGACTTAAGTATTAAAGGAAGGGAATAACGTTTTCTTCTGCCGCAAGGAATTTGAAAACAATACAGGAAAAGAGAATGCTTGATTACGTAGAGACAGAAATGAAATGCAAATTCCATACAATAACGTGCAGGTGATGAATATCATGATCACAGCATTCACCAACAATGAAACCAAAATCAACTGATATTACCAAACAAATGACATGATATATAAGCATTGGATCGCGCAGCTTGCAGCTGCTAAAATGAATAAAATCAATGAAAAACAATGAGCAGTGAAGATTATCTGTCGTCTTGATTGCGCACCCCAGCCTGGTGACATTGACAAACTCGTTAGCGATACCTCTCCCACACTGCTACAATAAAACGCACTGTTATAAATAGCAATAAAAACTATAATTTCAAATATTTATCCTGGACAAAAACACTTCCACTTAAAAATGCTTTTATCAACGTGTGTCCAGAGACTCCTTTTGACTCCTCTAAACGTCAACCTGTTCTATGTTTACTCGCATTCGACATTCATCTGTATCGTACCAAAGGCGAGATTCGACTGATTATGCAAACAAGTTCCTAAAGCAAAAACTTTGTCAAAACAGGCATAGATATGCTTTCGCTTCCATTAAACGGTAGTATGTTAGCAAGCTGCTTTGGTTCCGATATAAACTTAAGGTTGAATCTGCAACAGCCCGGTTAAACGCCCCGCGAAAGACATCTCCTGGCGGTAGGCCAAGAACTTACATACAGGCTAGTGATTAGCAACATTATTCCATCTAAACATTATTATGCCTTTGGGGTTTGGAAGAGGACAGTTATAAGCTGCTGTTGGAGGTTCAAGCTACTGCGACTCACAGTAGAAACTTAGGCTGCGTTTAGATGATACCGAATCGCTTTTCATATCGAATTTGCCTCAGCTACGATATAGTTTGATTAGACTTTCAACAGACCCTCCTTAGTATCTTCTTAAGACCCCACACCACAACGAGGTAATAATTGAAATGTTGATCCTAACACTGTTTTAAATAGTAGTCCTAACACTGTTTTCATTCTGTTTACATGACAAAGCTTCGCTATTAACCGGAAAGCATACTTCTTTTGTTTCAACCCCTTTGCGTAGTGAAGTGTTTTGTTTAGTAATCTAAAATTTTGGCGATTTCATTAGTCTACTGAGGAGAAGAAGCTCTCGGTGAATGTGGAAGCATTCATATGTTGATAAGGATTTTGAATTGGTAGTTAAGCAATGTGGACGTATGAACAAATTCATACGTGGTACCGTGCTATCATGCAGTAATCTGATACGTATAACCACGTGAACAGTGTTTTCATTCTTTTCTGTTTATTTTTGAAAGCGGAACTGTTTATTTTCGAAGTGTGGCTGTTACAGTGATCCTTGTATTTTATAATGAAACAGAAAAGAGCTAAACGAATCAAAGTAAAGCCTAATTAAAACTATCGACAAGCTTAGCAATTCAAGCTTTAGGACAGCAGGAAATTCTTACTGCAAAGGAAATTTTAGCTTAAAAAGAAAACTGAGCTTAAAAAGTCAAGAAAAAATTCAGGAACTGCTTGAAATGAAACAAGGTTAACAGATGCTTAGCTTGAACGAATTGATACCTCAGCATTGCATTTGATATGTTGTTAATGCCGAAAAGGCCATTGCAATGTACTAACAGAGCAACCAGATTTATTAAGTAAGATCATTTTTCTGAAAAGAAGTATATGAAGCGCAAGCTGTTTCATTAGCTTTGGACTTTGATTTCTTGAAACCACACTACCACACAACAATTTGGATTAAGTAGATTTTCACAGAACAAATACAGCTGTTACACCATAAAAATGGTAGCGTGGGCATTCATCAACGCGCCTCTGCAAAGTTCAACTTAGTTCATGTTGCTAGCTACAATCCATCCGAAAGATAGTTAGACACTTGAATAATCACACAAGAATGTTTTGAAGGAGCAGCAAAAGGAACAAGAATTGTCAATTGCTTAGCTTAACTTAAATCAATTTTGCCTTTTTGAAGTTTGGTGAAGTATATCTCCATTGTGACCTCTCTGAAAAGTTGCAACAGAGGGTGTTCTTGAACATAAGCTCAAAATACAAACTGTTTTAGATACAAACCAGTAAAAAACAAGCAAAACCAGAATTTCTGGAAAGCATTCAACTTAGGTGAAATTCCGCCTCGAAGTGGTTCTTACCGCTAATGATCTTGGCATCAACACCAGTTAAGCTTCGAATAAAAAAAAGATGTAATACCTTGAGCTGACCCTGGCACCCCAGCACCTGCCATGGCAGGGTTGCTCATCATTTGCATTTCCGGGGTCATCATTGGCGGCATGGGCGTCATCCCATGAGTCTGAACCATATCCGGACGCTGAGGGGATTCGTGACGTCCTGTAGTAAAAATATATACTTGAGTAAGGTATACCTTGTAAATCCTCGAACAAGCCTCCCTTACCTCGAACAAGCCTCCCTTATCTCGAATAAGCCTCCCTTAGCTCGAGTAAGCCTCCCTTACCTCGAATAAGCCTCCCTTACCTCGAATGAGCAGCAAACCCTTGCAGCCAAGGGCGCTCATTTGAAGAACGGTCACGCTATTGCTTGAATAAAAATACTTTATTTCAATAATGCGGTTATTCTCACAAGCCTTTTGTTTAACAGAACAATTATGGGCCTAGATGATTGTTGTTGTTTCTATGAATTAATCAGAAAACGTTTGTCTTGACAACTGACATTCATAAAAGCAAACTGAACACGACAGGCTTTTAGGCCAACACACATTTGTTTGAGACTGAAAGTGACACAAATTTCAAAGTTGTATTTGTAAGCACATGGGAATATGAAATGAAGCAAAAGTACTTTCCCGTGGGAAGTTCACTGATGGTTTCAATTGGCCTTAATTTCCATTCAAAGGGTTGCAGAAAGCATATACTGAAGTTCGCTAGAAGACGCAGATGGTTTCTTTAGTGAAAAAGTATACAAAGTGGTAAGAGCAAACCTACTGACCTTGTTCGTATTTCGGCCATCGTTTTTTTAACTTGAGGTTCCCACCTAAGAAATAGGCCATTGCTCTAATAACTGTTTTTGATTTATTTAACAAGGTTATTACAAAAACAGTTTAGCCCGCTTTACTTTCATCGAAAGATGCCATTAAAAGCAGATCGCTATCAGTTCCATGACTGTCGATAGCTTAAATCGAGATTGTCTTTTCAATTTAATTTCTATATAGTTGATAATGCTAGGGAAAGGCCCAGGGGCCTATAGCAAAGTCTAAGAAATAGGCCATTGCTCTAATAACTGTTTTTGATTCATTTAACAAGGTTATTACAAAAACAGTTTAGCCCGCTTTACTTTCATCGAAAGATGCCATTAAAAGCAGATCGCTATCAGTTCCATGACTGTCGATAGCTTAAATCGAGATTGTCTTTTCGATTTAATTTCTATATAGTTGATAATGCTAGGGAAAGGCCCAGGGGCCTATAGCAAAGTCAAAAGAGCGGGGGAAACGAGGCAATCATAAAAGACAATTCCAAGAAAATTCCAAGACAAACCAAGTATAACCAATTGACTTTTCACCGAGCATAAAACTGGATATAACGGTGTGATTGGCAAAAACCGAGAGTTGCTAAGCATAGAGCGCTGGGGGAGAAACTTAGTCCTTGTTTTGGCAGAATGACGGGCGGCACTGACATCTTTTGGGTGTACCAGGAACGCATAGCGTTGGTAAGCAGTTGAAAATATTAACCATACGCTGCCAAAAACACAAAGCCGTTAGAACACAACAACAACAAAATTGCCACGAATTTACGAAACCCGGAGATATCGAGCAGTAAAAAAGTTAAGCAAGAAGATTGATGTCAATTAAAATAATGCAAGAACAGAGCAATACCTTTATTACCTGTTGCGGCAGCAGCTGCCGCTATTGCTGCCTCCCTTTCAGCATTGCGTTGTTCATTCCAGTCTTGAAATCGAGGTGCAATATTTGATTGCCTGTATATAACATGGAAGGAGAGAAAAGTCTTCAAAACACAGTAAACATTTTAGTGTTTCCATGATTGTGCTTTGCAAGAACAGGCCCTTCTATATAATGAGATGACATATTAATGAATGTAAAACTAAATCAAATTAAAAGCTGTTGTTGAGTTGTTGTGTGTCATAAATCGCATCACATATTCAAAAACCAATGAAAAACTTCTTTGCGTAAAAATGTCATCTAAGGAACGAAAAATGCCTAAGAAGATGTCCTTCAGCAACACATTAACATTGGCTAAAGAACCCACAGTCCACCAAAACACTTAGTGATAACAAATTTAAAATCAATGGACAAGGAAGGTCGTCTTTCCGGGAGAAATCCCCTTGCATTACGACAAAAAATTTCCACATGAATAAACCGAGAGCGCTTGGTTTCTCTCTTGGAGGTATAATTGCTTGGTTGCTGATTGGTTGCTGATTGGTCACGGAACCAAACAAATACATCATTAGAGTCCTGTCGCCATGAGTTGGTGCATTATTAGCAAATACTTGTTATCTTATTTAAACAAAAGTTTATAAAAGATCTGCTCACTATCAAAAGACACTTGGTGTGTCTGCTAAACCATGTTTTGAATTATTCTTAAATTCATTTAATTTGCTCTCTGTACAACCAACATTAACAAGTAGAGCATTGTCGTTCTATTTTGCGGAAGAAAAGCAGGCTCATCGCCATACTGGTGCACGCGCCAAAATCAAGTGCGTCAGCGCCGCTACAAAGACTAATGGTGTAAGAATTTGTTTATTTGCAACCATTTAATTAACAGCATAGAACAGCTAACTATGTTGTAAAATAATTACATATAAATCTGTTCATCTAATACTGTAAGTCCTGTAAAAGGGGATCTTTAGAGGGGATACAAGCCATTGGGCTAGGGAAGGGGGGCTGCAGCCCCTCGACATTTTAATTTTGTTTAAATCAACCCCAATCGGACGATAATCTTCCCTTAGAACGACAAGAATGTTGGCAAACTATGGAACTTTAGTCGGGGAGGATTTTTTCTTCCCGTACGCTTATGCCCTCACAGGCGACCCTGGGTAGATTTCCGGAGGTGCACCACTATGGCGACGTGTGGAAAATAAATGGCGGTCTGAAAAACATCCCTTGTTTCAAAGGATATTGAATAAGTTTTCTCTCAAAATCGTAATGTTCAACGCTTAACGGAGCTACAGAAGTATTGTAGCTGTATTTATATCAAAAACAGAAGACAACAAATAAAACAATATTTTAGCCTGCCGGAAAATAGAGTCTTAAAATGAACGGAACTCACTTTTCAAATTCTGCAACCAAACTTCAAAATATTTGCAAAAATTATCGCATGTAAACCAAACAACGGTAGGCAGTAAAAAATAACGAAATGGTGTCCGCAAATCGTTTTCGCGTGTACTTTTGGCAAACCTCAACTTTTATCGCCTCCTTTTCAAACTTTAATATAAGAAGTTCGAAAATCAAGATTCGAATAGTACACCAACTCGTGGCGACAGGACTTTATTCCTTTTCCATTACTAACAATCTGACATTACTAACATTACCAACCTGGGAACAGACTTTTGCTCGCCGTTTGGGCATCATCTAGCTTTTTATCTGAGGGATGTCTGAAGAAAGATGGTCCAGGGTAATGTGCTATGTTTCTGGTTCATAACATTTCAAAATTTAAATGTTTTGGTGATAATCTGATGCTGATTTTCATTTGAGGCAAACGAATTGGTTAGGTTTCAAGGGCTGGTATAGCCAAATTGTGTCACAACAACATAAGCGTTGCTCTGACATTGCCGATTGCAACATGGGACACAATTTTCAACGATGTTACGCTTTATAACAAAAATACGAACCTGTTTGCCTCAAGAGCAACATCCGTTGCGGAAGAAGATACGGGTGCGCTAGTGCCACTTGGTGCAAGATCTGCACTGTCGATGGAAGACTGTGACGACACAGACTGGAAGAAACGTAAGAAGAAATGTTAAAAACATGTGGATCGTGAAAGGAAAGCCATCTACACGAAAAACTTTGAGAAATCAAAATACGGTAAAATTACTACTGGCAACAGAAGTAAAAATCTCAGCTTTTAGAGTTTGTGAGTTTGATTCAAGGCATGCCCTATTTTAGCCACACAATAGACGGAAGGACTCCGTTTTCAAAGGAATTGTGTAGAGAGGAGGAGTTCGTTTTCTCCCTTGGATTCCAGTGGTAATTTTTCTTTAGGCAAGCGGCACTGATTGGGCAACCTAAACAGTCATGTGCTGGCATTTCTGATTAGCCTATTTCGATCCACAACTGGGTATATATTTTTCCTAGCTTAGAGACTTCGATCAATATTCTGATGAAAATTTCTCTACATCGAGAATTTCTCTATATGCTAGCGTAAGAGATATTCTCAGTCGAAATAGTTATAATGCAATGAAGCAAAATTAACTTTATGAAGGCTGAATATGAAGGGATCTAAAGGCGAAAGCAGCTGACAATAATGACTGAAGCTACAAGCAGTACCCAAATTTAATTTCTATTGTTGGTCTCGTGAAACCACTGGGCAGGCGGAAAAGTATTTTGCACTTTAAAAACTGAAATGTTCGTAAAAATGCTCTAACATGACATTTTAGTGGCTGTCCGCCAACATTTCCCGATTTTTTCTGCCTTTCCTTGACTAAAGATAAAAATGGCATCAAATCCAACATTAACTAATGGCACCAGGATGAACTTATCAATCTCACATCTTGAAAAATTCTAGCTCTGGCTTTTTCGTAGTCATGTTCCCGTTCTTCGATCGATCGTGATTTTTTGTCTTCTAAAGACTTTGAAGTTGACTGTGGACTTCGCGGCTGCAATCAAAATTTGGGTTAGCAAGTTCTAAATGACTGAATGAATGGAACGAAGCAATTTTGAATTTTTCTTGTAAAAAATTATTCATAGAATCCAACGCTAGTAAATATTTACGCTGAGATAACACGGTGATCCCCAGCTATCAAGAAAAAGGTTATTGAAATGTCCACTGCCTGATAAATGTATTATCAACGTGACACAGGCATGATTGAGAAAGCATGTAGTAAAGAATAAGAGAATTAATTGGGATCAAAATGATAAGACAAGACTACGCCTCCGCATACCCGTGGCGGAGTTGCACAATCCTCTACTGAATTTGCCCGTTTTAATATCGCTCTAGGGTATTGACTGAGCTCCTCGTCAGAGTATTCTCTACTGCAGTACATCTGAAAGCTGCATTCTGGTCTAAAATGAAGCAAGGCAATTGTAGCGAAGACACCCCAATAATATAAAAGAGAAATAGCAGAAAGATGATTAAGTGAAATACTTAAATGTGCAGGATAGATCTACGCTCCCTTAAACCTCTAAGTTTGAAAACTGCTTTTCTAGATTGTCCTTTTGCGTGATACAGATGCAAGTTAGCATTTGTTGGAACGCAGCTGATTTCACAACGCAATCAATTCAATGAAATTAGGAGCAATAAATTCTTGAAAACGCTGCCAATTGTCATCCTTATGCTAGACTGAAATAATTTCAAACGCACGTGCCTTGAAAACAAATAGAATAAACCTATTTAGCACTTATGCAGCTTTATAAAACTATATTTAATTGTCGCAAGTTGATCAACCGCAAAAAAGGAAGAAACTAATAGGAGAAATAAAGAACCTATAGATTATGACAAATTCTTGTTCAGTTAGAGAAATAAGATTTGCCGTACAAATAACAATATATACTATAAAATGAAACCCTAACTAAAGCTTACATTCTAGTTGAAGCATTTTTGTTCACCATTACGCATTTCCCAGTAGAATCCACATTGTGATCCAAGCCAAAATACGCAGCTACTCGATGAACTAGCATACGATGGTATGACGTCATCTGCTGATATTTGTGCACGATTCGTCTGCAAGATAGGCATATTTTGTTATTGAAATTCGTACTAAATCGAGCCAATCAGTGTTTTTGCCTAAAGCGTGCTTTTAGGTAATTGAAACAGTTTTGACTATAGAAATATAAAAGGCCAAATTTCATCTTAACTTTGCACAATTCATCCAGACATCATACTGTTGGGAAGAAACTCACGGTTATGCCTTCGCTGCACATCAAATGGTCAAATACAGCGAGTTGAAGACAACAACAATAGTAAGGATCATCAATAGCCAGGCAAAGTAAGGGAGGGGGTCTCTAGTTCTACAATCTATGGCCCTTGTTGATAGGAATGCAACTAAATAGAATGTAACTCGATGCACAAAACCTGTCTCCAGGATGGTGAGAAAATTGTGAATATCTTAAGTGTATTATGAACGATGCTTTTCAAACGCTCCAATGAAATGTTGGAACCCACCTAAATAGGTACATACGGACTACGAAGAAGTGCTATATCAGAAAAAGGTACATACGGACTACGAAGGAGTGCTATATCAGAAAAAGGGCTTTTGCAGATAAATATAGAATCATTCTTGTACTTTGCATTCCAATTTGACAGCCTCACTTTGAGGCCCAATAATTTGATGTAAACTTTGTATTCAGATCATATGCGTGTTTTCGATTATCGGGCAACACAGCACTCTCCAGTCACTCTGTTGGATGGCTTTTAACTACCAGTGAGTGACATCACTTCATTGAAGATGCCAGTATAGTTGCATGTATGTATGTATGTATGTATGTATGTATGTATGTATGTATGTATGTATGTATGTATGTATGTATGTATGTATGTATGTATGTATGTATGTATGTATGTATAATTTTGCCATCAAATAAGTTACAATTTAAAATTAAGAAAAAGAAAAAGATCTAAGTACAGATATAAAAAATTTACAGATAGAAGTTAAAAGCATAGACTAAAACACCCCAGGTTAAAAATGGCAGGGATAGCATTAAAAAGGTCAATACGATCTTGTTTCCATCAGTGCACTTGATCTAAAAGGCATCAGTGCACAAATGTATCATTAATGCAAAAGCCTCAAACTGATATGATAAGTAAGCTATTTTCTAGCAGAATAAATAAGAGAAATACAATGCATAATTTCTCAAAATAGTTGTCTGAAATTTCACTAATTTCACAAAGTTGCGGCTAAAGATCTACTTCTTAGTATTAGTTGTTTTCAGATACAACAACCTCATGGCATTGTTTCATTTCAGATTATCTCTGGGGTATTGTTCCATCCAATCCAACGAGCCTATGTGTTACAGATTGTAGTGTTTTGTGTTTAAGTTATTCAAGCTTTGTACAGCCTTAGTGGACCCGAGCATTTGCACAGGGATCATGGCGCCAAACTCTGGAGGGTACGACTGCTACTACTACACAATGCAGCAACAAGGGGAAAGGTTTGATCCAAAGCAACTTCCAAAAAATTAAGACAGAGGGCCAAAAAAAAGGAATGCATGCACATGATAGTAATAAGTAACTAACTCACGATACTAAAAACAGAAATTCAAAAAACAAAAACAGAAAACACAGACGCCCGTGAAAAATCTAGATGCAAAAAATATTTTCAAAAAAATTAACGTAAAGAAAAGGGACGAATCTTTTCACGTAAAAATAGGAAATAAAAAGCTACTCACGTATCGTCCTTGATGAAATTTATGAAATCCTTTTCCAATTTAAGCAGCATTAAACGATCCCTTGGAAGTAGGTATTTGGTTACATAAAATGCATCCAATTAGTTTAAGAAAAGAATACAATTAATCACTTGACAAAAGTTTGCGAGGAAGATAAAAAGATGATGATTAACAGGCCTTAAAAAAGAGTTTTTCTTCCTGGCAGCAAAATAAAAGATTCAAGACTTCCTGCGAAGCTTCGAGAAATTTTCCAGCCACTGAAATTGATATTTCAAGTTGATTGATTTGTTTAAAAATTTGTCCTAAAAACAAACTGTCACACTAAAAAGAGCTAATTGTTGGTCCTGCAGTCTTTATCACAGCTATTCGAACAGGAATCATTTTGTTTATACTGTATTAGATGATCAAGGAGAACGTGATCAAGCACGATACACAAAGTTTGTTTGCAAGGTTATAGAAAGTAGATCTGAAAATCTATAATAACTTTGATTAAATTTCATATCAGTATTAGCAAACTAGATACTTTATAAGTATTGATATATCTATACATCTTGCTCTGGGTGGGTTTATCATCAAAGCTAGTAGTTCATACAACATGTAAGAATACTATTTTATTTTTTCAATGGTTGAAATAAATGTTTTGAATCAGGGGTGGTGCTAGAGGCAAAGATTTAAGACCAAAACGCTTACATTCTATAAAGCAAGTGAGGAAAAATTTATGCGAATGCCAGTAGAAAAATACGAATAATAATGGACACATCCACACAGGTTTTGGGGCATGTTCACCTTTAAAACAATTGACGTAACAAGATTGGCTGTCTTTAAGTGTTTTTACATATATAGAATGGCTAATGTAAAAAAAGGAATGAACTTTGTTTTAGCTTGCTGGAATTAGATTAGTAGCTGAAAATCATGCACGGAAATTTGGCATAACAGACGCTTATAATACCAGATGATTGAAAGCTAATCTTCGCTTTTTGTTAGTAGTGCAAAACAAAAATTATACAGTATGTATGTATATCACAAAAGAACCGCATTCCGTAGAAATATTGTTACAAGAATTTGATGTTCATATTGAAATCAAGCAATGGAGATTTCACGCTAAAAATTTCCTGGCAAACATCAACAATTTCCTGCAATGAATTTGTGCCAAAAATTTCCTGGCAGCGGCGCTGCCGGACATTTTCCAGCCCTGATGATTAACATACTCAGTCAAAAAAGAATTTCAAATACCTAGGGTTCTCTCTCAGCGTTTTGACGATGAATTCATGGAGGTCTATACCACTGGAGTCTTTGTAATCAAAAGATGAATCTACAAACATAAGAAGCTTTAGGTAGTAGAAACGATACACGTATGCGATTTTATGAGGGAGACACGACAAAACAAGAGCGCCAGTATTAGTAATGAAAAGGAAAGGGTGACGGTCGATTAAAAGCAGCGGGCGCCAATTAATATACAGCCATTTCGACCTCCTACCTGGCATGCCAAAGATTGTGTAGCCCATAACGCAGTCGGCCATCTCTGGCGCGAACTGATCAGTTGAGAATTTTGAACAATCAGCAATTTCAGTTATAATGTATTTTAAGTAACTCCCAAAGCTCTTTGGTAGACGAGAATATGAAAAACAAGAACACAAACGACTGCAATCATTAAAAACAAGTGTTTTAATTTGACGTCATATGAATTGCTTTTACACATCCATTCAATCACGGAGCTTTTAGTTCACATTTACTGGATCTTTCGCATCTTTGGAGGATACTAAAAGAAAATACTAACTTTAACGCACCAAAGGCCATGCATTCTTAGAATAGTCTGATTAAATGCTTTTCGGTGGTTTAATTCTTTCAATACCTTACCTGTAGACAGTGGCGGCCTTGCTGATGATAAAGCATCGTCTTCCTCTGCACTCGGTTTTGAGGGCATGCCAGTCAGTGATTCATCAGAGAAAGATGGAATCGATGTTACTCGGCTAAGGTCTTCGGCGCTGCTTGGCTGTAAAAATGAAACACAATAGATTTTAAAAGACCAGTACAATATATCTGATATGTGATAGTACCAATCAAACTGAGTGCCACAATAGTCATTGCACATCTGTATTAGTTTGGAATCATTACAGCACTAACAGCAACAAAATAATAGCTCGGAAAGGCTTCAGTACAGAATGTTGAAAAACATTTTCTCGTGTCTTTGAAATAATTAATAACCTATTCCAAAACAAATGGTTGTCTTTCATTTAACATTAATGGTGGAAAGAACCCTAGAATTCAACTTCTTGATAGAACTACTTCTTGACACACCTGTGTACCGAGAAGTACATTCCGAATAGTTAACAGGGCCTAATTAGCACCCAATGGTAGTGAGACATAACTACAGACAATGCAATGTTGCACAACATTTTCTTTTGAAGATTCGGAAATGGACCTGACTGGCAGTAAAGGAACCCAAACGAGACACACAATGAATTGAATTGCGAGTGACAAAATAAACGCATCCAAACGAGACATAAACAATCTGACAGAATTCTTTTCTTTCCAATAATAACCAACAATAATAATTAACAACCAACAAGATACATCACCTGTGAACTGCTGTCTGTCGGTGTAGGCGATGAAAGGTTTAGCGCAGGACTTCGATTTAAAAGAGTTATCTTCGGAGGGTGGTGCTGGAAGAAATTATGTTATAGCTTTTTTAAAAAAATTCTTCAATGTAGTCAATAAAGCTTGCAATCAAAAAGGTTTCCACTGAATAAATTTTACAACTATTTGCGAGTTTTAGGTTTGATACTTAAAAGCCGATATGCCAAAGCTTCTTGCACTTTGAAAAACCAAAAATCTTAACTCGTAGCCAGGAAGCTAGTCGATGTTGGAAATTGGGCCTTATACGAAAAATTTGAAATAACAGCTTTTTTAACACGAAGCGAGTAGAATACACTACAAAACCATTGGACGATAAGTTGGGTACCAATCTGAGGCCTGGATACTTGAAATATTAGCGAGCAATACCTGGGGAGAACGATTTTGCTTGAATGACATTCCACACCGCATTACGTTTTAAATTCAGTCAAAAAGCCGTTTTACACCATTAATTAATAATATGATTGTTTCATGTCAGGCATCTGGTTTCACTAGTATTGCTCCCGTTGAGAAAAAAGTGAATGTTGGCTTCAGAAAAACTAGCTATTTATGATTTGAGCCATCTGCTACTGCTGATAAAGATCGCAGACAAAAATTGTTAAGGCAATTTCGCAGATAACTCTTTTCAATATGCATATCAAGTATTTATTTTTTGCTGGAGGTATCGTATTTCAAGCAATGGTATTTGCCCATGCAAACTCATTGCCTTCGGGCTCCTCCATTCCTAGGTTTGTCATCAACTGATTCAAAGATTCAATACACAGTGCCCGTTGAAAAGTAAAAATTTCCAAAGTCATTGAAAAAGAAGCAGCATCGTCAGTGAATAGCTTTGATCCAAGTATGGAGCCTTGTCCAGAATTTTGTTTTGGCCTCATGCTGAGAAATAGGTTCCCTCGTTGCGGTAATGTACTTGATTGTGAGTAGCCGAATCGGTTTTAAAGGGGCTTTGGTAGGTGGCCTAGTATAAGAGGGCTGTTTAGAAGGTGGTACCAGCGACCTTATTCATCGGCGCTTGAACAGCTCCCTTGCAAACGCAACGACTAAGTGATTAAATTTATGACCGGTCTATTACTCGGTCGGGACCGTGTCAACTGAGTTTATTTTCAGGATTTCCAGGACCTGTCCTCCAAGCAAAACCAAAAAGCTACTAAAACCTAAACCCAAAGCGACAAGACTTGGCGCTTTGATAGAGACCAACAACTTCAAATAGCCTAAAACCTTAAATATCATGACGTTATCTATAAAAATTATTACTGAAAAGGAAACGGTAATACGAGCGTCTGCAAATTGCAGATTGAGGACAAGTTGTTTACATATGGTTTTTTTCTATTGCAATAAAATAAAAGATAAGAAACGTGGTATTAGGAAAGCATTATGGGAGACCTGAAGCAACAAATCCTCGATCCGTCGGTCGAGGACAATTTACTCTGCAATTCTTAAACATACAAATGACTGTTGCTTTTGTTCATTAGCCATCGAACACACCTGCCACGACTGGAAACGAAACGATCATCGCCAACTTAGCTATTATGATGGTCGAATATGTCTCAGTATTTACATTGGGAAATGCAAGTATTTCCATTGAGTTCTCTAATATTTTGCTTTGTGAGTCAACGAAAGAAACAGCTGAATTCAATGCCTTTTTAAACTCCCTGTTATAATACAGACAATGGATACTACTAAATATGACAGCTGCTGATGTCATTAGACCAATCATAAGACACTTGACTTTTCATTTGACCAATCATTAGATACTTGATTTCCCATTTGACCAATCGCCAACTATTCAACCACCGAAGCCGAGGTCTAATCAAAGTGACGCTATGTTTCCATGGTGCATTCCTATGTAACTGTAGCTTTCGCTGGCGATGAAAGAAATACGCGCTCAAAACGCGACGGATTTTATGACGCATAAGTCACCGTCAACTTTATCTTATCTCTAAAACAGAAAAACAGCGCACCTCAATTACATGGTTTCATTAGCAGATATTAGTAACGACGATTCGGTTAAGTGTTTTCCTTGTATGAAGGAGAAGCAGAGCATCAAAGCTCTAGTTTTTAAAAAGCTTTGATGCTTGTACAAATTTTAACAGTTTCTTTAGGAAACGAAAGCGACTTTTTTATAAAAAACGTACTTTCCAAAGAGTGTAAATGAAATCTTTACACTCTTGGCGATAGGTTATTGAGCGACTTTTTACACAGTTAGAAAGAGCAGGTAATTATGTAAAGTTTTAATTTACTATCTAAAGAAAGGAATCCTCTCTCAATCCTAGTCAGCACTGTCACAAGTGCTTACCTGCTGTGCTCCTAAAAGATCATAAAAACGTGGCACTACCAACAAACTAGGTGCTTGGGTCCTAGTCTGAATTCAGTCACTCTAAAAGCAGACATCTCCATATCTCGGAAATAGATACAGTTATATAGCTTGAAAGAAAAATGAGAGACATTTGTTGTTGTGATGATATTCTATCAATACTGAAGGCACATAACTCGAGTGCAAAAGCAATTACAAAAAGTTGTTTACAGCAGCAAAATGCAATCACACCTGAGATGTTGTTAGTGGCTTTTGGCCCAGTCCATTGACATCTGCATTTGGGTTTGCTGGCAAAGACAGCTGCCTCGGAGGGTATGTTATCATTTGGGTTTGTGGTGTAGCATTTGGAAAGGTTGCTTGCCTTATGCATCCACGAGATACAGCTGGTCGATGAAACTCCATTATTCCAGTCGGATTTGATTCTGATGCCACAATATACTGATCAATGGATTCTGATTCTGTTGATGAAGTTCGTGCCGTTTCCTGTAAAAAAGGTTTTACCATAAAAACACATAGCATGTCAGACCAGTATGATAGTAAATTCTAGAAAAGCAGCCATCAAGTCATGTTAGGTAATACATGAAATGGCTTTTCATGACCTTTAAAACAAAAAATGAAATGCAAACATACAAAAAATAGCATGGCTCTGCTCTGAGATGCACTCTTAATGCCATTATCAGACCTGCCTAATCCATCTAAATTTATGTCCATATGTACAGATCAAGTTTGAGAAGAATTCAAAACATATCAAAAGAGATTTAGCCATTGAAAACTGAAGCTCTAATTTTCTGCAAGTTTATGACATTTACAAAAGAAAAACATTTTGAATTTTTCACCATGACAGTTGCTGTGAATTAAAGATCAAAGACAATTTTTACTTCACAAGAAAATGTGAGCATTGGGGTCATAGCCAAAATCCCCAATCCCCAGTGACTTGAGATTTATCATGGTGTGTCTGTAATTGGAGCAGAATTTTTAATGATTTGTCCAATGAACAGACTAAGATGTTGATTAGAGCCAAAGTTTTTAAGATTTTAGGTATTCTTCATTATCTGGAGATGCTTAATTAGAAGAAAAGTGCATCAAGGACATTCTTATTCTAGCTCCTTGACTTTAGCTTGTTTCCCTTTCAAAACACCTGCACTGAAAAAGCAATTAAAAAGGACAAAAAATTTCTCAAAGTTATAGAACACTGATAGATGACAACAAGCTATTTATTTGCTTTGGCAAATTTTCCAACCCCCTGCTTATGACAAACCCCCCTCCCCCTTTATTAAAGGTTTTAGAGTGAAGGCACAAACAATGAGAAAAGCAAACTGTCATGGAAACCAAAGCTTCAATTTTGGATGGCTAAGATTAAATGCAAATATGTGGTGAAAACTAATCATAATCACAAAATATGACACATGTATTGATTAGAACAAGCTTAGTTTACATTTCTTCACCTGTGTGCTGTTTTGGGAATCTTTCTGTGTGTTTTTCATGTCATGCATGTATACAGTCTTGATTCATGGACCTGCAGCAAACATATTTATATCTACAATATGTATAGAAAATTTAGAGAAGGCTTTAGAGTAAATCTTCGCAGCAACAACTCATAATCAAAAATTGAATATGAATGCACCTAAATATTGGGCAAAAGACCAGGTAGAAAATCAATGCATGATATAACAAAGTATTCAAAGGCCAAAATCAGCAGGATAACATAAAGACAAAGACCTTTCAATGGGAAAGAAAAGGACTTACAATAGACAAATTTATGACAATCATTAGTGTATTTTTGGACAAATAAAACATTTGACAGATAACATTTCAAGGACAGCTGATTTTTATATGAAAATCATTCAGTTCAACAAATCCATCAATCAGTTTAATCACTTTCAAATAACTAATAAGAATGTACGTACAAAATACACAAAACAACAGGAAATCATCAATGGAAGTCAATCTGGTCAGTTATAAAACTTAGCATCACAAGATTGTTTCTCGTTATATGGGATTGGTTTTTTGTCATTTTGTTTTGTTCCTACTGGGCATTTTCAGAATTTTTTCTTCTGTTCTTTTCTAGACACATTTCCATTCAAGTTAACCTGGCAACTCTAAGCCTGGTGGTTTCATTATTGTTTATGGATATATATATAAAACTAAATCTTCTTACATATTGTTTCCATTGGAATCTGTCTTTCACATAATGACACAGTAAAAATTACATAATCCTGCCAAAAATCTATGGAGAATTAAGGGATGACCACTGTTTCAAAAACCCTTTGAACAATGTACAGAGAGAACCCTCAAGGGTGGGGCAGGGGTTTTCTCTGAAGCACCATTAGATTAAAGTGCAATGTGCAGTGGAGCGCCCAAGGCACTGTTAGTCTCCTTTTTTAACACTGTATTTTAAAATATACTTCCAATAGTTGTTGAATATTATTCTTCACATACAGTTCGGTAAAATGCAAAATTTTGTGTCTGTCTTTCCATAGGCTTCTCAGGGTGTGCCACATTTTCAAATAAGATACCTGCTTTTAAACTTTAACTTCAAAAAAACTTTGGTTCTAAACTGACTCCTATGGTTTCTTTCTTGTGTGATTTTTCTGACAATGAATCTTTAAGGTATCCTCATACAAAACAACAATGAAGATTTAAAAAAAAATATTGCAATCACCTTTGTATTTAGCAAGAACTCTTCTATCCTTCACTGTCCATTATAACATCCTAGTAGAATATGGATTTAAGATAATTTAATGACCATTATTGTGTATTACACCCAAGACAATTGCTGCCTTGAGAAGATGTGCATCCAAGAAAAAAGGAAACAAGATATATAAACCAAATTAAATGCAAATGACTAGCAAACTGTAATTTTTTCCCTCAATTTGAATTTTCCAAATCAGATACAATTTCAGAATCCCTTTCATGGTTAGTCTTAAACATACAACATCAATAAATACAAAAGCTAAAAAATGATGTCAAATTGATGCTGAACCTGGTTGGACAAACTTTAAAACAACTGCAAATTTGCTGGTTAATGGCATTTGTGCCAGTAAGCAAAGTTTTTAGGTTCTATCACAGTTGAAGTGACTACAGTCAATATCTGTCCTATACATTCTCAATAACATACATTCTCAATAACATCAGACAAAATAAAGGCTGATTTTCATTAGATACTACCTTATAACCATGCACTTAACAAATATAAAAAAATTCTTTTGAAATGTCTTTTATTACCAATATATATAATTCATTACAGTTTTTTGATATCATGGCAAAAACTTTTTGAGCAACTGTTGGCTATGCATTTATGCAAATATCAACTTTCTTAAAAAAATATTGACAACTAGATGTTTATTTCCAAAAATCTATATATTGCTTGAAATATGAAAACCAAAGTTTTTTGGAAGAGTAAACATGATATCTTGTTACCAAATCAACTCTTCCTATACAACACCGAGGAAAATTGACAAAATAATATATAATCTTATGATGCCAAAACAATCATAATTTTAGTACGAAAGTGCTTATGCAGGGTATTTTATATGTTGTATATATAAATCATTTTATAATTCCCTTAATTTACATTTGATTACTTACTGTCCGATCAGTACCGAAGTCTGCACAAGGCTCATTTGAGCAATATGCTGCAATTATGCCTGAGATTTTATAACTTTGAATATTTTCTGCATGTTTTACTTTAATAGCTGCAGCTGAAAATACCTTATAGAAAGCATTAATTAAAGATGTCTTTATCATACTAGATAAATGAAAAATAACTGTTCTTATGTATAGAATTATTTTCAAAAAAATGTTTTCCATAAAACTTTAGCTTTTCAACAAACGTTGGAGTAATTGTAGCTTGAAGTTCCTGGGGTAGCACATGTGGGTGTGTACCGTCCAGGCTGGGACCTTCTGAAAACCCATCTTAAACTTCAATCAGCCTAAGATAAAAGGGAAATCCTCCAATAATCAAGTTTATTTGGAATCCAACTTTCCTTGAAGACACTTGTTAGAAACCTCCGTGGCTACAGAACGCTGCAAGAAGTGAGATCAATTTGATATTTGCAGCTGTCAATTCGGTCCGACAGGCTCAATCTGCAGGTAGAGAAACGCCTATCAACTGTTATGGTTTCTTCCCTACAAAATATCGGAAAACTGAACCACCTAAGCCAATTTCAGTACCAATTGGGTTTTATCTTTCTCATAACAATAAGTATGTTTCCACATACAATCCAGAAAATCAGATTCTTGATTGTCCGCCCTGCCCAATTTGAGGACCTGCCCGATTATTGTTCGCGAGCAAACATTTCTGTAGCGAAAGGCCTTTTAGAAACAGTTACGAAAAGAAACAGAAAGATGCATAACTACAACTATACATACCAATTTTCGCCTTCTAATTGAGAAATTTAATTAGTGGCTAGCATCTCAGAGTTCAGGAGTGATCATTTGAGACCATCTTCAAGTAGGATGTTTCCAGTGATCTCTGCAGCTGAGATCCACACAAGTTCCTTCAGATCACGACCTCTGCCTCTTTCGAGTTAGATAGTCGTCTTGCAATATATTCGAATCTCAGTGAAGAAGAAACGTCAACTTCCAATATTGCTACAGAATGAAAATCGAAGCAGGGTCGGTGTGGTGGCTTTATTTATCAACAGTTGAGGAACAAAACATGGCTTGTCAGCCACCCTCTCCTGTAATTCACTTGAAATAACTAGGCTCGCAATGCTGTCTGGGAGGAGACTACTTGATCAAGGCCTGACTTCGTTCTCGTTCACTGATTACGTCATTAGCAGTAGATCGGGTTGTCAGTATTTGCAGGCGACCAGTAACCATTAACAAATCTATATACTGATACAAATGGATGTGTCGATAGAAGCGAGACCTTTGAAGTTCCATTGAAAATTTTTTCTTTCCCAAAAATTCTTGTCTGATTTTAATCTTTGAGAACCAGTGCTGTGTGTTGGTTGTTGGTCTTAATTGTTATAGTAATTGTAATTTGTAAATTTTATTTTAATTCGATATAAAAACAATAGCTAACAATATATACATAAATACATTATGTTAATTAATCAAAATCGAACATAGCTACCAATTAGTACATTAAAGTAATTATAGATACTAAGTTAAAGATTAACTTGCATTTACTGGCAGAAGCTGACAGGCACTACATTTGCAAATTGGTCCGTCCCATTGTTTTATTAGATTCCTAAAACTTTTCAAATTTTTTGCGAATTTCAAAACGTTGGGTAGGCCCATTCCAAATCTATGGCCCGATTGACATAAACTTTTGGATCCAAATGTTGTTTGATTAGGTCTAACATGGGCTAAGTAATGTTAACTGAAAAAATAATTGTTTTCTCTTTCTCTAATTTTCACTTAACTCAATCAGCTCAATGAAAAATACAATGATCCTCAAATTGAGTTTCATGGAATTTTCAGTTGTTTTCAAAGCATTTATTGAATCCTTCTTTACTTTACAAGAACCGCGGAGCAGAGAGGCTGGGGAGAGTTATATCTCCCCCCCCCCTTCCATATTTCGCCAAAGATGTAAAGAATTAAGAAGTGAAGCCTCTCTTGATTCGATTTTAGCCCCCTCCTCCTCAGTGTATGTCCACCCAGACCAAACTACAGTATTTTTATTAACTATTGGTTTAGTAAATGTTGGATAAACCCAACCTTTAAGCATAGTCCTTTAAGCGGTACCCTGGATACCAGACCTATGTATAAAATAATATCCCTATTTTATTTTATATATAGTGAATCTGGTACTCAGGGTATTTAAGCGCTGACTCAGGTTTCTAAATAAAAATATCGTTGTAAAAGGAGTTTGTATAACCAATTTTGATGTCACCAAAAGTCATTTTGATAGATAATTTTGACTGCTAAAAACAACTTTTCTATTTGATCTTCAAAGAATTGAGAAAATACAGTGGCTAGTTCTTGTGGCTTTACCTCTTTTAAAATTAACATCATCAACTGTAATCTTGCCTACCTTACCTAACTCATTGTTGGGACTCTCTTAGCTATTGTGGTCTCTCTCAATTACTATGAAATATGAACTACTGTAATAATTTTCAGTTTCCGGAAACAGAAGGTATTTTATTCGGAAACCAGCAATTTTGGCTTTTCCCCCAGTTCTCGGCAGTTTTCGGCACGTCCCGACAGTATTGTGACAACGTACTTTTTGTGATGTAATACCATTATTTTCAAACTGCCTTTACGTATCCAGAAGTTAGTCATGGGTGTTCCCTTCAGATAAAATTGCCGTACCCTGTTAGGAAAAGAGCGTTTCCTGGTGCTGGTGGTATAAAGGGTGCGGCCAAAAAAGTTTTGTTTTGTTTTAATTAATTTTTTAAAAACAACATAGACTAAGCAATATTTTCAGTTCATGTTAATCAACTACATTGCTACTGTCCGTAATTGCAAAACGTAGAAAGACCCCATGCCCAGGAGGTCACTTGAACTTTTCCCATACGATGGGGATCCATTTGCAATTATCAATACTCAACTAAAAGTATCAAAAACAATTTTATCAGACCAAGAAGCATCAACCAAAAATTTAATGAGACCTGAAAACTGAGCACATATACATACACTAGCAATTTCAGAGCTGTCGCTAGCTCAAGGTGGGTGCCTCGGTCACATTTGCCTACAAAGTGGGTAAGTAATCCATTATTTGCCAAAAAGTGTTGAAACTCGCCGATGACGCACCCCTGCATTGAAGAAAAACTCCTCGTTTCTGTAATGGAATGTTTTTAAAGAGCAACTCATCGATTTCATGACATCAGATCTTAGCGAGAGATACACAGAAGTACGTAGATCCAACCTATCGGATTGCAAGAAAATTTTTGACCCAAAATAATGGGATGGACACTCCCTCTCCCAAATATGAAAAGATCTTGTGAGCGCTCTAGGTCCCCATGCTGCATGGTTTGTTAAACATCAATCATTGAAACAGAATAGGACTTTATCTTCTACTAATAGGACTAGGAATAAAGTTACAAAATCTATTAAAATTTGTTATTTGCAAAAAAGGAAAAAAATTAAGAGTTTTGTAGATATGCATTTAATTGAAAGCAATACTGCGAGTGCTATATTTGATAAAAATTTGTTGATATGCTAATAGGTTTCAAAAAATTTAAAGAAAATCCAAATGGAGACATATTTATAATGAAATCATTGCATGGATATTCACAATATTGTGGCAATTCTATCTCTGTTCAAAGATTTGCTGATCGATACAAAAGCATACCGGTGCTAGAGACCTCCATAGATTATATACGATATGCTGAATGCAAAATATCTCATTCATTTTTCTCTTCATTCGCGTTTGCCTTTTTCTGCTAAAATTGCCTTCAAATTGTTTTCAATATAGACTCATCAGGGACAGCTATCTTTCCATTTAAACGCATGAAAATGAAAGCAAAAAAATAACAGCATGCATAATGATATGAAAAATTAAAAATGGCAGAGACTAATGCCCTAGAATGAATGTTGCATAAACAATAACCAAGATAAGTTGACAAAATAATGCTTCGAACTAATGTTTTATTTCATTCTAAATATTTCACTTGACAGGGTTGCCGCTAGGCGGGACGGACCTCGGCGTAAACGCCTCCACGAGCCCCCAAATTGCCCGCGGCTATTTGTTCAGTAAAACATTAATATGTGAAATTTTTGGGGCCACGCTTTTTCTTTGTTCCGCAAAACACTCTTGCCCTGAAATTTAAGATTTAAATTTGGCTTTATACGTTGATTTGTAGCGTGGTTATATTGTATATCTTTTCCAGATCTTTCTCACGAACCTTACCGACTAAAAACTAACCTAGAATGATGTATTATTACACTCTTTTTTATAAAAACAAATGAATTTAAGTTCAGGCTGACTGTTCTTAACTTTTTTGACAATCTGGGCTGGATTGTTCTTAATTTGTTCTAAATTAATAGGGTATAAGCAATGCCATTGCCAGCTTTTCTGCTTTAGGGAGATGTTCAGGCCTCATTTGCAGACAAAGAGAGGTTAGACAACCTTCATTTGCCGACAAGTTTGAATATTTACCGAAAAAGCATCAACACGTCGCTATCCTCGATTTTAAGAAAAAACGTTGTTCAAAACTGCATTTTGCAGAAGCTCAGCCTCAGCTTGTTCTTGAATTGTTTTCAAGTTTTGACCAGTTTTGAGGCTCGTGTTCTTATAAAATTATTCTTATAAAAAGAAAAGAGTGTAATGAAAAAGAAAAACACCTTAATTTTGAGCACAGGCCACTGTCTGGGCCCAGGCTCCGGGGCACTACCCGACTGAACCCCCCTCTCGGCACTGCTGTCATGCTAGTTTGAAAAGCGTTAGGACATAACAGAATTAGACAAGATTGTCGATACTTATAGCCAAACACAACAAATTGAAATAAGCTGACGGGCATATGAACATTTCTCTATATAGAGCTTTTGAGGTATGTGCCCTCAGCGACGTATGTTGATATTGCAATTAGCGCCAAAATTGTGGTTCCACTCACTTACTTTGACAAAAAACAACAAACTTCCAAAATGTGTAGGTCTGAGTAATTGCCCAGCTCGGTCTGCTGCTAACGTTGTTAAATCTGAATCTTTCACTCCTGATCACAGGTGATTTCGAATCATCAGTTACATTGTCAGCATAAGTACAAATAACGCCAAAATATTGACAAATTTGCATACAAATATATATGAGAAAATTGATAAAAGCAAGAATATTATTCCACATCTCTACCTTCCCTATCTCGACATAACCTAAAAGAGTTATATGCAGGTATTACTTATAATCAGGAACCAATCTCTTCCTATTTTTTGTCCATTCCAAATGGCAGGATCAGTTCTAAATTGTGATGCCTGTTTCACACCCCGGGGTAAGCAGCCCGGCGAGGCGAGCTTTTACTTTATTGGGGCTGGCAGGGACAAACAAACTTTTTCTTTGGCTGGCAGAGTAGGGGATTTCTTGCTTAATAAGGATCTAAAGATTGACTTGGGGAGAAAATATAATTCAGTTGGCAATGGATGCGGGGAAACGGAAAAAGGCCAGGGTCATTCGATTTTTTTGAAAGAGGACGGGGAAATTCTCACCGCAAACGGTTCTCACCGGGCTTGCTTACACAGGGTTGCTGTTTCTCTTCCGTGGAAAGTTTTTTCAAGCAATAAGATAATCTATTCTACCATTATTTTATATTTGTTGCAAACACCTAAAGGAGTTAAGTTATGCGAATGTAGCTATTTTATTATTTCCATTTCAAATACAAGCTTTTTTACACCGAATTTTTTGACGAGCCTCAATATCCTTAAAATATTTCGATTTTGAGCCTAAGATTATTCTTATATTATTCTTGCCCGATACAAGGTGTAATTTCGCCTTAAGATCCAAGAAAAAAATTTAAAATCTTTTTTGATGCGTTGCTTCGTCTTACATTTACACCAAAACAAAACAGAATAATAAATGTGTTATCAAAATAGAAAATCATATGGGCAGAATTATGGGCACATTTTGCAAAATTATTAGGAGGGACATTTAGCATGAGCAAAGTGAATGTACAGTTAGAAATGAAAGTATGAAATATGTGTAATATTGAGATTTCGGTATTATGGGTATAGCTTTTATCATTTTCGCGGAATTATGGATGACATGTTTTCAGACCTGTGCGGGGTCCCCGTCCCCGTCCCCGTCCCCGTCCCCGTCCCCGTCCCCGTCCCCGTCCCCTGTCCCCGAATTTTATAAAATTCAATTCGCATCGCTGCCTAAAACCTCTGCGGGCGCCTAAGAGACTCAATTTCATTTAGACCGACTCATGTCAATATCGAAATAATGTCCTCCATTTCAAAGAGTTTTCTTCTTTTCTCTTTCAAATTTTCATTTCTTTTGATAGGGCATTTGCTCTAACAATCTAAAAAACATGCTAATTTTGTTCCCTTGACAGATCCAGTTAAACTAAGCACTGAACTTGAAAATTTCGATATGAATCTTTTTAGATTCACTTCTGTCACGTGATCAGTGGCGTCATTTCTGGTATAAATTCAATGTTCAAATGGCCATAGCTTGAGATATTACATGAAATGCAATATCTCAAAGGGCTCTTCTGGTTCGTTTCTTTTCGGTCTCTGGATACTTATTAAATACCAAGGTTTAAAAAAAGATTATTCTTCCTGACTTCCTGCAACCAAAACCAAAATGAATTGTAAACTCGTCGTCAAATCACGCCATTTGGGCACATGGCTTTGATAGCTCTATCTTTAGTTTTTTTCATGTGTCCGTCAGCTGATTTATTCTTATATAGGGTTGTTTTCTCTTTCTTAAATTTCTTATTGTAATTTTGGATTTAATAATTGAATTTTAAACAACTTACGTAAATGACGTAACATGTAATTAATTGATTTGCTGAAAAAAATGTTTTGAGTTTGAGTTTGAGTTTGAGCAGCAAAATAAACAATTTGAGATCAGTGGCTGCCTTCTGGAGCCTAGGAGGAAGCTGCCTCGGATCGATGTCGATATGCAAATAAACGAGAAACCGGCCTAACACCATCAAATTTCAGTAAAGGGTGCTCACATTCCGCACGATGCGAAAAGGAAAGGAACCATAGAAACATCTGATTTTCACATTTGCTTGAGAAATGGAGACAAATAGGCCAGAAACTGGCCTTTTCGAGAACGAAGATGATCTTGACTTACCTAAGATAACCGGTAGGTCAGAAAGTGTATTCAGTAAGTGGGGATTGCACACCTGATTTTTTAACGACGTTTATAAATGCACACTTGGAAAAAATTGAACAACCTTCATGCGCACTCTATAACTCAGTAAGAATGGTGACCTGTATTGTGTGCTTCACCATAATTTCTTTCCCAATTAAGTCATGATTTTGGATCTTTCTTTATCTCTGTTTAAGTATACTGAATTTGTGTATAAAGTTGTCATCATTAATAAGTTGTTTGTTAGGTGAACAGATGACAGGTTTTTGCCAGTTTGTAAAAAATATATGATTTTGGAATGAAAAAAAGAATACCAGCATAGTATTTTAACCTTTTTGTGAGAAGTGAGTCTCGTTTGAGGCTTCAGGTTGTAGACTTATGTGTAACGGTTATTGCATACAAGCTGTCCAATGTGGGGCTTTTGTACTGTGCTTTTACGGACCTGAAACTACTGTGGTTTGAATTACTTAACTAGCAAAGATTATATTTAAGAAGAATAACACTGCTATTGTATACCTGCTATTTATCAATAGTTTTTTCTTCTCGCATTAGTTTTTGTTAACAACCGATAGAGTGGAATTAAGGAAGTACCTGTTATACAGAGCATAAACATTCTTTCTATAGAAAAAGCAATAAAAATCTCCCATAAACAAGAGAAACAAAAAAAGTGATATATAAATTGCCATGTTATGCAGCATACGTTGTACACAAATTACAAAGCATTAAGGCAAATATTTCAGAATAATTATGTTTCGGAAATTACAAGAGGATAAATGAATCCAACTTGGAGCAATGATTTCAGTCACCAGTTGAATGGTTAAATGTTTTATAAGATTCTAGATTTTTGTTTAACTGGTAATGTTAAAGATCATCTGGAATTTTATCAAGATGAAAAGTCTTTAAGCTTAATTTTCATTAGACACTTTATCAGGTTTAGTTTGGCTACTTTGCTGGCTTATCTAGATTTGTCTGAAATCTTTAAAAATCATCTTTTCTAAAGCAGGTTTTAAGTGTGTTTCAGTAGTATTAATGTTGCTTATCAGTGTTAGTATAGACTTTGGGAGTACCCTTCTTTAATAGCATGATTTGATGGACAAGAAACCAAGAAAAATGTTTTTTTTGTTTCTCAAATTAAATGGTAAGGTTTTTTTATGAATTGGCTGTTAGTTCAACTTTAGATTAAACCTAGTTAACAATAAACTGGTAAAACTAGCTAAACACTTGACATTGATTCATGTCGAGGGCGGCTGGTGCAAAAAATAAACTGTTATTAGTCAGCCAGCCAAGCAGTGGCATAAATTACAGGGGGCATGGAGAGCTCCCCCCAATTTGCGTTTTTGTTTGGGAATTTGGGCTTTCAAACCCCTGATATGTTGAGTCTGTTTTCTTGTCGAAAAAGGAAAATAATGTAGACTTGTGGCATGGGTATAACAGCGGTTTTCATAGCCATACAAAATTTAATTCAAAACTCCAATCCCCAATTAATTTGAAGCCGACCTCAAAAACAGCGTCTCAATTACACGGGAATGGGCTACTACAGCAATGCGTTCTAAGGGCAGGGCTGACTTTCGATGCCTCATGGGTTTTATCAATGCGGCCCCAGCAACATTTCGGCTACTGCGTTATTAGAAATGGCTTTCTAATAACGGGCCATCGAAGACATTATATAATGATCCTGGATATAATAGAGCCCTAAACAAAACTTTTAAAAAGACTTGATGATATTTCCTTCTGAAAATCTCCCAGCACAAGACCCGGGCAACAAAAATAAGTATTTTTTTATTTCTTCCCCACAAATCCATGGGATGCCTCGTTAATATCTTTATTAGAAAAGAGAAGTCTTTGGGTAGGCAATTGTTATAAGTGAAAGAGTTGTTCATGCATTCGACTTTTACAAGTTGAAAATGCGGCAACTATAAGCCTATAGCTCTGGAAAGAAACTGTTATTAGACTAATAACACTAATAATGCTGTAAGCCGCCCCTGAGTCATGTAATTAAGATTTGAATCCTTTAGTGAACTGTTGTATGGCCATATTATAGCTATATTTCTCAGTGGTTATCTTATAAAATCCATTTCATAATAATCACATCCAACTTTCCATGTTGCTATTGTCATATCCTTATATTGATCTGTTTCAGATGGACACAAGCTGCATGCAAGTCCAAAGTTCCTGCTACTGCTCAGCCACTTCTTTTCAGCATGGGTAAAGTTTTGTAAAATTTGATAGGAGAACATTAAGTTATTCATGATGGTTATACTATGGGCTTTTAGCTAGACTTTCTATATTAGAATAGAAAAGTATAAATCTATTTAGTATACTGGATTTCTGACCTGCTTCTTATAACCACAAAGAATTCTTTATATGTAGTTAAACTGAAAGTGGGCTTTGAAACAAATTTTAATTCCAATGCTGTCAGGAAAGGCTCAAAGTATTGTTGCTGATGTCCACCTATTTGAATTGCCTGTTACCCTGTACATCCAAAGTATCATCAGTTGTCCAAGGACTTTGACATTAGGTTTCATTTGTTTATCTCTTCTCCAGCTGTCTTGGTAAATTAGGTAGCTCATTCACTGCAATGCTTGTCAATCACATTCTTGCAACAAACCACCAAACTTACAGCAATCAAAAACCATAGTAATGACTATTTGATCATTGTGATATATCTTCTGTGGTAAAAGGTGATCGTGGGATTCAGTTTTTTCTCATTCAAGACTCTGCTACAGAGGGCATAAAATAAACACTTAGGCTGGCACTGGCCAGCTCATTGCTTTTGGTGGACCTCTCGCTACTGTTATTTAGCCAGCCTGACAGCCTATATGACTCTAGATTGGAACTTAAATAACTTACTACCATAATTCACATTTTAACTTAGACTACTCCTGAATTTCAGGGGGACAGGATGTGGATGTTTGCTGTTGGTTTATATCTTGTTGAGCTAACACCAAACTCTCTGAGACTTACAGCTATATATGGCCTATCTGTGTCTGCGATGCTAGTGCTGTTTGGTTCAAGCATAGGGCGTTGGGTTGATGCAAACAGAAGGCTGAAAGGTATCTATTATTTAGCAAACCTTTTGCTTTTATGGGAAAGTAAATGCGGGGTGACATATACTTCAACTGTTTTGGTATGTCTCTAGTTTGTAGATTTTTACACAAAAAAGTTGCTTACAAATTACACATGGTAATTCTGACAAGTAGCTACTCAAGCAGTCCTTTTTGGGATATTGTTGTCGAGCTTCAATCAATGAAGATTTAATTTGAGTTTTCAACATGTCTCCATTTCAAAACAGATTCATGCCCATCAATCAGGATTTTATAAGTGGTTAACTGAGTTTATTAATCAGGCCTGACCTGGAATAAAAAGCATGCAGGCTTAAAAAGACCTCTGCTGATTTGGCTGTGTGGGCTATTTTGTCCTTGCAGAATTTGTTGTTTATCTATTTTTATTTGAGTATAAACAAGCCAAAAGATAAAATATCTTGTCTACTTGTAAACATGATTTATGTCAAGAAGACAGTTTTGTGTGTATTTCTACTCTAAACAATGACAAAAGAGATATCGAGTTTTGTTTGCAAAATGGCAGCGTCTTTGTAGAAACACAAATTAATTGAGTAGTATCCAGCGAAACTCATCTTTATCCAAAAAGAGCAGTATAATGAGCAGTACAGTGTAATGTCAGATTAAGTTGATTGGCATTAAAAATTCAAGAAACAATAACTGAAATACGCTTCTTTTCTATAAGAAATGAAGGTCGACTTGGAGTACTCAAGTTTCTTAACGGTATAGGAAATTCCAATTCTCATTCTTTCTTAAGGGTTTCCTAATCTGAAAACAGCACGGAAAAGCAAAAAAATAAAATGATAAAATTCGGCGAATATCATATACATAACTCCCAAAGCTTAAAGGGAAGCAGAAATACGGATCGAAAGTAACAAGAGAGTTCAGAAAGGGTGAAAAGTTGGTTCTATGTTTTTAACAAATCCCAACCGCTTATCTCTCACCTTGTTGAGGAGTCAAAGAGTAGAGACGAATTATATCGAAAACTTTTTTAATTTTTTTCCGATCGCCCAGTTTTCGTTTCTTATAGCGTGTTTCTTATACAAAATGAGTGTATTCGTAACACAAATTTTGTACTTGACAATGTTGGATAACTATTCTCATTCTCGCTATTTTACGCTATCTGTTGTTCCTTTCCCGCACAACCATTTCCTATTCCATTGTTAGTTGTAACAGGTAGTACTATAGTTTGTTAACATTTGATGTCAAAAGAAATGGAAATTCCCTTTTAATGACGATATTTATAAAAACCATACATCTCTTTGACACAACGTTATTCATGAATACCCTGATATATAGCGGTAGGTAGTTAAAACATTAGAGAGTGAGACGAAGTGGATTCAATGAGAGCGTTGTTACAAACAACTGCGTAGGCGGAAAAAGGCCCTCGCAAAACTTTTGTGCTTGGGGTTTGCGCGGGCGCGGGCAATATCCCGCGTCTCCGGGAAAGGCCTGTTATTAATCTACTGTATGTCAATATAGAATAGCCTTTTGTTTTAGTGATTGTCTGTGGAAACTATGAATTAAATTTTTTCATAGATGTTAGTAATGATAACATAGCAAACAATTTATTTCTCACTCTTTTGCTCATTTGTTGATGATATATGCTTCAAGTAAGACTTTAATTAAAATAAAAGACAATTTTTTGCAAACATTTATTGGACTTGCTGTTTTGGTGGTTGGTTTTCACCCCTGAAGATCAGATTTTTACTGAGCTCAGATTATGGTTTCCAATGTTTTGTATTGCACTAGCCACAAATGACTCTGGAAATTTACTCAGTGTTAGTCAGAGAGGAGTTAAAGCAATGTCATTATTTTCCAACCTACATCTTAGCAAACTAAGTGGATCTTCTATATTTAGCTGCAAATAGCCAAATTTGATAAAGAAGAAAATGTCCTCATAATTTGTTCTTTAGATTGTCTCTTTGTGCTTAGAATCCGATATTGTTAAAACTGAGAAGTATGCTAGAGTAATGAAACAAAAAAGAGGTTTGTAGGAAGACAATACGTGTTTGTTTCGGCAGCAGAAATGTTTGTGGATATGCCACTCAATGAAGCATTTTGCATAATAGCTTTGTCATCAAACGCACATGAGAGCTTTCAAAGGAGCGGAATTAAAGGTTTTCTACCTAGCTGCAGCATGATCTGAACTGATAGAAAAGCTCGTCTGGTCGCCTTTAAAGTATCATCTGACATCATCATCATCATCATCAAAGGCGTAGGCCTAGTGGCCCTTGGCACCTCTCACAATGGCAGCCCATTTGAGGCGATCTTGAGCATGCCTCATGGCAGTTGCTAGTGGAAGACCAGTGTCTTTTCTAACCTGGTCTTACCATCTCAAAGGTGGTCTACCTCTACCCCTATTTCCCTGAAAATCTTGGATAAAAACAGACTTGATGTAGTTGTCTCCTGGTCTTCTTGCCATGTGACCGAACCATTTGAGCCTTCTCATTTTGACGATGTTGCCTATGTTCTGGACATTAAACTTATCTCTTATATAGTTGTTGGATAGTCTTTCGTACCTGGTGACGCCAAGGATAGCTCTCAAGCATCGCATTTCAAAAGTTTCAAGCTTTCGTAGATCAACAGAAGTAATGGTCCAGGTGTCTGAGGCATAAAGTGCAATGGGGAGAATGAGTGCATTATAAAGGCGGACTTTTAGTTTATGTGAAATTGACAGTTGATTCCAGACCGTAGATCTCAGCCGGCCGAATGCAGAGGATGCCATACCAATTCTTCGGTCTATGTCTGTTGTGGAGCCTGGTATATTGCTGCCTAGAAACACAAAGTTGTCAACGTGTTCAACAGGGTCTCCATCGATAGTAATAACTTTGTTATCTTCTGGGGATATGACTTTACATTTGGCTGAGTTAATTTTCATACCCCACTTCTTGCATGCCTCTTCAAGTGCTTCCGAAGATAACATTAACTTATCAAATATGCAGGAAATAAGAGTGGTGTCGTCTGCATACCGTATATTATTGCTTAAATTGTTGTCAAGAGTAAGTGAATTGTTAGTGAGGTCCTCAAGTTCTTTCATGACAAATTCTAGGAAGATGTTGAATAAGATTGGAGAAAGCAGACACCCTTGCCTCACTCCAACCTTTACCTCAAAACAATCTGTAAGTTGCCCATTTATAATGACTGCACATTCAGTGTTGTTATACATGTTTTCTATAAGATGGACTATGCTTGGGTCAACTCCTATTGCTAGCAACATTTTCCAAAGAGCTTTTCTCCAAATGGTATCAAATGCAGCCTTAAAGTCAATGAAGTTAAAGTGCAGTGGAACTTTATGCTCTTTAGCCTTTGCTATCAGCTGCCTGAGAATGAATATGGCATCAACTGTTCCTCTACCTGGTCTAAAACCGAACTGACTTTCACTCATAGCTTTTTCCGCTGTCGTTTTAGTTCTGTCAAGTAATATGCTGCAGAACACTTTACCTGGAATAGAAAGAAGGGATATAGCACGGTGATTTGCTGGGTCTAATTTATCCCCCTTTTTGTGGATTGGTGTGACGATCATCCTTGACCAGTCTTATGGCACTTTTTCTCTTTCCAGGCAATATTGAAAATTTTAAGGAGCATGTTGATCATTGTTTCCCCTCCTGCCTTAAGAACTTCAGCTGTGATATTATCCACTCCTGGTGCCTTGTGAGTTTTCATCTTTTGGACTGCTTTTCTAACCTCTTGAAGAGTAAACTCATCTAGTGGCTCAACGTCATTAGGTGGATCTGGTAATGAGTCATAAGCATCCTCTTCATGGGGAAACTCTGTGTTTAAGTGAGTTTCAAAGTGTTTCTTCCATTCCAGCAGTCAAGTATAACATCTGTGTTTGTGTGGATGTTACCTGTGATATCTTTAACGGCACTTATAGGCTTTTCTTTTTACCTTCAAGACGCCTTACATTTTTAAATAGATTATGCGTGCTGTTTCTTTTGAAATCTTCTTCCATGCTCTTAACTAGTTGTTCCAAGTTTGCCTTTTTCTGAGATCTGACAGACTTCTTGACCTGCCTGTTTAGGTCATTATAATGTGTTCTTAGATGGTTGTTGTCTGGTTTATTCAGCATCTCCTTTCTTGCCAGACGTCTTTTGTCACATAGTTTTACTATGTCGGCATCTAGTCCATCTACGTGCTTTCGTTTTTTAACACCAGTAATTTCAAGGTTTGCAACCAAAAGGAAGTGATCGGTGTAGACATCAGCTGAGTGGTATGCTCTAGAGTTCTTTAGTTTTGGTTTGAGATCTTTTTTAACTATGATATAATCAATTTGGTTAAAGGTAAGACCATCTGGGGAAAGCCAAGTGGCACGTCTCTTGCGTTTATGCCTAAACATGGTGTTAGTTATGATCAGGTTGTTTATTGAGCAGAATTGTAATAGGAGGTTGCCTCTTTCATTTATGGATCCTAAGCCATAATGACCAACTACTTCTGGCCAGTTGTTGTGGGAGTTTTCTCCAACCTTTGCGTTAGGATGATCTCATAAGGATGAAGTCTCCCATAAGGATGATCTCAGTCTTTTTGTTGGTGTTGTTAATGATGCATTGCAGCTGGTCATAGAAGCCATCAATCGCACTATCATTGTATGTGCTGTCTGGGGCATAGATTTGTATGAAGGTGACTTCTTGGGTGTTAAATTTGAAAGTGGCACTAATGATTCTTTCAGAATGGCATTCATAATGTGTGAGTTGTTGGAATATTGTCTTATGAATTATGAAGCCAGCCCTTTGCCTACAGATATTGTCCTTTCTGGATGATTGTATTACCACATGATCCCCTTCTTCAAAAGCTTCTTCTATGCCTGCATTCCAGTGAGTCTCAGGCAAGCCAAGTATCATCAGATTAAACTTAGCCATTTCCTGGGTCACCTGCTCAAGTTTTCCATCAACATTCAAGGTTCTCACATTCCAAGTAGCAACTGAAGTGAGAGAAGAATTCTTCTCAACCGGGAGATTCTTAGCACCCTCTCTCTTTCGAGTGCCTGGGACTGAGGGCCGTGGTTTTGGTGTTGCCATTGTGGAAGGTAAGTCGCTGGTTACTTGGGCACTCGCGAGGACATCCCAAGGGTGTTTTTATCGAGACACTATCTCTATCTAGCTGGCCGTTGACTCTTTGAAGAGTTCATCCGCCCTTTGACAGGTGTTCTTTTTAGTCCTGCTGGGATGCTAGAATCCCTCCCCAATCACAACACTGGTGTGCTGTGATTGAGGGGAGTCGGTTTAGTCGCCGGCCAATCGACCCGCGGCAGGTTGTACTGGGTTACGTGGTACCAGTAGCAGGTTTCAAAAATCTGACCTGACTTTTGACATTCGCTTGGAAATCTAGAATATGCATGCAACAAGATTCTTATTCCATTTTGCCCCTACTCACTAAGGTTTAAAGGGAAAAGACCTAGATTTCAGTAAGATAGACTAAGATAGGCATTATGCGAGTTCTTTTCCAGGAGCTGAATAAATTTTGTCGCTTTGCATTTCACCTCTGCAGATTTTTCGCAAAGGCCTGGCGCTAAAGTCAAAATGGTATAGAGGGCCTCTAAGTATGAGACAAACTGGAATATCCTTGCTCTCTGCACCACTTTATGCCCATCGAATCTTTCCGCAGCGCAGTTTTAAAGCTTAGTTTGACACATTCTCAGATAGGGTGTCCATTCGACTCCCCGGTGAAAATTCACTTCACACGATACCGGATTCATTTCGTATCGGATTCACTGACCCAATTCGATACGAATATGAAGCTCTGTTTACACGATACCGGACTCATTTCGTATCGGATTCACTCCTGTTCACACGGTGACGCCACGCTTCAAACTGCTCCGAAAAATCCAGTTGTCTTTTAGCAGTTGCATAGCAACGTAGAATGTTGTTCGTTGTTTTGAACATGGTTTTGAACAAGAAGTATTTCGAAATCAGTTTTTAAACCATCTAATTTTCCTTTGCATTTATCTTGTGAAGCTCATCATTATCATCGCAAGGAGCATATTTATTGTTTCACTGGATCCACTGTCATTTCGTGCCTTGAAAAGAGTGCCAAACTGTTTTTAAAATCCCCGAAAACGAAGCTTCCTTTTCGAAACAGAGGTTCCGGAGCGAAACCGTATCGGATTCATGCGTTCATACGTGCTCAAAAGTGATCCGATATAATTCCATTCCACATTCAGAGCATTCCACATGGTTTGACTCCGCAAAAGTGGTGATATGAAAAGTGATCCGATACGACATGAATCCGGTATCGTGTGAACAGGGCCTTAAGGTCGTTTACACGATCACATTCTGTGATCACATGAAAAATGTGATGGAAATTTACCTGAATATGATCGTGTAAACCGGCCTTAAGAAAGAAAGTTCTTCCAATAGTTGATCGTAATAAATTTTGCTTTCATCTCATTTGCAGTGATTCGTGTGTCATTGGTGCTGCAGAATGCTCTTGTGATTGTGAGTGCCTTAGTCATTCTAGGGATCCTTTTTCGCAAGCCAGGACATCCATTATTGCTCAAACTTTGTGAAGCTACAATCATAGTTCTTGGGTCTTTTGCGAATCTCGCTAGTCAAGCCTCGACAATTGCTATCGAAAAAGACTGGGTCGTCGTTGTTTCCGTGGGTGACAAAGACCTTCTGGCTGGTAAGTTGTCGTTTCGTTGTCTTTTTAATTAAATGTCATTTTTGCTTCAACTTGTATTGAAGTTTCACTATATGGTAATATCATACCCACCATTGAGAACTGCGGGTGAATCCAGCATGACATTCAAACTATAAGCATATCATTTTACCAAGACGCACCCTTAGAATTCTAAATTTCATACTGGCGAGGCAAGTATCTTCAAACAGTATTATTTTTGCTACTACCTTGATAATTTACTTTCAAATACATATTTGCCATTCAAACAAGCAAATGATTTACTTTTTCTAACCTAGACCTGAATGCAAAGATGAGGCGCATTGATCTGTCGTGCGCCATTCTCGCACCCATTGCAGTTGGCCTGATAATGACTCTTGGATCAAACTTTGCTGGCATTATATTTATTTGTGGTTGGAACACAATCTCTTTCTTTGTCGAGTACTACCTACTGTCACTTGTTTACAGAGCAGTTCCTCGTTTAGCGATCAAAATGTCTGCTCTTGACAAGAAAGATCATTTTCGTGGCTCAATTGAAAGTATACACGAAGGAGATGAGTTCTCAAAAATAATGGAGGAGGAGAATCTAAATCTGATTGACACTAGCGCTGATTCAAATTGCTTCAAGATGGCATGCAGTAAGATACGCAGCTTCTGGGATGGTTGGCGCGTATACTTCAAGCAGGATGTCGCTTTGGCGGGCACTTCTTTGGCATTCCTGTATCTAACAGTCCTTGGCTTTAGTTCAGTGACAACCGGTTATGTGTATACTCAAAAGATTTCAGGCGCAGTTTTGAGTGTGTGTTACGGTGGCGGCTCTCTGGTGGGGATTATCGGTACATTTCTCTTTCCTCGCATTCGAAAGAAGGCTGGACTTGTGAAGACAGGGCTGATTTCCTTCTGGTTCCAATGTTCCATGCTTGCTCTTTGTGTCGCGTCTGTTTGGGCACCAGGCAGTCCAAGTGACTTATATTCAGAGCATAATCACATTTGGCAGCAGCAAACGAAATCGGCAAAGCATCTTACTGAAATGAGTAACAGAAGTGGCTTAGCTATTCATGGCAAGATAATAAAATCATTCCCAATCATGGAGGCAAATAAGACTTCGCCAAAACCAGATGAAAAGTTCTCATATACATCAGTAAGCCTCTTTCTCACAGGGCTGATTCTTTCTCGCGCAGGGCTGTGGATGACCGATCTTACTGTAACACAGCTACTGCAAGAAAATGTTGCCGAAATGGAGCGTGGGATTGTCAGTGGCACACAAGGCTCTTTCAACGCGGTTCTAGACATGGCCCACTACGTGCTAACGATTGGATTACCTCGACCGAATCAGTTCGGTATACTGACCCTAATATCCTTCGCTGCAGTAATTTTTGGCTATGTTACTTACATTCTTTTCTTCTTCCTAAAAGCTAAGGATCTCCATTCCAAAGGTAGAGACATGGTCAGTGTCTCTTCACTGGAGTGGAGTCGCAAAAGAAAAGCTAACAAGGACGATCCAGAGTCCAAAGGACTGGCTACACTTGATGATGACGAAGAGGAAGTAATTCGTGGAACATTGCAGGTGCGCCATCAGGATTCAGAAACAGCTAATATTTTATGATATTTTGTACATTGTAACGCATCATGTGAAATGCTAATGAGACGCTTTATTCGCAAGTCTGCGTAGATTTTTATATAAAACTGTGCTTATTTGTAGAAATACTTAAAAGATAATTCGAGAAGTCATGAGATCTTGCTATTGCTAATTAGACCAGGTGCTGCTTAAAATAATAGTTGACAGATTTGTCGCTCGTGAACTATGTAGAATAAAATTGCTGTATGTTATTATTTCGTGTAAATGTAAGCTTAGTTTGCAGGTTTCAAATCATGTTTGTAAATGTTGTCTTCAAGGCGATAGGTTGTCCTGTGTATACGTTAAGACAGCTTAAGACCTAGGGTATGAGTATGGGCACAAGTTTCTTTTAACAAATAGCTTTTTTTCTATCTATCTCAAGATGCTTGGTTTCCTTTATTTTATGCTAGATAGGAATGTAGTAAGTGTGCAATCTCGTACTTGATACTGTTATGTTTTTCATCCAAAGAACAGAAAATTCTTCGATTCTATTAGATTTGCTCTTATGATTTGCCATAAACCTTAGTAGTTTTATCTTGAGATGGTTTTGATTCGTTTTTAGGCGTGTATGCACTTTGTGTAGATTAGAATGACCAAATTTGTAAATGTGATCCTCGGTAGATGTAGATTATCTTTTAATAACGATGGTTTAAATTCCTTTGCCCGAATATTTGTCGTTTTCTACTGAGACCTCCACTAGCATTGTGTTGAATTCCCTTTCAAACGGGCCGCGGCAATGAAATTGGTTTGTTAATGGAAAGGAGTGTGAGGGCAACGAAACATCAAGGCCATTACCCTGTACCAATTTCTCAAAATGCCCCGTCAAATATATCTGCCTATATAGGGCCAAGGGTCATCCTTAATTGTTAGTTTGATTTGTTGCGACGAGTTCTAATTTAATTCATTTTGACTTGCAATAGTAGCATCCGTTGATTCATAATCATAACCCTTCCCTGGACATTGCGCGATTTGATGTCATACATCTCAGTGTTTTCATTTCATGATGCGATGGTTTTCCTGCCCCATATGCTTTGACGTGACTGCCTTTCATCAATAAACTGGTATTATAATTTTGTTGGACGTTCTTTTATTCTAAACTAACATCAGTATTCTGGTAGTGTCAAGTTCGTCAACAGGGTTAATTTTAGTGTCACAGCAAAGACAAGAAGTGATGATATGATATTTTGGGGAGATTGATTGATTTTTAAACGTCCTCCAATTTTGCAAAGTTTATGAAGCTGTTTTGTACGATGGGGGTTTTTCAATTTCGAATGAACTGAATATTGGTTGAAACGGGATTGCTTACTGTTTTCTTGTCGTCTGCCTAAATAAAACCAGACCTTTTTTCGAAACAAAATTGCACGTGCTTATTTATGATCGGAGATTCATTGGTTTTTGGAAAAATAAGAATAGACGGTGCAAATCCAGGCGCACGTGCCTTTATTTTTCTTGGAAATGCATGGAAAGTCGTTACGCAGGAAATTTCTTGAAAGGTTTGTGGTACAATTTGTCCTACGCCAAGACATATATGAAAATAAACATGAAATATAAGTATGAAATATAAATGAATAAATTTTCTAGAAATAGTGTGCATTGGTCAATTATATAGGTTTAATTCTTTAAAGACTTTAGAGTCAAAGAAACAACAGAATTCGCAGAAATTAACAATACAAAATTGAAGGAAGCATAGCAATTGAAAAACAGAGAAGAAGCAGGTGCCATATTTCGATTAAGGCTTATTTTTTATTTTCTCTTGACTGTGTTTTTGAGTAGAAAACATTACTGTTATAAGTAAACAGCTCCTATTTTTAAATACAAACGCATGGGCCTATTAATTAAGTGCGCGTTTATTTCGAGCAAGAAAGTGTGCGTTAAGCTCGTAGCATTCTCAATTTTGTGAAATGTTGCCCAGGCGTCCTGGGTCACTTCAGGGGCCGGGTAGCCATTGGGCTAGCAGTAACTATAAAGCGCCCATACTTTTTGCAATAATAGGTTTAAAAAAATTTTCGAACATGGAATTTCTAATTTGTCTTTTCATAACCAATATTTGTGTCAATCATTTTATAATTGCAGTGAAGATGGAAATGTATTATCATTCGGTCAACACCAGCATGAAAAGCCAACAAACATGCTGCATACGAGAGTCCGTGCTTTGCCAAGAAAACATCTTGTAGCAAAACTCTTTTCAAAACCTAAAAGGTCTTGGCTTTGATTCTCTATACAAATTAGAAGTATGTACGTTCATGCTCGAATTTTTTATTAACAATCATAATGAGCTTTTTGATAAATTCACAAAAACTTCTTCTCTTCTTGATTATCAAACCAGAAATTCCGCCTTTGTCCCAACTGAATTCAAAAGTAAGTCAATAATCTTTCAAGACAAAAAATTTGGAACAATTTGGTATTTAGCCATCTCTTAATTAAATAAACTATGACTAATTATATAAACAATTTGGTATTGAGTTTTTTCCACATATCCCGCAGCTCATTTCAGTTAAGTTCATTTCATTTCAAGTTCACTACATACAATTTAGTGATAATAACTAAACAAACAACACGTTTGGCAGGAAATTCAAATAATACTATGCAAGAACATAAAAACAAAGTAAACTGCATGGAGGGAATTATTTAGAGGAGGAGATGGGTAAATTATCGAGGAGAGAGCATCCCCTGGTAAAGCTTTCATTTTTTGTAATAGTTACTGTTATGAAATCAGTGCCGTCGGAACGAAATTCATATTGGGGGGGGGTGTCTTTTATATTCCTTCTTATTCAGTACACTGTTATAAAGGAAACATACTACACTTACGTTCAAAAAGTATTGGGACGAATTCGATAAACGAATTATGGCGTTGCGTTGGATTTGGTTTTGCAACGGAAACTTTTTCAGATTTAGGCAGTCTTTCTACAAATAATCTAGGCCCAAGTTTCCCCAAAATGAAATAAAAAGTTAACAAAATGCTTCAACTTATGAAGAATAACCAAGAAAACACAGGATTCTTTCGATTTTCCTGATTATAACAGCAAAATATGCAGAAGGGCTGAATGGCCTGACAATGGCAAAGTCACATGACCTTCCAAAAATTTTAGAGCTGTCCAAACAAATACAACTTTTTAATTTCACCTTTGCATAACAAAAAAAATTATTAAAGAAATTATAAAATCAAACTTTTAAGCTTCAAAAAAAGTTTACTTCATCGACGAAAATGCTACAAATTTATTAAATTATTGCATTTATTCAAGCTACTTTTAAAATTGCAAAACATTAAAGGAGAAGCCATTGTACTCATCGTTGATGAGTAATTTTTGCTTTGAGAGAGCATTTTCTTCTTATAACGCTGGAAAATTTGTATTTTACATGACTTCTATAGCCATGTTTTTGCTTATGTTCCAAAAATTAGCTTCCTTTTACACGACAACATGATATCTAGTAAGGATTCAAACCTATTACTTCGCAGTTCCCTCAGTAAAGAACTGTCGTCCCTAGGCGTCGTAAACTTCTTTGGTCTGCAAACCCTTGGTAAATGTTTTTCTGTTCTTGTACGGAAAAACTTTTCACACACCAGAAAAGCTGCACTCATTGAGCAGCCGAGAATTGATGCAAAATTTACTTTATTATAGTAGAAAGCAATTTTTAAGCGCTTCTCTTAACTCAGTTCTTGAGTTTTCAGAGCTTCCATGTTTTCGTCTCGAGACCTATAGAAATTTTATGGTAGATGTATTTTTGATTTTTTGGCGTACATAAAAGGCTTCAAAATATCAACAATGTCTTGTGAAAATTTCATGGAAATACCTGCCGTACTTTTTTAATGAGAAAGATTTTAAAAAAGTCTTTCCGAATTTGTTGCATAAAATGTCTTCGAAGTTTCGAAGGGTGTCCCAATACTTTTTGAACGTAAGTGTACATTTTGACAATTAAAGGGGGTATCCAGCCCCCAGCCCCGGGCCTGGCAAATCAATATATTAATGTATATTTCCTGCTATTCAATCATCTTAAATTTAGCAGTAGCTTCTTGTTTTCCGATGCTTGAATTATATTTACTGTCTTGTTATGAAATGAAAAACTTGAAATTGACTTTGGTGTGCAGATTGAGGTGCAGATTGAGATTTTGTGCAGAGGGCAGTGGTAGCAGCAACAACAACTGGCTCACCGGTGTTGCTCACTTGGCAACAAAAAAAATGGCGGGTCAACATGATATAGATCGGATACCTTCCTCGATTACTTCTTCTACGAAAATGGCTCAGAGTGATAATATCTCGAACTCTGAAAAAGGTGATGACCAAGAAATAGGCTCGAATCGTTCAAATGGAGGCTCGACATTTGCTTCTATAAGGTGAGCCCTGGAATACCAATGTCAAAAGGCCTACCTGCAAATACGATGATTTTTTTTATTTCGTAATCTGCTTTAATCTTATCATTCATTTGGTGATTTTATTGATTGCAATAAATCATTACAACATATTTTTTAATATGTTGTTAATCATGTTCTGTGACAACTTACAAAGAGAAAGAGAAAATCTTTTAGGACAGAAGTTGAACGATACCGTTCCAGCACTCAAATCGATTGTAGCACAATGGTCTGATAGAAAAATGGTTTGATAACACTTTGATTTTAAGAATATCATCATGTCATTTAGATGTGTACCATATTGGTGACACAGATTTAAAGAGCTAAAAAAATTGGCTGGCTGCTGCTTTTTGACATGCCTTGCTGAAAATTGTGGGGTTTGTGCTAGGAAGCAAAATTTCCATGCTATTGTCACATAAAGCTGCATTGTTGTCTGTTTTTTTGTGAGTAGTTGGCGGGTTAGCTGAGTGCTCAGTTTTCTCAATACTGTAAATCCTCTAATTAGCCACCTGGGAGCTTATCTATTTTTATATTTTTTGATGGTGGGTTATTCGAGGGGTGCTTATTCAAAGGGGGGGGGGGGGGGGGTGTTATAAAATTATCTGGAACATGGCCAGGTATTGGTTACAAAATTGTTAGGAAAACAAAATCTCCTGGAACTCACTGTACATAATGAAAAACAAATTATTAAAAGACCTGCTAAGTTTTAGTAGGAATTTCTTTATGAACATTTAATTAATTATTACCCAAAGTGTGAATTTTTGTGGTAATTCAATAAAACGCTAAAGGCAACCTCAGATGGCAAAATCAACAAATAAAGGGGGCCGATTTGAGGATTTGTGGTAGCAGTGGGGGTTTATTCAAGGGGGGACTCATTTACAATTTGTAGTTCTAGGGTAGGGGCTTATTCCAGGGGAGCTTTTTGAAGAAGGTGGACAAATGGAGGATTTACAGTAGTTACTAGAAGTTTGAATTCTAAAAGAGGACAAGGTGCTAGAGGTCTCTAAAGACAATGTTCTTTTGCTATCACTTTTGATATCTATTATTCTTTTCTGACAAAAATGCATTCAAGATTTTCTTCCCCTTTACTTTGCTAAAACATAAATTCAATTATTATGGGCAGGTTTTTTTTAATGGGTCATGCAAAGGACTTGAATCAAAGCTTGGCGGTTAAAGAAAAATAAATGTTTGAGAAAAAAGGACAGAAAAATTATGGTTGTATTTTTGTGTCTCTCGAGAGATGTCTGTGTTTCATACTTGATTATAAAAATCTTTGATAGAGAATATCACAGAGAATCAAAAGCTTTCACAATCAATCTCCCTTAGATAAAATTATTTGAAGTAAAAGGCTCACATTTGAAAGTAGGTGGCTATAAGTTTGCTAAAGTTTGTGCAGACTTACTAAAGTGAGGGTGAAAGTATATGGTGAAGGTTTGGTGAGTAAGTAGCAGACCTTCGCCAGTTGCTGGCTTCTAAAGACATCTCTGGATGTAGTATTTAACATTACCTTATATTCTGGACCTTGTTTTTTTCAAATTATGCATGCTTCCTATTTCTAAAAATATTTATTCAAGAAGTTGTTACCCTAATAAGTTTGAAAAGTGTCCTTCTGAGCAGAACCTTACTTTTAATCTGCAATATGTAGCACACAAATGAATACTTGTATTTTTCATATTCTGTTAATGTATTTCATTGCATATTTAATATAACTAATTTGTAAAAACATAAATCAGAAGTGACAAAAACCAGTAAATTTTGCTTACTGATTCTCTATTTGCAGGCCATGTTTGGCTGATAAGTTGAGAGTTGGTTATTTCAGCATGGACAGAGCTTGCCAGACTGAACAGTCAGAAATAATTGATTTAAAAGAAACAACAGGCCTGTTGACTTCTCTTGTTCAGGTATGAAGCCTGCTTAATATGTGATCTGCTTAAGCACAGCCTCCTGGAAAAACCAGACATTAAGACCCAAGACCCCTGGATCCCTAGGATCATTTAGTAAAGCCCTAGGACAACTAAGACAGCATCATACCAGATACAGAATATTCAGTACAGAGGTCATTTTTGGTCCTCATTACCAAGGGAAATTAAAATTTCCAACACACTAGTCGAGTTCAAGCAAAAAATAAAGTTATGGCATCGAACTAGCTGCGTCTGCAGATTCTGCAAAATTTCCATTAATGATTTAGGGTTTTTGTAGATTTAGTATGGACATGGTAAAGTAGGTTTTAGATTATTTTGTTGGCGTTAATTAGCTTATTAGCTATATGTATTTTTTGTTCTTTCTTGCCAACGTAAAAGAAATTGCAAAAAATAATAATAGTAATAATGATAATAACAGAAGACTAAAACTATTGGAAAGATCTGTTATTTTTTCATCTGTTTTGAAAGAACTTATGGACTTGATTTCCAATAATCAAAACATGACAGTGATTGTTTTGAAAGCTAGTATAGACTGGGAGGTATCTTTGGATCATTAATGTTGAGTTGTTGACCTTACTATCCACTAAAGCTCAACTGTTCAAACTGATTAGCCCCTGTAAAATTTGGTAAACATTATATTTGGTAATTGGACGAATGGTAAGCTCTAACAGATACCACGCTGTGTGACATTGCTTCTTTCATAGTTAAGGGTCCTCTTGATATTCCGTACTTAATGGTCCTAAGGGTCCTAGGGTCATAGGGTTTGGTTTTTTCAGGATGTCTATGAAATCTCTATACAGTAAACAGAAATGGCTGCATTTTTACTGTTTTCAAGATTGTTTTACAGTCATTATTTTTCTGATAACATCCACATTGAGAGGCTTTGAGAATTGAGAAGATCCAAAAGCCCCTGCTCAGAATCTAAAATAAATTGTTTCTTTTCTGGTTTGCAATTTATTAAAACATTGCTATCAAATGAATGTTGTGAAGTCAATTGTAGGACCTTTTAATCAACATAAATTTTTTGTAGGAAGTTTCTGTGTTAAAAAAGACACTGAATTACACAAAACTGGCACTGCAAGCTGATTATGATGCCAAGATTGAATCTCGTTCTGTGGAACTGTAAGTTTGCCTTTTTTATTCAATTTAAGCAACAAAGATTTTCCTTTACATTGGCAAATTTCTGTTTGCATGAAATGAATATTTCCTAAGAATTTAGTTGTCAGATTTTGATTAAAAAACTATTTTGGAAACTAGAATTCAAGGAGATTTTCAGCCACACAAAGTACTCATAAATTTTCATGATTGTGACTAAATGATAAAATAATAAATTTTTTTGTAATTTAGAAGCATGTTAATTTTCAGGTATAACAGAACAAATAGCCACATTGCTGAAATAGAAGAGTTACATAAAGAGGTAAAATAGTTTTTATTTTGAGTTTATGCCATGAAAACTTTAATTCAGTCTTCTTTCAAAATTTTTAAGAGTATTATGTAAATATTTATTCTTTAATTGGACAAATTTTGATCATAAACCTAATCCCATTGCATACCATATTAATTTGCTTTGTATTTAAGCTTGAATGGTGAAATCTTTTTTTCTTCATTTAGAGAGTAAAAGTAGTGAGGCATAGCTTTCGCACTCAGCTTGCCGATGCCATTTGCAAAATATCAACAGACTATCATGTAAGTTGCTAATTAGAATGATGAATTTCTGATGGTTGAGAGGATGACTAGGTTGTGAAGACCAAATATTTACAATAGCTTACCGCTAAAATTTGTATCAATTGCTGATTACCTGTTGCAGCTATTGTGAACAAGGCAGTTGATTAACTCTTCTTTATCTAATCTTTTTTGCTGTTTAGAAGCTGCTTCGTTGAAAGGTCATAGTTTTAGCTGCAAAAGATCCTATGTAGAAAATCCTTAATCAATCCTTATTTTAATTGAAATTCTACATGGATGTTGGCATTTGTGACCATATTCATCAGCTTTTGGAGTTTTCTTTGTGTATTTATTACCTTCCATACTGCCTTTTTGCTGGCTGTATGAATTATTTGCTCAAAAGAAGCTTCGTTATCCTCGAAAAGAACGCACGTCTATGGATTTACTGATCTCTTTAATTGTAGTTGTTCTCTAAGCATTAACTTTCTGGACAGTAGCTTTGGGATGGTAGAGTGAACATAGTTACCTTTGGTCTGTTTGTCGCCGTCCTCCTCATAATTTAGCAAATAGCTTTGATAAGGAATGAATTTTGGTCTCCGATTTCAGCACATAAATTAGTTGTTTTGGTATCCTGAGAAACGTCATATCAGATACAATAGAATTTATCATTTTATAGGTTTATTTTATCATTTTAGAATGATGAAATAATGAGGAATAATTATCCCAGATTTTAACAAAAGTTTCATAGCGAGGCGTTGATTTCAAAACCTTTTTAGGATAGTTGAAGAACTTGACTGGTTTTCCTGTCTCCTAATCATCTTGGACCAAGAAACTACTTCTGACCACCTTTAAGGTGTTTTTCTGTTTCTAATGTTCTTTATATATTACAAAATTGCAAATAAATAAAATTGAAGTCTCATAAAACGGAGCCTGAAAGAGAAATCTTCTCGCATATCTGCTTTACGATGCTCTAGGGCCTTAGTTTGTAAAAGAAACAGCTCGAGCACCCCTCAATGATGCAGAAGATTAAGTCGACTCACTTATCGAAAGAATATTGCTTTACCTGACTTAACTTTAAACTGGAGCACTTCCCCTTTTTTATTGTTTTTGATGTAGATTATGCATGTGAAAAGCAGCTACATTCCTAAAATTTGATACCCTCCAACTTTGGCTTTCTTCCTTAAGGAACCGTAATGTACACAAATCGAGTCACTACTGAGCTATTCCTCCCCCGTCTGTCTATCCTAGAAATACTATGCCTTAAAAGGTGAACTGCAAGACAGAGAACACCAAAGCGAGCTCAATAAAATGGCACAGATTCAAGAGGAACAAAAGCAGGACCATCTTGCACAACAGGAAATGCTTGATATGATGCAGCTTCAATTTTCACATGATGAGATTCAAGACGACGAAGAATCTTCAACAAAATCTCCATCAGTTTCTTCTGAAATGGAAAGGCATGCAGAGGAGATCAGGCATTTGACTGATACAATTTCAAATCTTGAAGATCGCATCGATGAGTTTTCAGAGCTTCTAGATCAGAAAAATGAGGAAAAAGATCATTTAGGTGTCTATCTCGAGCATTTTAATAAAATCATTTCGCTGTAATCTTGAGCAATAACACACGTTTAACTTTCTTTTGAATATACTTTTTATTTTGAAGCAAATCTGAATTTGCTTGGTGTGGACAGTTTGTCTTTCCTCAGTCAGCAAAATACTTTATTCTGCGTTATCTTGTTTAGTCCTTAAGGTTTTACTTTGTAGTTCGTTTTGACATTCAAGGTGTCAGATACCTGCAATTTCTTTGATAATTTGCTTCCGAAGTTCGAGGTTGAGTATCGCGAAAAGATTTTTAGTCCTTAAAATTCGTTTATCTTATTATTTTATGGGCATTTTCTTCCAGCACTCTTTGATAAAACACACTAAAAACAATACATTTTGAAAGAACAAATGTACGTCGTTTGTGCATCGGAATGGCTACTGTAAATCACCTATATAAGATACCTGAGAATATATAATATAAATTACAATTAGATGCGGCAAATCTTTATAATTTGCACGTTTTTGCAGAAAAGGAATGCCAGCGTTTGGTCGAAAAGCTGAACTTAGAACAAGATACGCAAACTCAGGTTAGAAATTTTATGTTATTATATTTTTAACTGTATTTATTAACAAGACACGATATTTGATATTTAATTTTATTATTTGTAAATATTTTTTGCGTTTGTTGGTAGATATATGTTTATTTGGTTTTCATAACAGAAGAGTTATAGAATATTTTGATTGAAACCAAGTTATAAAATGTTGCCTATGTTAACAACCCTGACTTCCAGTGAGAGAATTGTCTCTTTCGCTGGAGCATGCATCATGTGCAGTAGGGACTGTCACTTTTCTTGTTAATCTAATAGCTTAACATGCACTTCATTTATCCCTTTTTGTAGCTGAAAAAGGAAGTGGTGGACCTCAAGCTTGAAATCGAAACAGAAAAGAAAAACAGTCGATTAGAGGTAGATGGTTCATTATAAAAAATGAAAAAGACAATATAAGGAAGATATTTTCGAATAAATTAATCTTTGTTTGTTTAAGCACTTGTGCGCTTTTCATTCTAATAATTAAATGCCTATTTTGAAAACAAATCTTTCAACAGGCTTCATATTATTCGAAGTTATTTCATTTTTTTGTTTTACCTCAGCAAGTGACAATATTCGAACAAGCTGTCCTCCCACTTCTTTCTATTCGTCTCTGAAACACATAGATACACACACTAATTCGAGGTCTTTATCAGCCGATGCATGTTTTTCTTTTAGCTAGAAAGGCAGAAGGAAGAATTGCAACTTGCAATGCAACAACGAATAGAAATAATTAGAGCTGAGGTTAATGAAATTGTTTGCTTATAAATTTTTTTCTCATGGTTTAAACATCCCTGCTTCAGAGTCTTTATCTCAATTTATTGAAGCAGATCCTATCATAATTTATTACACTAGATTTGATATCTATCATGCTTAAATGGTATTCTGGCATGTATAAATATTATAAACTTTCACTAATTTTCTTCTACCCGGAACATTTGCTTCTTCTACCCGGAAATTCAAGCACACGTTCTTCTAAACGCATTTATTTGCTTTGCTGTATCGCGTCTAGAAATTAAAGGCATGAAACTCGTCTTGATTCGATGTTTCTTTTTTATTCATCACAAAATCACTGTGCAATGGTTTATAAAAACGATGTTGAATCGAATTGAACGTTGAAAGAATCAACTGATGAAAAGTAGCGATTGCCACATTTAGAATTTAATTGTTATTAGCTCTCATTAAACAAGGTTTTCCGGATTTTCTGTTTAGGCCCACCGAGAAGCCGAAATGAAGATATCAGACGTGGAAAATGCTGCTAAGCGTAAGGAGAAAGCGATACAAGAGCAGGTTAAACTGGAAAAGGAGAAGCTTGCCGAGGTTAATATGACACTCATGACATTGCTTCAGATTGTGGAACTAGGCTATGATTTGGATAGGGATAAAGTTTGTGAATGGAGCAGAGATTAGCTAGCTTTCAAAAGGAGCGTTGCATTCCCGACAATACATTTTATTAACAATGACACTATCAACTCAATGTTGCCACTTTGTGTTGTTTGACATAAGCTATGGAGAATTTTACTTCGAATTCCTTTTTTTAGTTAAATATAAGCCTTACTTAACAATGCATAATTTGCAAAAAGAGGCAATATGATTAATGCCTGAGTCAGAATAAAAAAATTGTGTTTTTAGTCAAACCATTCGTGTCCTCTTTAGAGTGCAAAGCAAGTGGAGAAGTCTATTTCAAATGACAATTTGGCGCAAGATTTAGCACGCATGAAAGAAATTGATAAGATGCAAAGGCAAGAAATATTGAGGTACGTTTATCTTTTTACTAAAATAGAAAAATTTTATCAGAATCGTGATTTATTAGAAAAAATTGTTAGAAAAAATATTAGGAAAAAAACCAAAAAAGTCACGTTGTAATTCTAATGCAAGGTGAAGTCTACAATTTCAAATTACCCATTAGAAATTTCGTCTGTTTAAATTTTTAAGAACTAGTCACTAATAGTGTCAAAAACCTTAATTTGAATGTCTAATTTGAATGCCTATTTTTCATTTTTTTAAGCAAATTTGGGAATTTTAATTTTTTTTACATAGTGGTACTGCGAAAAATACCACACATCACAGCAAGTTGCTTCTATGCAGCACAATCATGTCACTGTTATTTATCATTTTTAGACAAAATGTTTACTTAGGTGAGCTCGTATTATCTCTTTAGGTTGCAAAAGGAACTTGAAAAGTCCAATAAAACATGGGAGGTTAAAGTTACTATTTTGCAGCAAACGTGAGTAATCTTCTAATGACAGCTTTATGCCAATAACCACGATGACTGTTTTTGTCAACAGTCAACATATATGAGTTAAGCAATGTTTTTATGGAACAGATGTATATTTCTGTTGTTCATGTTCACCTCTTTGATATATTATCACTTGTTTGATAAATAATCATAAAGCAATGTTTTTATTCCACACATATAGGATGCATGCACTGAAGGATGAGATGTTTCTGCGAACATCTTTGAAGAGACAATCTGCAAAACTGCAACACGCGGCCATCACTTACGCCGTGAGTTGTTTTTTCAATTCATTTGCGAAAATGAAAGTCACACACCGCGATTTTCACTGCGAGTTGCACTGCAAACGATGACCTGACCCAACTTGAACATGTCCCAGTGAAGTTTGCTACTTTCCATCCTTCAAACTTATTTGCATATCGAGTCCTAAAAATCGAATCCTTAAAATTCATACTGAGGAAAATACTTGTATAAAAGAGGTTTGCAAAACCTTAACAAGCAAAGAATAAAAACGAAATTGTATTGCTTGTCTTGTTTACCAATACCAGATTTTTTACACTGGTTTTCCATTTTTTGTACCTGCTCTCCGTTTCTACTGGGTCCCTTCTTGCTTCTTTCATTCAGAGCGATGGTCCTGCAGCTGCTTCTGCTGCTCTCGGCCCAACCAAACCACCGAATGCAAGCAGAAAATATCAACTGGTGAGTTTTCCCTTACATTACCCCAAAAAACTTTGTTAACCATTATTGAAATTTGAGTAGAGGAACTTTTATTTGTGATTATTACAAAAAGATTCCTCCTTTTTTCTAGTATATTGTAACATCCAATATGGTTTTTTGTGCAAATCTATTGTATTCTATTGATTCTTCATAGCAATCCACATTGATTCAGGCACGTTGTCTATCATGTTCATTTTTAATGGATATCAATGAATTTTGGCATCATTTGCTTAAACCTACTGTCATTTGTTTTATCATCTCTTTCTAGCCGAATATAATTCAAGGACCAAGATCAGGTAATGAATGTGAATTTCTTTACGAATTGCTTCACGATTGTACTACAGTAAAGGAAATCTTCAAAAGTGTTTTAAAACATTTCTCGAGTAAACGTTCTTGCTAAAAAATGACTGAAGATGGATAAACAGGATGTTTTTGTAGAAAGACAGACCCAATTCACCTTAATGCACGATCTCTCGTCTTCGGAACTTTTTTGCGTCTAATTGATTGATTTGGTTCATGTTCTACTTGAATTTATCAATTCCTATCAGGTCTTCACGGTGACGAAAGCTCAGAAGATACCCCAGAGAATGATTTTCGGTTAGTGTTGTATCTATTTTTGTCTGGATAATAGACTGAGTAATGCAAAATGCTTCAGTGGACTTTTAGCTATCACAATGTTTACTTGCACTTCGCAAACTATCCAGGAACTAGAAATGAAGAAGAGTGACTTTTCTTGGAAAATTTATTTGAAACCAAAAATAACTGTTGATCTTTCCTTTCACGACAATTCCTTTTAAACCTCTTTTGTCAAAGATTTTGTTGTCTCCAAAGTGGCTAATAGTGACTACTTAGCTTAACACAATTGCATATTGTAATGGGAGACAGAAAGGCTGGCTTAATTCTAGAATGTCGACGCTTCCTTGATTTGTATATGCTAAAAACTTCTAGATAAATTCTTGTATGAAATACGATGAAGAAATCGTGCAGTTTTCAAGAACATTCCAGTATGGTTTATTTCCCCCTTAATTTTCCTTTGAATTTATCTCTCACTACTTCTCGTAGGTTTTCAAGAAAAATGGAGACAAAGAGAACCTCAGCTCCTCCATTGCGGGAGGTACCCAGCGCTCCATCGCCAACCCTAGAACTCTCTCACAGACAAAGGCACTTAGCCTCAGTTAAACTCTTTCGACTTGGTTAACTTCCTGCCCCTGATCTTGAAAATATGTATATAGCACAAAATTGTACTAGTAACACGTTCCTCAGAGTAAGAAAGATCCGAAGCATTTTTTGCACTCACCTTCTAATAAATGGGAACAAACTTTTCAAGATTCGATTTTCTTCCATCTATTGCAGCAATATCTTCTCGGTTTTCGAATCATAGGCAGCTCTTTATAATCTTCTTGCTTGCCTTACTTTTTTCCACTCCATCGTCACCGTTTTCCTGGTTAACGTCCCCTGATCTTTTGATTAATAACTTTGATTTTCAACAGAAGGTCTTATATGTATCATAAGATATTTAAACAGGTCACCAGATTCAGCTTAATAAAGCTGCTATCAGTCTGGGACCTGTTAAAAGCAAAAGTAAAAATATATGCATGAATTTAAAAGGTAACTAAAACTTATCTTATATAATCTAATCAGATAAAATGTTCACCTAACTTAATTTTAAAACGTAGCATTGAGTTTTCAGTTTTAAGTTTGATTGGCAATTTGTTAAAAAGCCAGGCCTCTTGAAACTGAATACTTCTTCTATATACTTCCAATTTTGTGTTCGGAATTTTCAAGCTAACCACAATGCCTCGGTGTTCTATGTAAAGTAATGTTTCCTTTACAATAAAGATATTCCACTTTCAAGATACATCAGTTTCCTAATCCAGAATAAACATTTGATCCATGCGGCGAAGTGCACAGGTAACAGTATTGAGTTAATCGCCCCCCAGAGGGAGCAAAGTAAAATAAATAGTGGTGGATTCTGAGCAATGGCACCAGAATACACTTTTTGCGAAAATTCCAACATTCTTTGAGCTGTTCGCAAATGCATTCCTGTGTGGATAAACACATGATGATAACTGGGAGATAGATGCCCAAGAAGTATTTTTCAAACCATAAGAATCCTAACGCAAACAAATCAAACTACACACGTGAAAAATTCACGAAAATTTTTTTAGTTCCGGGTGACAGAAAAAAAATTAATGTATTGCACCCGATTAAAACAAACAAACATTTTCCCATTTAGCGTTGAAGTTTCTTAATTGTTTCATAATGTTTCTTAATTGTTTCTTAATTGTTTCTATGCTCGTTCCTAATAAAATGCTAGATATTAAAATTCAGAAATAAGCATAAATAATTCGACTTCTTTTCTCGGATTCTACTTTACAGTAAGTGACAACTTTGTGATTAAAAAGTGATTAGTTGTGTTATTTAATTACAAACCTTTCTGCTTTTCGAACTTTTTCAATTGAATTTATAACGTCAACCATCTTGACCTGTCTCGTTTTTATTAATGACGTAAAATTTTATGGGAATAATCATTACCATACAATTGGTCTAGCCAAGACACCTATAAGTTGTTCAAGTATTTTGTAGACATTCCCGAAGGCTATTTTTATGTCAAGTTTGGACGGGAAATGTTAGTACGTTTAGGGAGAACAGAGGTTTCTCCTTTCACTCGCTTTCTTTCTTCACAACTCGAATTCTTTCCGTAAGCATTTGACTTAGCAGTACATTAAGTAAGTTAACGTATACAGACAACAGGATTTCGAAGATAATTAATAGAGAGTGCGGGAAAATAACCGACCCTCGCTCGGGTCCATGCAAGGGTGCCATAGGTGTAGGGGCCACATAAACTAGTGAATTCTGTTTTGATATAGAATTGTTTGAAATGTACAAAAACTGTAGCAAACTTATTCCCATATACAGTAAAATATTTTAATCGAATGAACGAATTTAAGTTAATTCAAAGGGCGTTGTCGCAACAATTTTTCTGCTCGCTTCGCTCGCAGGGGCCTCATCTTGCCGTTTTGTCACAGCTGACCCAAGCAGGGCAGCCGAAAATTAATCCCATTGAAATTTTTTGTCATCGAAATTTCCGGAACTTTTTCGAAAATTGAGTGCTTTAACAAAAATTTAAAAAAGCTTCAAACTGGGCTTGTCAAGATGAGTTTAAATAGAATTTATAAATGCGTCGATATTTTCTCTTTCTTAGTAGGAATGGATTATCCAAACGATCAAACCCTGAAGTTTTCTTAATGATATTTTTAAGAACAAATCTGCCCATACTTTATTTCTCATATCCTCCCATCGAAAGCTGCCGTGTCTCCCCTTTCTTCCCTCTTATGAAATTTTTCTATTTTTTCTTGCTTCTTTGTTTTGTCACAGTTGTTCATAATTTTGTGAAATTCAAATTGTGGAATAACATTAATGATTATATGTGCAACACAAGCGTATGTAATAGGGCACTGGGCTCGATAACCTTTTAGGTTCAAAAACATTCTTTGGTAATTTCTTACTTCTTAATGTTTATGACATAGATGTGTTTAAAATAGATCTTAAGCATATATCTTGTAAGGTTGTTGTTTGATAAAACGAAATTGATTTTGATTGAAAAACATCTGAAATCCCAAGTTTCTGCGTTTGTTTGTAAACATAAGAACTTTGGCTGTATTGACTTTAGGCTCAGTGCCAATTCGGAAGCAGTTCTGTCGCTCATTGTTTTATGTGATTGATTAAATGACATCGGAACATGATACTTGAATCGTTTGGCTGACTGACACTGCGAGGGTGAAAAATTCAATCGGCGACGGAGAGACAGCAATGGAAATGATGCTAAAGCGAAATAACTGGATTTCGAAATGAAGAACACTTTATTCTTTGCATTTGTGGTACTAACTGGTGTAATCGGTAGGTCCTTTGTTATTCACCTTTCTTTTTTATTAATGATTTCGTAATATCGTGTATATTTTCAGGCCTATTAGCACGGCTTTAATTGACAGGGTAATGTTCGGTCAAAGCTTCGTTCTTTTCAAAATCATCTCGTTGTTGCCAATATTGGCATGGTATCTCTTTCCACAGCCCTTCTTTTTCTCTGGTAGCTGTTTTCAAGCCGTCAAGACATGTTTGAAAATAGTGGTAAAGATTGGGAAGCTTTTGAGTTTTGATCAGATTATCCTATCTGCGAAGCCCAGTGAAGGTGATAAAAACCGGAACTCATTTTTAGCGGACCCCATCAAACATTTTGATATTCATTTGGTATGATTGAAAGTTTTGAATGTCGGTGAAAACTGAAATTGTGTGACCAGCGGCTGGGGTCATACTGCCATTGAGAGAGGAGGTTTTGATGTAAACTGCTCTAGCAAACTTAAGTGTTATTTTGTGATATTTGTGAATTTAAAATGGCTGAAATTTCCTTTTCAAGAAAGTGTTTTAAAGACACCCTTCCTAGCTTAAACAAAAACAAAAGATAAATAACCACAAGTGAATAATAAGAATTGAAGAAGATACAAACACAACCAGGGAAAACTACAATTAAGCCTGATTGGTAACATTTGATCTGATGAAGAAAAACCATGTAGACTTCAGGAAAACGTGCACGACGTAACTTTTTTGAGTGATAAACACCGAATTTTAGACAAAATACTCCTGTTTGTCACAGCTTCTTTGTAAAACCTGATATAGGGATTCTCGAGTTTTGACTTTAGGCTCATTCAGACATAAAGTCATCATACATCTGTGTTTTTGGTAGTGTGGCTAAGAAATGTATTGATCACAATAGACAAATAAATGTTCCAGCAAGCTTTTCTCTGTTCGTATAGCCTATTGTAATCAAAATTTCAAATAAGCATGAATTTTCATGTATGATGTGAATTTAACTAAAATTGAAGGCGCTGCCTCTTCTCCTTGGTTTTTCAAATGTATCACTGAGATTTTAATTCTAAAGTAACCTCTTTATTTTGTTAACTGGTTCTGTATATAAAACAGCAATAAGCAGTAGCTCCACGCGGAGTAATTTTCTGGGTCAATAATCGATGATCCGGTAGCACTCTTTCCAATCCAGGGGCTGGTCCGCATTTTAGTTCCATGCTGAACTGCTCCGCCGGTGATTTCTGTTTAAATTGCTCAACAATTGTTTCCTCCTTCTGTATTCCAAAGCAATTAATTAATCATAATTGGATAATTATATTTGTCCAACTCTCTAAATAAAGTTTTGAAAGAGAAATTAGCAACTGAACACCCTAATTTAGGAAGAAAAACACGACGGCACGACAAAAGTTTTTAAACAGCCATTGTTTTTATTCAGAAAAACCGTTAACATGTAGCCACAGAAAAGAAGTGATGTAGCCTACTTTTTGCCTTTAAATCAAGAATCACCGTTGAGGTCAGTAATAAGTTACAATTTACGATTCATAGTAAAAATTCCCTTAAAATAAACATCATACCAAAGTTAATTTCGGGAAATTTTCGTAGTTCTACCCGCTAAAAGTACTTAAGTTAAAAAACTGCAATTTTTGAAACACTCGGTTGTCAAAACTCGAGAATCCCTATATCAGGTTTTACAAAGAAGCTGTGGCAAACAGGAGTATTTTGTCTAAAATTCGGTGTTTATCACTCAAACAAGTTACGTCTTGCACGTTTCCCTGAAGTCTACATGGTTTTTCTTCATCAGATCAGATGTTACCAATCAGGCTTTATTACATTGCCATAAATTTACTTCCGCGTATGTTTTCTTCGTTTTGTTCGTTACTTCTCCTCCGTCGTGTAAACAATAACGCAAGTTCAAATCGACTGGCATACGTTTTTGGGACAGGGTTAGTATGCAAAAGGCTTTTCCATACAGCCCCGTCACTTTCTTAGTCAAGTGCCCCCCCCCCCCGGGATTATTGCATACCAAGAAGAATGTTGCATTTCTTTGAATGCTATTCACAGCATCCTTTGACAAGCTAACGGTTTTGAACTAGTTCCGTCGAGAGCCAACTCGGGGGGAGGGCGTGGGGGTTTGATGCTTGGACTTGTGTGACTCCATTTAGAATATGCCTATGAGGTTTGGTCCCCGCACACAGCTGAATTTAAGTATAGAGTTGAAATCTTATAAAGACATGCAATCCGTTTTGTAATGGATGATTATCGTCAGCGGTCAAGTGTAACAGAATTATTGTTACATTTAAAATGGGACTCACTCGAATCGCGTAGATCATTATTTCAGTTAAAATACGTTCATAAAATGTTTACAAAAGTGCTTTGAAACCCCTTGATTATTTTCCAATTGCAGCTTTTAGAACGACAAGAGAGACACACTCAAAATAGATTATGCCAAAATTTGGAAGAGTTGAAGCTGTTAAATTTACATTCTTCTTTTCGATCATACCCATTTGAAATAGCTTGCCTGATAACATAGTTAATAGATGTGTAGACATTTTTATCGAGCCGCCATGGGTCGTTAAATGTATTTTAATGATGATTATGATGATGATGATGATGATGTTGATGATGATGATGATGATGATGATGATGATGATGATGATGATGATGATGATTATGATTATGATAATTCTAATAGCTGCATCTTTTGTAAAGTTTTTATCTTAATTTAGTTAATATATACTTTCTGGTCACTTATTCGTAAACAATAATTAGATATTAAAGTAAAGGCGGCGATCTCCTGTATTGCAACGCTATCGTCCTTTACAATTTGCATCGTTTTCACCAATAAGAAAGCTCAATAAGAAAGCCAACACGAATTGTTGTCTTTGCGAATAAAAATCTCTTCTGCATAGGAACAAGCGTGAGAAGACAAGAGTGGATCGCTGGTTGCTACGAAAAAACGTCTTTAGAAAACGTTACTCGTGTGGAGGAGCCCGTGGATGGTCCCAATCACTGTACTTATCAATGCACAAGGAAAGGGTAAGAAATAATGTAATTTGAATTTGGAAGGTTGATATTGTAAGAATGATGATGGTCCCTTACAGTGCTGAGAAGAGGGGGGTCAGGGGGGTCAGGGGGATCACTGACCCAGGGGCCCATGAATTTAGGGGCCCATAGATGATAACTTTGTGAGCAGTGCAGTTGATAAACAGTTAATAATTAGCAATTCAGCGTCTCCATTATCAAAACTTGTCAATAATAGAAAAAATAATAGAAAAAAACCTTTAAATGAAATAAGGTAGAATCAGCAACAGTATTAAAACCCCATTATGTTTATCAAACAGAGCTAGTAGCTTAAGGTAATATTCTAGTTGGTTAACAAAACAATTTACATCGGTCAATTTGGGAGCTATAGCAAAAAATTTCGGAAATTTCAGTTTCTTTAGACAATTTGAACGATACTTCAACTGATGCAACACTAGCAAGTTAAGTCAGAAACAACCTTAATGCAATGAAAACATTGGAAAATAAGCGTTGCAAATTCAAATGCTTAAGCTTGTTCAACAGCTGCAATGGTTGATGCTCCTTAGAAAAAGTGACTACCCGGTGATGTTAGGAGATATGTCATCTTTTTTAGCTGAGCAGAATTTTGCTCTTTTTTGCTAGGTCATCTTCCTTCAACCTTGTGTATAATCAAAGAATACTGAACCCCTCGCATATCTCAACAATTGACATGAATCGCCTAATCATCTTTGTTGTAACACTATAAATAATAACAATGCCGACATTATCTTGAATTTTACAAAAGACCTTTTCCTGGTTTTCACTTCAAGATAGAGATAAACTTGACTGATTTCTCTTGATCTTCAATTTTTTGGGACATCTAGCCCCTCGTCTAAACAAGGTTCTTCCAAAATCAACTAGTTTTTTATTGACATTAAAGGTTGCGTTCTGATTGCTAGATGTAAAGTTTTTCAAATTATCTGAATAGTGAAAATCTATTTGGTGCATCATGTCCGTTTTGATCAAATTTAGTATTTGAACGTTTTTCACTTCCTAAGATTTTTTAAATGTAAAGAATTGCATATTTTATAGTTAAGAAATATGCATGCATTATGACGATAGAATACAAGTCGTATTCAAACAATATTGAGAAGACTAAAGGAGTAATAGCCACAGTCGCAATTTCAGCAACTAAAATAGCCGCAATTTTAGCAACCATCGTCTCAAAAATTTTCCTCGCACCCCTTAAAAGGGTCGCCTCCGGTGTGCCTTGCTTTTTTCTTTCGTTTTTACCCAGGGCCCAGAAATTCTCTCCGCGGCCCTGGTCCCTTACCTGTTTTTTTCATTAGCCTTTACTTACCATGTGGAGTTGGTCTTGGATTAGGAAACAATAATTTTCAATGGAATGCTTACTCAAAATTGACGAAGTCATTTAACAAGAACAGACCGTTACAAACAGCCTTACATATGATGCATTATCTCCTTATACTATTAGCAACTATTTTGTGTACTAACCGATTTTCAAATTTCCAATAGCGCAAAGTATGCTGCTGTGCAAGGTGACTCACTATGCATCTGTCTGGGGGACCTTCGCAGTTTCCAGAAAGTCGACGAGGCGCGGTGCAATGTAAGGTAGGCTGTCAAGTCTTGCGAAACCAACCATTTCAGAAACCTGTGGGGGAGCCATTTTTATCGCTTATTTTTATTTCAAGAAACAATGTCATTCAAAATTAGAAAATGGAATTGTATATTGGTAGAGGTATAAACTCTAGGTTAATAAATAAACACTCGTTGAGGATGAATTTTTCATTTTCACTTTGTGATTATTTCATTAAGACATTAGGCAAGCCTGGTTAGGTACTGTGTTTACCCCTCTTGCTCCTTGTTTGTGTACATGACATAAATGACATCACTCTGTGAATATTGTGATATCATTTTCAGTTATTCTGAGTCCTAGAGGTTATTTCATACCTCATTATCACCTTGCTCTCGGACTCGTGTCAGACTTTGTGGTGCGGAGGTGGCTGCCTTTTGGCCAGTCAAGGCCTTTATACGTGACTTTTTTTATCAACCAAAAGCAACTTGGCAGACTTTCAAGCTTGGGTATAAAAAGATTACGTGGGCACAAGCAAATGCTGTGTTATGAACTGAAAGACGATCAATGCTGGACGTGTTTCATGTTTGTTTTGATGCTTCCTAGTATCGGATTAGAAACGTTGTCTTTCTATGTTTTTTTATAAGTCAGAATGCATGACCGCCATTTGCGCATGATTCAAACTAGTGACGTTGGAACCGGAGAGCCAGGGGCAAACACCATCTCATTTATTTCCAGCAACATTTGATCCTGAGCATTTTCATAATGAGCTAGCAACATGGTGAAAAGTGCCTCTTTTGCAATTCTCTAAACACAAAATAATGTCCATAAATACAATAGTACCACGTGCCTAGGCCCCTGTTGCAAATGAAATCATAAGGTGCGTGAGCTGAATTAATTAAATGTTTAATTTCTCGATAGCTCATTATGAATATCATCCCATTTTTCTGTTAGACTTTATACATTCAGAATTATTACTTATTATTTTTCCTCAACAACTTTTGCTCATAATCTTTAGTGTGCTAGTGCAAAATTGATTGAAGTTAATTTGCAGTTGCTGAACATGGCCTGGGTGGTGTGAGACTGTTTGATCACGTTATGTCAGGTTTCAGGTCCTTGTATGTTTTTAAGTGCTCACTTCTTTAAGTTTGTAATTTAGCTGTGAAATGGAAGGGACATTAAGTTTAAAGCCAGTCTTTTATTTCAGCTGCACGAAGTTGTCACATCTGAAATGCGGTGGCCACGGAGAAATAGTCAGTATTTTCCATACCACTGTTCCCATAATTTTCAATCATTCACTAACGGGGCCAGAGCTTGCCGCGACAAGAAACTCTTCGCACTTTGTCTCTAATGCATGGCTGACTAATTCAACTAATGTATCAAAAAGCAATTTTTCAAGTTCAGATCATGCAGCAGCTAACGTTGTGAGTGCCACCTGGACAGTGGATGATTTGATGGTAAAGTCAGTGCGTAAAAGGGTGACCAGACTTCGATTCACAGATGGACTAAACTTTACGTTTGCTTCATACGGGATGTTTAAAGTTTGTGTGAATGTATCGAACGGATACATCTGGGTTGCCGAATGCGCCTCCGTCCTTGCAGTTGAAGGTATTCACGTGTTGGAAGTCGTCAACATTCATGGCGGTAAGCATACGGACAAAGGAAAGTACGCGATTATGCAGACCAGCTATTTTCATGTCGACGTCATTGTAAATGCTGGAAGTTTTGCAAACTTGCACTTTAATTTTGGTGACACTTTAAATGCAGCCGAGGTTAAACGAAATTACCAGAGCACTATGAAAAACTGTTCTTGCCTAGCTCTGACGAGGAAGACCCATTTGTATAATGAGAAAGGCTCCTTCTCTCTTAACATCACTGCTGTAAATCACGTGAGCAGAAAGGAGCTGATTTTTTTAGACAAAATAACGGTCGATGGCAAGATTGAGGGGTGTAGTATAACGACAAAATTCGTCGCAGCTGGCAAAATGACGAGGGTACACCTGCAGACATTTGGTACATTTACTTTTGCCCATTTTCACTGGACGCACCCTAGCAACAGACAAGAGACCACAACGGTACCCTTTATCAATGTGACATTTCCCAATTACAGTCCGCAGTACCGCCTCAAAGTTTCCGCGTTCAATAATGTCAGTGAAGCTGACTGCACTGGCCAGAACATTTACATTGAACCAGACATCATCAGTAAGTCATAATATACCTTTCACGGGAAACTGTATTTGAAACTCTATTTAGCCACAGAGGCGCAGCGAGCTGGAGGCAGATAATTTAGCTTTTAGAGAACATCCCGAGAAGCTTTGCGATATGATCAGTGAAAGGCACTTTTCTCCCATAAGATAATTTTCGGAAAACTTGCATCAAGTAAAGTCCCAAAATTGCTGTTAGCATTGTCATAAGTTCTGTTTTGTACTACTCGGTTTTATATGGGTCAGTTTTTCTAAAGAATTGATTATGTTTTGAAAAAAATAGAGAAAAATAGGATTTAGGAGGCCTAACAACGATTCTTGGTGCTTTTTTTTAAACACGTAATACATTCTGATAGTTGCGATTTAATGGATGGTGCATTTTCGAAGTGTTCTTTGCTTAAATCGATATTTCGCTTCAATGTACTGATCGGTTTGGCGTGTAGAATTGCTTCAGATTCACAGCCCAACTCCTTTCATTTGACAACCTTTCTGCATTGGCCTTTTTGATATCACTGCTTGTGCTAGGCCAAGCAATAAGTGATGGTACAGTTTTTCTCGCCACCTTCGCTATCATAGCAATCACACTTTACGTTTGAAGAAAACTAGAGTCTGTTCTGCAGAGTTGTCAAAAGTTTTCCATTTTATATTAAGTGAAAGATCGACACAAAAAGATTACTGTGAACTACGCGTTACCAGCTTTGCCACAACTACCAAAATGCATTGCGACCCGCCCTATTTTTGTCTGAAATCTTGAAGTCAATAATCTTTACCATCTTACTTTCAGGTGTTACACTTCAAACAACAGTGAGTCAAGTGACAGTGAATGCAGCCGTCATTTTCACGTCTACTGTGACTACAGATCAAGTGCTATTCGACAGTTCTCTTCAGTATACATGGATTCTCGGGGACGGTCAGGTTGTGCAAGGAACCATTCCAAACCTTGTTTACAAATACAAGCAAGCCGGAAGGTAGTTTTGCTTAATTCTAAGGTTCTTCTTTCTTTATCATATTCTAATGTAGGAGGGGAATTATGTGCTTTTCCCTGCTGAAAAGAACTTTTTAATTCACAATTTTAAATCACCTAAACGCCTTCAAAACCCACCAACTGTCCTTGAAACTTTCACAAAAACATGTTATTGTTTCTTCCGCTTTAGATTAGCAGCCATGTTAGGATTTTTACATTCAACATGATTTCCCATAGTAAGATTGTAATAGTTGTTTTAAGGGTGCAGCCTAGTTTATAGCAAAAAATGCAGGCTGAAGGTAGTAGCTTTATCCAATTAATGCAGGCCGAAGGTAGCTGTGGCTGCTATCACTATGTTTTAAGTATATATTCTGGGTGAGCATGTCGCTCGCATTTGAACACAAAGCAATTTGTCATATTCATAATTGCTTTTTTGGCAGGTTTGAAGTAAGAGTTCAAGCAGGAAACTTTCTTAGCAAGATCTATTCCAACTACGTCACCGTTAGAGTTTATGAAGAAATAACCAAGGTAAGACTCTTTTACGTTCAGAAGCAATGTTTTTTACAACTGCACGGATTTACAAATCCAAAACTAGTTGCTTCAAGGCGAGTTCTTCCAAAAAACTTGACTGTGAATTGCCGAAAGTGATTTTGTTTGTAGTAGCTTCACTAAAGTAAACGAGGAGCACCTATATTGAGTAAACGAGGGACAATTTATCTTAGGTGGAAATACGATATAAACCTTTCAAATTTGGAGAAACAACAGAATTCAGTGCATCTGTTGCAGATGGAACAAATATGACATACAGCTGGGACTTTGGTGATAATGTAACGTTATCCACTGCTAACGGCACTGTTCAGCATAAATACAAGAGGTAACGTTTTGTTGATTCTCTTACATTTGATATTTATTAACCATAACACTAAAACTAGAAGCTATATGAGAAACACAAAGATTTCTGCAGCAAATTATAGGAAAACGTTTGCATTTTTAGTTTTAAAGGCGTATGCTAGATTGTGTTTTTGATATTTCATCATTCTTGCAGAATGGGGAATTTCACAGTCAAGTTGAAAGTAGCCAATCCTGTCAGTTCAAAGGAAGACAGTATTGCCGTATTTGTTCTGCGATACCGTTGCCAAAAACCGGAAGTGTCCTTCTCGAGGCTACCATTAGAAGAGGTTAGCAATATGCACGTACTTTTGCTTGGTAACCCCCTGTTTATAGCATCTAAGTTGTTTCCTGCAAGCAATTTCCTGCAAAAAATCCCAACTCCAGTCTTGCGCTCCCTCGGCTCTCTTGCATTTTTGCTTATGTGCAATGCAGATGCCGCATAGCTGTTTTCCTAACAAAGATTTCTATGAAATTTGAAATCGATATGAATAGCCAAATGATTCTGTCAGTTCGGTTGCCGAATCAGGATCTGGTAGTTTGATAGAAATATTGTTGAATATGTCTAGTGGAGTAGTTCTTTCCCATTTCCAGTTTTCAATGCCGTGTCATTTCAAAGGATCTTGAACGAATCGGCTGTGGTGGAACCCTGTAGAATTTTCTGCCAAACCCAAGTGAGTGCGGTATTTTAGAATCAGTTGCACGTTTTCGATGATTTGCTCATTTTCTGTCTTATTTCATACCAGACTACGAGGAAAGCACAGGAACTAAGAATCGATGTTGATGTAAATGTCAGCTGTTCAGTTTCCAGCACAGCACTTTACAGATGGACGGTATGCAACTGATTAGTCTTGTTTTGTGGAAACTCTCATGAATCAAATGTTTTTGGTTCAAATAAGGCAAAATTTTACATGGACTACTCCATTTACTATGAACTCTAATTCAACGAATAGACTGTCTCATTAAAAGTACTCACTCACTGTATTCATGATTGCAATTCTAAATTCTACGCAAATTAAGATTACGTTAGATGCAGTGATTTCTATCACGAACTGACTCTGTCGAGGGAAATGTTACTCTACGCCTAATGACAGGGAGAATCAAAATTGTCTTGGCTGTAAAAAGTCAGGTCTTAATATTGATTTGTGTGATGCCCAAACACAGTATGCTTCCAAAGAAAGTGTAAAGATTTTTTGTTTGTATTACAGTTATCATTTGTTTGCCTGTTCAATAAACAATGAATGCACTTGGTAACACTGTTAACTAATTACACTCAGGTATTCAGCATGCAGAATGGGAAGAAGGAAGAAAAACTTGCTCGCCATTTAGGCACACTGTCTTCAACATTGAGCCAAAGATCTTTGGTTTTGCCTCCAAATACTCTAAATCCAGGAACCTATCTCGTGCAACTAGTGGTATATTTTCACATCTTACATACAAATCTTTTTTTAGAGATGTCGGTGACGCAGCTTCTGACGCTGTGTATCTCATGTGTACACAGTGCAGTCATATCTACACAAATGTTTGCGTTGTGCATGCTCTTGTCTGCGTAGCAAATTACGCCACTCAACGTTTCATATCTAGCCATATCGCAGTTCTTTTGTGACCCTACTAATTGTCACCCTTCTGATTGCTATGCATTCGTTTCTCTGTAGGTAGAGATGAAAGGAACCGTAGTGTTTACAAAAATCAGCAAAAGAATTAACGTTCTGCCAACAGAAATGCGCGCTGTCATTCGTGGTGGAGATGTTGTATCCATTGGGAGAAAGAGCCATGAAAATGTCACTTTAGATGCTTCTGACTCTTTCGACCCCGACGATAACGAGCGTGAGCCACTGAGGTATGACTTTTTTGAATGAGGAAAATGATTTTGGAGTCATATCCAGCAAGCACAATCTTGAAGAGAAAATACTAATGGATGTCTAATTTAAGGGTTAAGTTTAGGCTAATATACAGAAAAAGATGATGTCAAGGTTGCTCCAAAGAACTGAAAATATTTGCAATATACAGACAGCTTTTGTTTTCCTGCACCCCTTTCTATAGGCTAAACAATCAAATCTATAATCTAAAAGTTGAGTTTCTTAAATACCCCATTTTGAGCTCTCAAATGCATTTAAAATTACCTGCATTAACAATGCTTATAATTGCATAAAAATAGATATTGCTTCAGTGGATCTGGTAAACTCGTAGCTGCAACAGATATTGAGTAGCCCAGAGCTCTTTCTAACCAACCTCAAATTTTGTAAAGAAAATAGCTTAAATTTGCTAGCCTCGAATGCGTTCATTTTGACCTCCACTTGATGACTGAACCTTGACATACAAGTTACGGACAGAAACATAGAACAAGCAACTTCAGATAGTAGTTTCGTTCGTGGTTGATCTTTGATGGGTTTTTAGGAAGTGCTTCATGAACAGTTTATTTACATGATTGGTACCTTCCTTTGCATAAATGATCATATTTTCTATCTGTACTGAATCTCAAATTTTTAGGTTTTTGTGGAACTGTCGAAGCATCATCGGCAATCGACACGAACCTTGTTTCAAACCGAACGTAACTTCACAGTTAAATTGGACGAGACCAGTCTTCGAGTTTTTGCCAAAAATGCTCAAAACATCCGCTTCATTATTTGCGTTTATGGTAACTGCTAGCAACGATAACGACAAGAGTGCTACAGCTTTTCAGTTTGTGAAAGTAGAAAATGGCGAAATGCATAGGTATGTCACTGACTTTTGGGTTACATTTGAAAATGTCAACTAGAAATTTGTTACCAGGACCTAACTCTCTATCGTTAATGATCGTCTCCATATTTTGCCTTTTTATTATCAAACTATTGCATATCCTCTTGCACAAATTCCTGCCTAAACTTGGTGTTATGTTTGCTCCCTCCATTGATCTTTTGTTTATTCTGTTTTCTCTATTACAGCGAAAATATTAAACTACTGAATTTCGATTTCGATTTTAAGCAGCAAACTAAGGAAAGCGTGATTTCTTTCAGACTTCTGATAGAGTGTCCCGAGTGCCACAACCCAGATGTAAACCCACACAACCAAATCACTTTCACAGGTATCTGCAGTGATTGCGAAAACACATCTGTTGCCTTTAAGTGGAAGGTATATATGGCTCCAAAAGTAAAGGTTTTTCTTCGACTGTTCGGCAAGTGTATTCCAGCCGATGGAAAAGCATGGGACAGCCAAGGAAACTTGAACGAGACGAATTCCACAACAACAGCAACAATTCCAACAACAAGCAGCACGCCTCTCACAACCGTTACCAAAGCAATAACAACGAAACCAACGGAAAAGACGCAAGGAGCGGATTTTCAGAGACTTATTTGTGAAATGGATCTGAATAACATAAGGATAAATTCTACTTCTCTTGTGAGAATATCTAGAAAACGCAGGGAGGTGTTAGAGGAGTTGAATATCATGACAAAGCAAGGAACTTTAAGAAAAAGTGACCAAGGACACACAGAGAACTGGGATGACTTTGATTTTGATAGCGATAACGACATTGTAACGGATGATTTGTTTTTGAAAGATAATAACGAGGTGCCTGCCGCGTCCAGGTTTACAAAAAGAGTTAAGAGAAACACAGACAGAAACAACGTCACTTTTCAAAGTTCTGCAAGTGGCCAGGGTGGCCCGATGCCAGGTAGAAATTTTCCATCGAATCCAAGGTCAGGACTGACATATTCATCGGGGACTGGCGCTGTTCAAAGTGATGATGATACCTCCAGTAGTGGAGGATCAGGATTCCCACAGGCTTCTGGCTCGGGACGTGGCAACACTGGAGGTGGAACTGGCTCTGGTAGACCAAATTCACTAGGATCTGGGCGCGGATGTGAAGGCTCTGTTGGCGTGGCTGGAGGAAGGGGCGCTGGTTCAGGAAGTGGCACTGTTGGTGGCTGCTCCGGCGGCTACGGGGAGGGAGCGAAGGCAAACCAGAACAAAACTGGTGGAACAAATTCTACAGAAAATGGTGACAAGACCACTGGCACGAGTGGGGACCTGATTTCCAAAAGCCTAGAGGAGCAACTGGAGGGAAAGCTCAATACTATACGTGAAATCATGCACCCTACTGAAGTCGATACACATTCAAGGTTACAGCAGTTGATTTTGACAAAAGGTTCCCTAGTACCAGGACAGCTGTATATGGTTGAGTTTATAGCAGTGTGGCAAAGTGGCGCACATGAACGGATTGCAGGAGAAGCAAAGTCTTACTTCTTAACGAACACTGGACCTTTTCTTGGTTCATGTCACGTTACACCACAAACTGGCGTGGAAGCGAAAACCACGTTTACTCTACATTGTCAGCATTGGAAAGACAAGCACCATCCCCTTAAGTTTTTTGTGCAATACAAGGTACATTCCCAACAAAGACCTACATGGTTATATTATGGTTTGAAAGAGACATTGAACTTTACACTGCCCGCTGGTGAAAAATCGAATGACAACATAAGTAAGTCTATGGGTAATTTCAATTGAGATTCTTTACGCGTCTTTATTTTTCCACGTGCAATACCATTTCTGGCCTTCCGTTTTGTATCTGATCTTGTAATCAGAATTGAAAGCGTTGCTGCGACATCTTGATAAATTGCTTAATATGTGATATCTGACTCTATGCAGACTTTATGCCTCTGTCCTACCATGCAACACTTTAACTCGTTTAGGATGATTATTAAAGTTGCATTCAACTGTTTTTGTTTCTTAGTTGAATTAGAAATCTCTGCTGAAGATGCCGAAGGTGTTAAGACCAAATTGTGCCCAATTCAAGTTACGGTGATGCCGTTGGAAAATACACTCAACTCTATTGAAGAATATTTGTTAGTAGTTCCTTTTGCTGCTCTACTTATTAATCTTTTCTTAATTTATTTCGCTTCTGTATGAAAGTTAATCCGTTTGAATTAAAAGAATCACAAATTAATTTCGGAGACAATACTCGAGCTTACTGCAGAGTTTATATAGCGTTTTTGTCGTATAGATTTACTTAATTTCGATTGTAAAAACTTTGATTTGGAAGTTTGATTCAACGTCTATCTCAACAGCATTCAAGGAATCACAGAGGTTAGGAGCACGGACACGAACCTTTTCTGCTTAAATAGATATCTGCAAATTTAAGAACACAAGTTTCACTCTTAAGTTATCTTTATGGATAAATATTCTATTGATGATGTTTTCTTTTTCAGATACAATCAGAGTATTGGCAATGTTTCGCCATTGAAAGTACACGAAGATCTATTGGATGAAGTTTCCGCCTCGATCTTCATTACCACTGCAACTAACTCTATCAACAGGCAAGATATCCTGGCTATTTTCTGAAATAGTTATATATGTTTGCTTGTAAAGAATTTCTATTTGTCGATCTTCAATCTGTGCCAAGTTTCTCGGAACAGTAACTCCAACTTCCAGGGTCCAATTTGAGCACTCCGTTCCACCATTGTTACTTTTTTGGTGTACCTTAAAAACAGCCTTGATCTTTCCCCCCTCTCTTCCAAATCCCTCCTCCCTTTTCCTTATAAGGGCTTAGCTATAGATTTTTTAGCCTTTCCCTAGCATTTCCAACTGAAAAAACTATAGATTGAAGTAGCAGGAATGTCGTATATTTTGTTTCAGTCTCTTGTATGATGTATAGCTAAGCCATCAACATTTTTAGCGTGAGCACAGCACAAGTAGTTTTTATTCAGAAAATCTGATGAGGAAAATGGAAATTAGACTCAAGCCCTCTTAGTGATCAAATAATTTTGGCAGTTATTATAAACATAAGCATTTCTGATACTTTAATTTCCACGTAGGTTGTTATCTGTTATGCCTGGTAGCACCAAGCACAAACTACGCCTGCAAGTGCGAAGGAGGCTGTTAGAGAGTTTGAGCAAGTTTCCTGTTCAAACAGAGGTAACCTTAATTGTGTCACATTCAGAACATGGCAGACATCCGAGTTTGCATTCAATAGTTTCTGTTTTTCCCTTTTCTTCTTGGATTCACAAGGGCTGGCTTTGCGTTGACATTAATTGTTCACATTTATGTCAACTCTCAGCCGCTTAAATATTCTCCACCTTCTGCTCTATTCTTTATGACAATTTTTTATCAATAATTTTTGAGTATTCTACAAACCGTGAAAGTTCAGATAGTACGTATTTTTATCGAATAAACCATGTTTTATTCTAGGCGTATGCTTTGCAGCAAAGTAGGATGATTAGAGCATTGATGTATAAACCATCAGAGGTAACTGATCTTCTAATTGTGTTTCTTTTTCAAACACATATTCTTGTTTCCTTTGATTCGTTTTTAGGATATGCTATGGCAAATGCAGCTAAATATCTTGTTGTATCCATGATCAAAATTTCCAACACTAGAACATTGTTCAAATAGCGTCAGTTTTTAAACAGTTTTTGTCAAAATATGATTTTTTTCCTGTCTTTGATTTTTTTCCATGCGACTTTCGTTCAAGGCAGAGTTGGCTGTAATTTACGCGATCAAACGTGCGTACAATCGCGCGCTTGGGGTGGAACCCGTCTGATAGGGATGGAACACGATTGTCACCAAAGAAAAATCGCTGGTCGAGACTGATTTGAACCGTATAAAGATCGCTATATTTATTTTAATATCTTATTCATTTCTTATAGTTTTATTTGAATATCTCATTCATTTTCAAGGTTTCTTCAATATCGGTGGAATTTTCTAACAAAGCAAGCAGCAAAATTGTATCATTTTATGAGGAATTCAACAAAGTTCTTCCCAGAGACGTCGCAGAGGATATTTTCATAGTTGTGTCCAGCATTTTGTCGTCAATGAGGTATTCTTAGCTCTGTTTTCCTGAAACCTTTTTCAAAATTTAGGCGATTGTTAAAGCCATGTGCTATTGAAACCGAATTTATAGATTAAAGCTCATAATTTTCAATTTAGTTTTTTGTTGAAGTAAATTTTTTGTAAGGCTTTCACTGCTAATAATTTCTTTTCAACATTTTTTCTCTTTTTGATGCATATTAACTGATTTTTACGCAAATCCTTTCATTTTGAACAGTTCACATTTCAATGTGATAATTCTGTTAGTAATTTTCATTTAGTGCTTTCTAATGAATTAATTTTAAAGGCCTCGTCTTCCAAACAGTGATATTCATTTTGCATTTTCACATTTAATCTCGCATTTTGTTATTTCCAGTAATTTTGCTTTCAAAGTTGGTGATGATAGTGACATCTATACTAGTATTAGTAACTGTCATTTTAGCGACTTCCATTGAAAGTTTTTACTTCTTATCATTTCCTCTTAGCAATTTTCATGCTATTTGATAAGTAATTGGACAAGTAATTAGTGTAATACGTAATGATTCACATTTGAGTCGCAGGAGAAAGCAGGTATCAAAGTTATCCTACACTGGACTACTGGTGAAAGAGACAATGCGCATTCATGACAGCGTAGTCAAGGTGTCCTTTTTTATATTTCATTATAAAATAGTGTTGAATTACTTATGTGTTGAATAAGAACTATTAACCAACGGTGTACAAGGCATAGCTGAATTTCTATAGACGAGTAGGTAAAGCGTACTAAGTGTAACATTCCTACCAAAAAATAGAGTGCTTGTTGTGACACAGCTTGCAATGATACCTCGTGACTGAAGTCGTTATCAAATATTATTATTTCAGTTGCATTTAAAAAGTCCTTTAGCTTTCATTGTGACCAAGCCAAGAAACTTCCTGCCGTATGCGATCTTTTGGGAAGTTTTCATTTTAGGCACTGTGGTAAGCTTTCGGATGAATTAGTAGATATTTCTTAGAAAATATTATAGTGCTCATGTACATGCTTCTAAATCGCGGTTTTTGCTCCTTGTCAAGGCTCCGAATGTCGAGGCTGCAAAATTCACGCAGTAACACAGCTTCTACTCCTTTCAGGCGCTACGACGCGTCGCACCAATGACTGTTCTCAAGGGTGACTTCATCACCACGATCTTGAAAATCCACCAAAGTGGCGTTAATGGAACTCTTTCGAACAACGGTTGCTCTTTCACGTTGCCTGCAGAATTGGGAAGGCTGATAGTGAATGAAACAAGGGACATTGGCAATATCTATTCAAGAATGAGTGTTTATGAAAATAATCCATTTGTATGGGCAGCAAAAGAATACAAGGTTGGTTACAATCAATAGTTTATTACCGTACGATTCTTACCGCGCGTATTTAGTAACAAGAAGGCTTGATACAATTTCCTCTCAAACATCTGGCTTTCCAGATTGACAGTTATAGAAGTAAGCAAGCTTCTCTGTTATGTTCCTTAAAGTTCTTCAATAATTTGGAAAGACGGCAGTGGGTTTTTCGATTTAGATGTGTTTCTGTTTTTCTGCCGGCAGAATAGTCTAGCTGTGGTGAAATAAGAGCAACTTATGCATGCAAATAAATTTATTGCTTTCTATGCCACCTTTTAATTATTGTATTCTTAAGTAAAAAATATATTTACGTTAAAACGTGTTCTCGTTGCAGATTGGCACAAAAGTGGCAAGTCTTGACTTCAAGAATGCATCTGGCGCACCAATCAAAGTATCAAATTTAACTGAACCCGTTATTGTTAAGCTTCCAGTCCGGCATTCTCTGGCAAGTGTAGCTAGTTGCGATTATTTCTTTATTAAAATATTCAAAAGAGTTTTTCAGTGGCGAATTAAAGCAGGCAATGGAAATATTAACAGAACAATCATTACTATACATAGTATGACGAACAAAAAGGCCAGGGTAGCATCTTTTAAACTTGTATGTGATGGTGAACATAACACTGCAGGTCGGCATGTGTGATGTGTTTGGGTATCATTACTTTCAAGTTACTGTGTCTAAGCTTTCAAGTTTCTGGTTGGATTTTGAAATTTTCTTAGTTAATATTAGTAATTGGTTACATGTTGAAAATATTTTATACCTAAATCGCTTTCTTTACAGTTAATGGAAACAGGAGAACACACAATAGCAATGGCAAAGATGAATATTCATGAATTCAATTTGACAAAGTCCAAAAAATCAAGGACGTTCATCAGAATAGAAGAAAAGAAAGAAGGGAGGGACAGTGATCTCGTTGCCATAAAAGCAGTTGTAAGGTAACTTTAAAGTTTACAAAATGACGTAGAAATCCTACAAACCTACAAATCTTGTTTGGCGAAAGGTTTCGGCAAAAGTGAGGAACAAAACACTGAACTTGTTGAAACAAAAAATATTTTATATTTTATTCTGGTTCTTTTAATGATGACAAAAATCGCCACTAGGCTGGAACCGTTAAGAATCATGTAAACTTCATGGTAATGATGAGGGTATACTTCAGAAAATCAAAGCTGATAAATGAGGTTTGCACGGTCAGTATGATGAAATACAAAATTTCTATAAGGAGGTCTTGGTGTGAATCAGAACAATTGATTCCTGAAAAACTTGGTAAGAGCGTTAATGCTGCGCCAGAGCAGAAGCGTATCACAGCACGAACCCCAATTGCGTGTATACAAAGTACTGCTTAGCGGATTATTCAGTAATTTATCATTGGATTGAAACGGGGACGGGTGAGACCGTAGATTACAGGTTTGGAGGAAGATCAACAACTGTTTGCAAATCTGAGTTTGCGTTGAATATGATCAAATTTTTTAAACGTGCCAATGATCTCTAACTGATATCTGCTCTGGAGCCTTCTTGTAACGCATAAAATTGAATTGCAGTTTTAATGAGAAGCCAACTGAAAGGCTGTACAACAGAAGCCTCGAGTTCTTCCACAACGCTGCATCTTTGCACCTCGCTTCTAACGTGGGTAAGTGCTTTATGCTGTACATGAAGATGAGTAAACATTTTCAGTCTGTTTCCTCCTTTGATTGTAGCTTATAAAAAGATTATCGAGTGAATAGGTGCAAGGATGGCTCTGTGTAAAGGGTCGCTGACTTCAAATACAGGCGTAGAAATCAAGGTGTGGTCCCATTGCAAGGAAGAACCAAGACACTGCTCGATATGCACAGCTTTTCAGTGTTCTAAAAACTACCTTCGGATGCTAGGTAGAAATAAATACAATTAGAAAAAGAATAGAGAAGTTAATAAATATTTCCAATTAAGATAAAGTGCAAGTAGTTTTATGGTTTTGTTCGTTAATCAATGAGATTATTTTTTATTTTTAGGTTTATCGAAAGTGTTTGTTGGTGTTTTTATGAAGCCAATAGGACGTGTGCCTAAAAAGGTATCGGTACTTCTTAATCGTTTCATTATGATGAATTCCATTCCAGTTATTTTCCACCAGTTTGGGTTCCTTTGAAAGCCTTTTCTGATTATCTTTTTGCTCATATTTAGACCCATCGCCAATCGTTGGGCTATAATACGTGAACCATAGTTTAATGATTTCTTTCCTACGCAAGATTAATGCCTGCTCTTATTATAGCTTAACTAGAGAGCCCTCACCAAAGGGCGTATCAGGGGGAAAAACGCCAGTGGCGATCACTGAACTTGCGCCCCTCTAACCACATGACAACAATATTTTGTATTTTCATTACCCCTGCTGCGGAGTTTATGTTTTCACTGGTATTCATTTTTTATTTGTCTTTGAGCAACTTTCAACAAAGTTTATGAACAACTTTTAATGAAATTTCAGGGAAGTCAGTAAGGATACAATTAACTAATGACTTGATTTTTGAGCAACTTTTTTGCGGTACAGAATTTGAAAATGGCTTTGAAAAAATCAAAAATTTTACGTCATACTAAAAGCGTCTGACACTCCAGATTGTGCAAAACTCTTTAATGACGACATGTTTCGGATAATTGGCAGAGCCCGGTCGTCCTTCCATCTAGCAGTTTTAGGTCGATCTACATAAAAACGAAAAAGCCGCCATTGTGTAGACAAAAGGAGTTCGTTTTCTATCTTGGACTCCATTGGTAATTTTTCTTTAGGCTCGCGGCACTGATTGGTCAACCATACCGGTCTTGCGCTTGCGTTTTTCTGATTGGCCTATTTCGATCCACAACTGGGTATATGTTTTTCATCGTGTTCTTTCGGAACCTTATTCTGACGGTTTATGCTCCGAGGAGTGTCAGGCGAAAAAGCTTTTAGTATGACGTAAAATGTTTGCTTTTTTCAAAGACTTGATTTTTCGAGTAATGTCCAAACCCAGGACTCTATCACAGGATTTCTGCCCTCCTGCCATGCCCTAGATACGCCATTACCACAACTAGGCTTTACTTCCTTCCAGTTAGAATTGTTTTTATGTGGTTTAATTGTAACTTGAATTTCAATGCTTCAAGCATATGGTACAACAGTATTCTGTATCTTTTTTTCTCAATCTACCATTAACCAACAAAGTATATTCCTTGTAAAAAAAGATCCAACAGAAGAAAAGAGGTTCATTTAACAAAGTTTTCAGCAGTTTATTAATTTTGACATTTGTTTGTTTGCAGACAAAACAAGCACAACCAATTAAGTATAGGCTCGATGTCTTCTCTGTGAGTTGCAAGTTTTGGGATGAAGTTGATGATAATTGGAGTGACGAGGGTTGCGAGGTTGCTCTCGAATCAACAATGAGAGAAGCCGTCTGCAAGTATGCCACTTTTTTAATTTCCCAGAATTCATTTTTGCATAAATGTTCTTGAATATGCTTTGGAGTGAAGAGTAGGATTAATTTGAAGCTGCAACACCGAGTTCTGACGCTCATGCAATAATCAGGTAGCTGAAACAGGTCGGGAATAAATTTACAATGAGCAAAGGAACCTGGATGTCTCATTTTGGTTTCAAGTCTCATTTCGTTTCTGAATACATTTCTTAATCTCAGTACGAACAGGAAGTGTGTGATTTGCCAATGATAATCTTTAGTTATGTCAGAGGCTTGTGGCCTTGAAAGGCGCCTTCTCTCTTATTTGTCACCCGCAAACGCTCAATGTTCCAATGTTTGTTTTAAGTATGCTGTTTTTAGTGTAGTACCAAAAGGCTACCATGCTATTAGCTTCATTTTTGCCTGTATCAAGCACAGTGTTTTTATCCTCTCAATGGACAACTTTCATGTCTATTTTTTTTATTGCCATTCTCCAGGTGCAATCATCTTACTGCTTTTGGTGCACAAGTTAATGTTCTCAATGTTTCCGTCGAAGTCAAATCTTTAGTCAGTTTCAAAAGGTGGGTAGTGAAAGTGATCAAGTTTTAGATGTTTCATCTGCATCACTCTGATATGACATTAGCGATGTAAAAATCTTTTGACACTTACCAACAACAATATGAAATAGGGTGCCACTCTTGATGTCGAATATTATGGCATCTAATGCAAAGGAGGCTGCAAGGTATGAGATTTACATGAAAAAGTCTTGATTCAATATATCAGGTAATGCAAAGAGCCAAGCAGTTCTCAGAACCATAAAAAAATTAACTTTCGCAAAAAAACGGAATTCGTTTCCGCTGTTAAGTACGTTGTTCCGAAGAGATCTATATTAGATTTAAGTTATGCGTTACAGAACTGTTGCTTTATTCTATTCTGAATTCTGAAGGGCTTATAAGCGTTATTTTGGATAATTTCTCCTCAATGAAAATCGACTTTCTGTTCTAATGTACAATCTGCTGCAAAATGAGTTTTTATTTCTTGTTTCAGCAACGACGATCAACATTTTGTTTTGGCAGTCATTCTCTCAGTTCTCTGCACGTACCTCATTCTGATAATGATCTACAAATTCACCATCAAGTCGAGGCAGTGGGACGAATGTGTTGCTTATCTCCCAGACAACCACCCTGCCGACCTGTTCAGGTAATTCCCCACAGCAGCTATCTGTAGTGATCTGTATATGCTGACCTCGGTTTGACCTTGTGTCTTGGCATAACTTGTATCAGTAAGTGTTTTCTAAGTATCTCAGAAAGCTATTATAATCGTGATAACTGTAATTTCTTTATAGGTACTTGGTCGTTGTAGAAACAGGGAGCTCACACGATGCAGGCACAACTGCAAGAGTGAGTTTTTAATAGTTTAATGACTTTTTTAATACTTAAGCAAATAGTAGATCCTTTTATTGAATAAGCAGTGGCTAGGCATTGTATATATCGAATCGAGCAAATCGATATACCTTTGCAGGTGTACCACAAGGAACCTTTGCAGGTGTACCACAAGGATCAGTCCTTGGGCCTCTTCTCCTTAATTTATATATTAATGATTTATTCTTAATGGTAACTGATACTGCAGTATGTAACTTTGCTGATGATACTACGATTTTTGCAGCTGACTGTCAATTTAATAAAGTTTTAGAACGGCTAGAAACGGATGCTCTTATTTTATCAAAATGGTTTCCAGAAAACTTTATGAAATTGAATGCAGGGAAATGTCATCTTCTTACCTTTGGAACAAATCAAGATGACTTTAAGATCAAAATCGGTGAGGCCATTGTCGAAGAAAGCTCTGAAGAAAAACTGCTAGGGGTGATAATAGATAAAAATCTTAATTTCAAAAGTCACGTCTCAAATTTATGCAAAAGAGCCAGCCAAAAACTGCATGCTCTTGCTAGAGTTTCGCCATTTATGGGTTCTGATAAACTGCGTCTCCTAATGAACAGCTTCATAAAAGCTCAGTTTAGTTACTGCCCCCTAATTTGGATGTTCCATGACAGATGTCTGAATGCTAAAGTAAATAAAATCCACGAAAGAGCACTCAGAATTGTATATAAAGATAGTCATGCTGACTACGAAGCATTGCTGACTTTGGATAATGCAGTATCAATTCACCAACGCAATCTACAGTACTTGATGATAGAAATATACAAAACCAAACATAACCTGAACCCTAGTTTCATGAGTGAGATTTTTGAAACAAGAAATGTACATTATGATTTGCGAACTAAAAATAATCTTTGCATTCCAAAAGCCAGGACAACTTCTTATGGTATAGAAACTGTGAGATATTTAGGTCAAAAACTGTGGCAAACACTACCTCACAGTATAAGAGAGTCCCAATCATTGGCAACATTTAAAAAAGAATTAAGAGCACACCCTATGGAATGCGACTGTAGATTGTGTAAAAAATTTATTGCTGGGTTAGGTTTTATTTAGAACATTATACCTTAAACCTTTTTAATATTGTATCATATATTTTTATTTCATACTAACTCTTTATAGATAGTTGGCCTTAATTAGCTTCTTTATAGCTATCAGCCGTTCATTTAGTACGCCAACTTTAAACAAATTATTTATTATTATTATTATATTATATATATATAAATCGAGCAAAATGATACTTGTAATCCAGAGTAGAAAATAGAAGCAAATATATTTCTTGGCAAACGATTGGTTGTTGTCATATGATCAACAAAAATTCTCCCTGATAGGTATCTATCGTAATTTATGGTGAGGAGGGACATTCGCAAATTAGGGAACTCACCTGTCACAATGGAAAACAATTTAAAAGGGGTTCAACTGACGTCATCATAATGAGGTAGGAGTCAAATTATCACGTTTCGCTCAGTTTCTATCTTGATAGCAGAATTTTCGCGCAAATGGTTTTCATCAAATGCTTGATATATATGTTATGTAACGAATCAGTGCAAGAGAAGCGGATAATTATATAATGTGAACAGTTTTTTTATCGGTATAGAACTTGAAAATGGCAGAAATTTTATAACATATTGGCTGAAAGCTTTTTCGTCTGACACTCGTCAGACGTCAGAGCATAAAACTTCAGAATAAGGGTCCGAAAGTACATGATGAAAAATATATACCCAGTTGTGGATCGAAATAGGCCAATCAGAAAAACGCAAGCACAAGACCGGTATGGTTGTTCAATCAGTGCCGCGTGCCTAAAGAAAAATTACCACTGGATTCCAAGAGAGAAAATGCACTCCTTCTGTCTACACAATGGCGGCTTTTTCGTATGTATGTAGATCGACCCCAAGTTATCTAACAATTTTAGTGTTTGCTGGTAAAACAAATCTTTTTTTATTTAATTTGAACTAGCAAATAATAGGGGAGCAGATTACTTAAGCATGTTTTTCGTCATTAGCTTTCCAGATTCCCTTGGCGACATTAAGAAGATCAAACTGTGGCACGATAATGAAGGATATTCTCCAAACTGGTATTTGAAGCAAATTTCTATTGTCGATTGCCAGACGGAGAAAATATGGTGAGTGAATTATGATAAAACTCTGTTAATTGCTAAAAATCTCGCCAAGTAAGCGTGAAAGCAGGGGGCTGACCTGGTCTAACCCCAAATAACGCATAAGATTTCTTTTAAATTTCGCCATACTGTAAACACTTTAGTACCCCATTCCTCATCCGTAATTTACTAATTGGCCCCTAAAATTACTTTGAAATTGATATTTAACAATGGTAGTAACTTTCCGCTATCCATACCTAGGTACTTCCCTTGGAACAACTGGTTGGCAATCACAGAATTGACCAGGGTGAGCCGAGCAAAATTTTATCAAAGAATTCATTCTTACGCTATAATGGAAGTACATATAGTTTTTATTTAACTCTTCTTGGGTGGCAATGCACGTAAGATGTAACTGAATATATGATATTTCAATTTTGTTATCTGAAAACCGCACTTTAGAGAGAAGAATTCTTTTGAACCTTGCTGATTACATTTGTATTTTATAGGCAGACTGCCAAATTCCAGCAGAGAAAGAACCTCATAATAACAATGTACAGGTATGTGACAACGTACAACGTTCATCTTTATACTTTGATAAGGAAAACAGGCTTATGTTTGTGACACTGTGTGTTTGCGCACTGTGTGTTTGTGACACTGTGTGTTTGTGACACTGTGTGTTTGTGACACTGTGTGTTTGCGTACTGTGTGTTTGCGCACTGTGTGTTTGTGACACTGTGTGTTTGCAACACTGTTTGTTTGCAACACTGTGTGTTTCTGACATTATATGTTTGCGACACTGTGTGTTTCTGACACTTTATGTTTGCGACACTGTGTGTTTCAGACACTATATGTTTGCGACACTGTGTGTTTCTGACACTATATGTTTGCGACACTGTGTGTTTCTGACACTATATGTTTGCGACACTGTGTGTTTGCAACACTGTTTGTTTGCAACACTGTGTGTTTGTGACACTGTGTGTTTGCGCACTGTGTGTTTGCGTACTGTGTGTTTGCGCACTGTGTGTTTGTGACACTGTGTGTTTGTGACACTGTGTGTTTGCGTACTGTGTGTTTGCGCACTGTGTGTTTGCGCACTGTGTGTTTGCGTACTGTGTGTTTGTGACACTGTGTGTTTGCAACACTGTTTGTTTGCAACACTGTGTGTTTGCAACACTGTTTGTTTGCAACACTGTGTGTTTCTGACACTATATGTTTGCGACACTGTGTGTTTCTGACACTGTGTGTTTCTGACACTATATGTTTGCGACACTGTGTGTTTGCAACACTGTTTGTTTGCAACACTGTGTGTTTCTGACATTATATGTTTGCGACACTGTGTTCAGTGGCATCTCATTGTATCATCCCCGAATCAATGTGACTCTCCTTGGAATGATTATGTTTTCTTTTAGACCGTTTTTGAAGGAATTCTAGACTACCATCTTTGGCTGTCAGTCTTCACTGCGCCTGGTCGAAGCATCTTTTCAAAAAAACAAGTTGGTCTGCTTTTTTTGGTTGTTTTTTTTGTTATGATATTGAAACTTTAAATAAATTTTTGAATTTAAAAGCTCGTCCTGATCTAAGATGCCTTTACTAAGGTCGAGCGATTTCGATGTAAATGAAAGCAAAACCTTTTTTTTGTTATTTTCTCATTTTTCACACGTATGCCGGCAATTTTATTGATTTCCACAGAGAATGACACTTTGCTTGGCTTCCTTGGTCGGCTACATGATGGTAATCGCCGTGTTACTGGCAAACGAGCAGGTGATTTCTTTCAATCGATTTTTTCTCCCAAGAAATAAAATTCTTTAGCCTGTGAATTTCACGTGAAAAGGTTTTAATGCACCTCTCATATATGCCCAGATATCCAAACCTGTGCAAATGTTTTTGTTTATGAAAAGTACATGCAAACGTTTTAGGGATTGTACATAAGAAGCTTTTATAGGCTTTTGTGGACCTCGTTTATAAGGTGCAAATATATTTTTTCTGGTTCAATCTTACAGTTAAACACATTGCCAACCTCAGCAATGAACTATCTAGGTGTATGTGTAGGTGCAACTATACAAATTGCAATGTTTGTGTAGATAACATGAAGACAGTATTTCCGGTATCACTCTGCTTTCTAGACTGTGGAAATTCTTGGTTATTGGGATATGAAATGGTCATCTGTTGTATTGAGCCTCATTGTAACGGCAGTTGTGTTTCCGTTTCAAGTTATCTTGGAGTCATTGTTTAGATATAGCACGGTATGTGTATCATTTTTACACTTTAGTGTGCAAGCGAATTTTGAAGAAATAGCCTGGTCTATGTTAGTTGGAGATTGATTTTCTCAATTAAATTGTTGATTTTATTTCTTAAATACCCAGTGCCAAAGAACTGCTTTTCAGAAGCATTAAGAACGTAAATAAGCGTAGAATTCTGTCTATTATGTAACGTCAGTTGAACAAGTTGTAAGTGATTAATCGCAAAAAAGAATTATTTCCTTCCAATCCTTTACGAAACATTCTTTTTTGGTCATCCTATGGCTCGGTTTCTTATCGACAATTTGCTATAAAACGAAAATTATATACTACAAATTGATGTGTGGAATTGAAAAGAATGTTGCTTTGGGGGAAGGTATGATACTACTGGTATTGAGAATAAGAGCTGAAGAGAACTGATCCAGTATTAAATATTTTGATTGCTTTTAGTAGGCATTGTCAGAGACTCAAAGAGTAAACATTATAAAGAATTTTGTTTTCAATCAGGATACAAACGAACAAAAGAAGCAAACGGAGGAGAAGCCGCGATTAAATGAAGATCTCACTTTTAAAGAAGGTATCAAGATAGAAAACGTTTTTGAAATTTTAAAGCGCATGGTTAAGTTTAATTTTACTGACGTTTTCTTTTGGGATATGTCAAAAAAAACTTCAGTTCTTACTTTTCGTATTATTCGAACTTTTCGTATTATTTTTGCAGCTAAGCTGAGAATATTTCTTGCTTTACTGAGTTCTTTTAAGTTTGACACATAGTTTCTTAGAAAAAATTTCAGAAAAGTATTCAGTTGAAATATTCAGTTATAATGTTCAGTTAAAATATTCAGTTAAAATATTCAGTTAAAATATTCAGTTTAAGTATTCAGTTTAAGTATTCAATTGAAATATTCAGTTTAAGTATTCAGTTAAAATATTCAGTTAAAATATTCAGTTTAAGTATTCAGTTAAAATATTCAGTTAAAATATTCAGTTAAAAGTGTTCAGTTAAAATATTCAGTTTAAGTATTCAGTTAAAATATTCAGTTAAAATATTCAGTTAAAATATTCAGTTAAAATATTCAGTTTAAGTATTCAGTTTAAGTATTCAATTGAAATTTTCAGTTTAAGTATTCAGTTAAAATATTCAGTTAAAATATTCAGTTTAAGTATTCAGTTAAAATATTCAGTTAAAATATTCAGTTAAAATATTCAGTTAAAATGTTCAGTTAAAATGTTCAGTTAAAATATTTAGTTAAAATATTCAGTTAAAATCAGTTAAAATGTTCAGTTAAAATATTCAGTTAAAACATTCAGTTAGAATATCCAGTTAAAATATTCAGTTAAAATGTTCAGTTAAAATATTCAGTTGGAATATTCAGTTAAAATATTCAGTTAAAATGTTCAGTTAAAATATTCAGTTAAAATATTCAGTTAAAATATTTAGTTAAAATATTCAGTTAAAATGTTCATTTAAAATTTTCAGTTTAAGTATTCAGTTAAAATATTCAGTTAAAATATTCAGTTAAAATGTTCAGTTAAAATATTCAGTTAAAATATTCAGTAAGAATATTCAGTTAAAATATTCAGTAAGAATATTCAGTTAAAATATTCAGTTAAAATATTCAGTTAAAATGTTCAGTTAAAATATTCAGTTAAAATGTTCAGTTAAAATATTCAGTTAGAATATTCAGTTAAAATATTCAGTAAGAATATTCAGTTAAAATATTCCGTAAGAATATTCAGTTAAAATATTCAGTTAAAATATTCAGTTAAAATGTTCAGTTAAAATATTCAGTTAAAATATTCAGTTAAAATATTCAGTTTAAGTATTCAGTTTAAGTATTCAATTGAAATATTCAGTTTAAGTATTCAGTTAAAATATTCAGTTTAAGTATTCAGTTAAAATATTCAGTGAAAATATTCAGTTAAAATATTCAGTTAAAATGTTCAGTTAAAATATTCAGTTAGAATATTCAGTTAAAATATTCAGTAAGAATATTCAGTTAAAATATTCAGTAAGAATATTCAGTTAAAATATTCAGTTAAAATATTCAGTTAAAATGTTCAGTTAAAATATTCAGTTAAAATATTCAGTTAAAATATTCAGTTTAAGTATTCAGTTAAAATGTTCAGTTAAAATATTCAGTTAAAATGTTCAGTTAAAATATTCGTACTAGAAAGACAGTGATGTCTGCTTATCAAAGCATATTTACCTTTTTTAGACCAACAGAAATCTCAAGGGGCTCTGTTTTTCATGGAAGTCAATTCTGCAATCTATTCATCACAAAACATGCTGGTGAGTATTCTGTTTGCGTTTTTTTATGATGCTAATCATTGCCCGCGCTTTAGCAATGCTAATTTTTGCATATGTTTGAGAACTTTAAATTGCGCAGTATTCTTTGGAAGCTGTCAAACATTACCCTGTGTAATCGATTCAGCAACCTGCTTAAGCGATACCTGCCTAAAATCTGTTACTAGGAATTTGTTTTTTCCCTGAAAATATTTTCAATTACTTTGATCTTTCTTTGGCTTTGAAATTGGTTGAATGAAACTATCTAGCCTCTCTTACATTTTAATAACCGAGCAGTTGAAGCACAACCCTGACTGGTAACAGTTTTTCCTGCACTGGTAATGTTCACTCTTTTAGAATTCCCTAGGTCTACTTGACATGTCGATCCTGTGACCTAGTTAATTACACAGTTGCCTCTTAATGATGTAGGCGGATATGTACTGACTCGAGCTTTTTGTTCATTGCTGAATGGAACATATGAATCAGAAATTAGATGATGGGACAGGAAGGCCTACAATCACTGCCAAAAGTCTTGGAACAATAACGTAGATTTTCAAAGGCAACTCCAACCATCCCCCCTCTCCCCCTAGAAATAATGTTGATTTACTATAGAAAAAAGAACGGGGTTATGGAAAATGTTTTTTCTTGTGGCTTGTTTGATATTTTCCTTTGCTTTCAACATTGTTTTTGGGGGAAAGGGGGACGGAAGTAGTAGCATTCAGGAAAACAAATGAAAAATAGAAAAGCACAGCGCAAATTTTTGGGTGTTCCAAGTAATTTTGACCGTGATTGCAGGTACCTTGAAACAAAGAAACGTTCCTTTTCCGTTGCAAGGTGTTAATGAAACCTAAAATACTTTGCAGAAATGAAGCAATTTTAAATTTTATTACCTTCATGTCTTTGATTTGTTTTCTTTATATGCATTTTGTTATATGCCTTGATAAGTTATGTTTTGCTTGGTATTAGTGCAAGGATGATAAAGATAGTATTTTGGAGCTGAAAGAGGGCTGCCCAGGTATGGTGTCATGTCTTTGATTTGCTACTTTGTCGATACTTCCTTGTTTTATGACTGAGACGCACACATGCAAATTATGAAATGTTGATTATCTGAAACTGGGGGGAAAAATTCGATAAGGCGAGGAAAGATTTTGTTTGAAGACCCCAATCAAAGCTTAAAGTTGCTTACATAATGACGCGAACACAATTTTGCCTCCCTTTTTCGATATACTATTTACGATTAAGCATAATTCTATTTCCTTGCAGCTACAAATGAAAGGCAAAATTTTGCCTTCCCAGTCTGGTTTCAAAACGTTTGGGTTTTGCTTTGCGTATTGTTTTCCTTCTCGGGAATGGCTATCACAATGTGGTATAGCAACAGGTTAGTGGATTCGTTTGGTTTTCAGCCAGTTCACTAAGATAACAAGCAAGCATAAGAAGAGAAATTTAACAACCATATGGTGCATACTTGATTGGGAAGTAATAACTTCTGCATAGTGCATTTTCGTCAACAAGGAACCAAACTCCTTAAAGTGCTAATTGATGTTCATATCATAGTCATATTGTTAGGAAGACATTTTGGTCCGCCGGAGCGAATTTCGTTTAGCATGAAAATTGCAATTGATCAGAATATTCCTGTAGTTAGATTTATAACTATTAATAGCTTAAAGTTTAAGTGACTCACCGTAAAGTTTTATTAAAGTTGTAAATTTTGTCCAATTAAAATTTGGTGCGTTTTGTCATTGTTGTAAGCATTTGAAAGACATTAATTTGTCTAATTAATCAGCATTAATCGACTTCAATATGACATCGCAGAAAAAATTCATTGTTTTTTTTAAAAGATTTATATTCTCGTCAGTCAAACGAGCTTTAGTTTGAGAAAGAGTAAGAATTGTTAGTTCTTAAATATATGTCACTTCTACCAGCTCGATTTGATTAATATTTTCAGATTTGACAGCAAAACAGTCTTATTATGGATACAAGCTTTATCGTTGTGTTTTATTTGTGGCGCTGGTATTCTTGAAGTTTTAAAGGTATCAGTTGACTCTTGATTCAATTCTGTGATGCCTTAGATTGCATAATTTGAACAAACCCTCTTGTTCATATTAATAACTGTGTTGTCTTAAGACATAAAATGAAATCACTTTTAATACCATAGCAACGTATAGAAAGGTCAAAAAACTCTAGAAGGATTTTTCATATCATTTACTCAACATGATAAGACGGGAAGTCCTTTAGCAGTTAAGATTCCTAGCCTAGTGTGATTTTAGCTTTGACAACCTTTAGAAACATTCGAACTAATTCTATCATATTGCCATTTAAGATCCAACATAAACCTGAAACAGTTTAGGAAACAAATAGTCTGTTTTACATTGATAAGTTGATACGATAATTAATTGATATGGTCACTATACTGCAATTAATAAATGAAAATCGTTTTTTAAGCTCTGTGTGTGGATACGACGCCTTTAACCAAACACTTTTCCAATTTCCCACCCTGTGATTTTGTCTGTGCCAAGCAGATAGACAATTTTCGCATATTTAGATTATTTTAATAAATTTGATGACAGTTGAAATTGATTTTTTCAAGGCGATGTGTCTCGCATTAAGAAAATTGTATTTGGTGCATAGTAATGCGATAATCAAGATGTACCTGGAATGTGCCCGTTTGTATGGAAAAGCAACTTTGAATCAGTTCACTGGTACTAGTGAACCAAATGAAAAACAGGTAATGAACCAGGTTTTTCATGTTCTGCCAAGGACTTCATCCATTCTCCTATGTGACCTTGTATTTCTTAGTTCAAATATTGACTGAGTGACACTGCACAAGTTTGATTAGAAGACAATCCTCGTGTGTGACCTGAACGTAGGCAAAGTGACTGTTGTGGAGGAAGCCTCCCGAGCAAAGAGTGTGACCAGGACGATTCCTTACCTTTATTTCTTCTCTTTGTTATCATCTGGTTAATTTGGAATACCTTACCTTCTTTTTAATAAGCTGCCAAGGATCTATGTATATATATATATATTTGAAGCTTAATCATTCTGGTCTTTTCCGTTTTGTTGAAAACATTCTGCTTTAAAGTTTTCCACTCTGGATGACAGTCTCCTTTGGAAAATATCAAAATTGATTATCTCTTTAGTCTAGTGATGTATGTTAATTATTGCTTATGATGTCTGATGTATGTTTCAAGCCTTTTTCAAGTATATTAAATTTTATATCACATAAAACAGTTGCCTGACGATTACAATAAGCGAAACAATTGGAGTTTCAAACATTTTCTATATTCTCTATATACCAAATATGTACAGCTCTGCCTACAAGACGTCGGGCACTAAGACTGGTAAAACAGTTATTTTCACTACATTAAATTTCAGATACTAGCTGCAAGAGCGAGGGCACGTTTTGTTCGATTCAGTAAACCAATTTTGAATGAGAATTTGAGGAAAGCCAGGAAAAAGGCAGCTCGATGGAATTTTCTTTCTTCATTTGCTTGGTAAATCTGTTTGTTTTCCTTTAACTGAATTTATTTTGTTCATGTTTTCATTAAATATGAATTCTACGTTTAAGACCTTACTTTGACTGTGTTGAATAAAAATGGCTAGTATAATGGTCTTTTTTAATCGTCCTCTTTTCGAATATTGTCATATTATTGCTCTTTTGCTAAAGGAACCTGTTCACGACTTCAGTATACATAACAACACTGGCAATGCTGTTAGTGCATTCAAACACCAGGGAAGAATTCCTCCAACGGACAGTAATTGAAGAGAGAGTAACCAGGTATGGTAATAGATGTTTTCCGTTTTAAACCCGACATTTTTATCCTTGTGATATCAGTTGTATTCATTTTGAGCGTAAAATGCAGACAGAACTGCTTATATTTTTTCATTCTTATTTGAAAGGAAAGTTTTGATTATTGGGTTTTGAAATACTTTATTTTATCTTAATCAGCGATGTTAATTGGATGTATTTGTCTTTCAATCGATCAGCAACTCCGATCTATCCAGAATGGTGCAATAAAACAAAAATTCAGACTAACTTTAACGAACTAAGTTAATGTTAACGCGGGAAGAAGTGCTGATTGTAATCACCAAAAGCTTTGCTGTTTGTAATGATGCGTTTTGGTTCAGTGTTTACAAATCAATGTTTACAAAAAAAGTCCAAGAGATGTTGACGAATTCAGGCCATTTTTTATGTTAAACAACAGTCTTTATTTGTTGTCGAGTTTTTTGCATACAATAGGTTTAGATTTAGCTTCTAAGTCCATTGAGTTGTGGATCAATAGACCAAAAGTAAATGGAACATATTGGTGCAGTATCGATAACAAGAGCAGGGCGATTTGCTGTACGCAGATTCTGTTGTGCAGCTTTTTGACGTCAAAGGGATGAATAAAGTTCAATTGAGTGATATTCATTGCACAAAGTTAATTCCCTGCTATATCTGATCCAATCAAGCAACGCTGTAACTGGCAATAAGTAGTGGGTACTTGTTTTTTAGTTCTTGTTTTTTGTTACTTGTTACTTGTTTCAAGTATGCCAAAGGAATGTAATATTGCTAATAGGTGGTCTGATGTTTCTTCTGATGAATTTTGGAGATTAACAACGTCTATTTTCTCTTGTCCTTTAGCCCAGTCAAAAACATTTCGTTCAATAATATTTCGACACGAGCACAGTTCTTCGACTGGACAGAGTTGCAATTAGTCGACCTGCTGCAGTGGCATTGTTGGCATCATTTGCACGGCTATCGTGACGCTTCGCTGAACCACGGCCATGCTCAAGTATGTTCTTAGTAGAAAAAGCTTCAATTAGTTAACCTATTAGCTATCTTTCCATTCTATCATTGCTCTTGATTTTCAAGAATCTTCCTTTCCTACCTCTCTATCTTCCCTCCCATTATTCGATCATCCTTCCCTACCTTAATCCTTGCCCATCTTTCTTCATTCACTTGATAAACTTTGTATTTGTATTTGTTTCTACCTAGCATCCGAAGTTTGTTTTAGGGACACTTGAGGCCATGATCAATTTGACCGCACCTCGGTTATTCCTACGCCTGGAATAACAGAGGGCTGGCGACTCCCCTTAATCTGGGCGAAAGTTTGATCATGTCATAGACTCGAACCCCAGACCCTTGGACCTATATTCCGCGGCCCTAAGCATTAAGCCGTCTTGGCACCTCGCTCTCATAAGCACACATTCAACAAGCATATCCAAGAGTCAAAGGTTTTCCTTGCAGCTTCCTGATTTTAATACTATGTACACCTTTGGGCCAGCTTGCTTCGAAAAACTAGACAATTTAAAGAAAGCAGAGATGCCGGAAATTTCAAACAGGTTAGATTATAAAAAATTCTGTTTCTGTTGGGTCTTTTACCATATATTTACATTACTTACTTATTTCTTTGTTCTAACATTTGATATTCTATCTCATTTCCCTTTGTTGGTTCTTTTTTATTAACTCTTACTGTTTTTTCTTCGTCCTTTTCCTCCTTGTAACTTTTCTTGATCGTCTCCCTCTTCCTTGGCGCTTTGTTATCGTTTTCTTATCTTTTTACCCTTCTTATACCCTTCTTTTCTTCTTTTTCTTCTACATCTTCATTTATCTTCATTTTGTTTGTCATTCTTCCTTTTTTGTCGTCTTCATTTTCTCCTCATTTTATTCTGCTTCTTCTTTCCATTATTTCTGTCTTTATTTCATTTTGTTTTTATCCACTTTCCTTGTTAATCTTTTGTTATATTTTTTCTTCCTATCCTATGTAACCTATTTGTTATCCTTCTGTTCACCTTCTCATCTTCCTGTTGTTCTTTTCTAACTTCCTTGTCATTCATTCTCCTCTCCGAAATCCTCTTTTTCGCTGTTTTCTTACTATCCTTCAATTCCCATCTTCCTTATGATTTTTATACCATCCACTTATTCGTGTTTTTCTTATGTTTCGTAAATATAGCCTTTCAAACTGTCTTACCATAGGTCTGCATACAACGTGACTGCATTTGGCCGAAAAGTTCTCCTCATTGGTACTAGGTAATCAAACGACCTTGCAATTGATAAACTGCAATTCTGAAAATAGCCTTAAGAAAAATGCACAGTGACTGTGTTAAAGTTGAACAGAATTTAAAAACAGCGCCGTCTTAATCATGCGTATCTACCGGAATTCACTAAACTCAAATAAAATCATCGATATTCTAGGAATCAAATGATGGCAGTGCTGAGGTTGCTTCGTCGCTCTGACTGGTTCAATAAGAAAACCTCTTTGGTTAAGATATCCTTTTCTTACTTTCATCCGGAATCAAGCACCTTCAGGTAACGTTTTTAACGTTAGAAATTATAACTTGTCATAATTTTCCAGACACATATTGTTTTCAAAAGTTTGTAGATACTCCTAAGCAGGGCTTCTTTAGGACAGTTAGAAATGATTTTTTAATAAAGGGGTTTTTTCAGCTTAATTCTAGCAGTTCAGAAAAATATCAAAACGCCTCTCGTTATTGGAGATTCTATTATTCCTTCCAGCTATGTTCAACTGTCAACTAAAATTTCACCAGTTGGGAAACTGGACACGGAAGTTCAAGTAGAAAGCATGACCCCCTTTACGCAGCTTGGCACAGTACGATATGTGATAATTGCTTTCAAGGTCAGTACGATTATCGAACTCTCCTTTACTGTAATGTTGAGGTCATATTAGAAATCTGCACAAGACCCTTGCCGCGTTTCAAATTTGACTTACGGTTAATGAATTAGATAAGCTATTTCTTAATTTTCCTGTTCACGTTCATCAGGCCTTCTACCTGCAGAGACCCTTCCAATACAGGGATGGTCAGAAGAAATGGCCTGGGATTGTGTGTTGTCATCACACGCAATGTTAGCGTTTAGGCGTGTTGTCATCGCACGCAATGTTAGCGTGTAGGCGTGTGGTGTTTGCACCATAAAACTCGAGCTACGATTTTTCTAAACAGGTTTCATAAAACCTATCAAAAGTAAGCAGTTATTTGTTAGATCAAGCAGAAACTTTCAGCGTTTTTTGCAGTGTTTTGCAGTGTTTGTACACCACATTCAACTCTCCCAACTATGATCAGAGGTGCATAAAATGTTGCAGATTTCATTTTTAAGTCGTGTATCATCTGCCATGTCATGCAGAAGAAGAGACAGGACAAGGAATCAATTAATTTACCCCATTAACAACACAATTTAGATTTAGGTCTGCAGCTATCCAAATTTTGTGGTCACTTTGGTTTGAATGGTTGCGAGCGATCTGCCGCACGCCTTGTTGTTATTTAGGCCTAGCACGTCGTTCGTGCCCAGGCCTGCAGTACATCTGTTAGTTACTGTTCTTTATTGTTAAGGCTAGTCAATCGAAAATTTGTGACTTCAGGAAGACAACCTAAAACCATCTGATTGTTCCCGAAAGTGAAACATCATCAAAACAACCTGGAAAAAATAATCTTTATATTTGGCGTAGTAGGTCAGCACTTCCCCATCAGCAGTTGGTACCTGATTGTTGACGCTAAACTCAATGTCACTAGTAGTTTTGAATGAATGGTTTAACAGCGAATCAGACAATTTATGTAAACTTCAGCAACCGCCTACTTGAATTGTGCTTCAGATCACTCAATAAGAAACATATCAGCACAGAAAACAAGACTATCATTTCTGCTAGTGACGTAAAACTTGTAACCTTATACAGCGGTACTTCAAAACATCTTTTTCAGCTACTCAGCTTTCTCTCCTAGGTTCTGTTTTGTGCGCTCATCTTGATCTCTATACGACAAGAGTTGTCTTGTCTAATGGATAAAGGACTAAGACATTTTCAAAATAAGTGGAACATTCTAGAGGTAGGGTCCATTTGCAAACTAAAGCTGTAGCAGTCACATATTCAATTTTAAAGCTCTATTTCTCTGACCGATGTGTTTGACGATCACAATTTCTGGCAGTTTTTCTGATACCATTACTGACATCCAGTATCATTCCTTGAGAGCATGTTTATTTTAGTAAGCATTGGCTCTCATCCAATGCTAGATTTTTCCATCACAACAATTGATTATGTTAAAAGAAGAGCAGGTCAATAACTTGTTAGTCTATAACACCTTATTTGCACTGACGTATATCCTCACACTGGGCACCAATGTTTATTTCTATAGGATCTAAATCAGATTGCCAATTTGTAAAATTACACAATTAAGAACATTTATTTCGTTAAAGGGCCTTCTGATTATCCTCACGATGCTGGCGTTGTCAGCTGAGATATGGCAGACGGTTGAAGCAAAGAAGACATTGTATAAAATTGAATCGATGCATATCAATGATTCAGACGTCTTCCTAGACCTTACGGTCGCACTGAGATCAGTCAAGGTAATCGTTTACGCATTAAACTGTGTTTGAGGTCATAAATTTCTGCACAGAAATTTTCACTGGTATACTTAGGAATGAAGCAGTGCATTGGTAACACATGACAGTTTCAAGATTTTTCATCTGAAGAAAAAACTGATATTGCTATACCCATTTTGGAAAGCCAAGGAATGCCAAGTCCTATATGTTTCTCTCTTTTTATTAATTAAAGAACTGAATTTGCAAAATAAACCCTTTTTCATGACTTCAACTCGAAGCTTTAGAACTTGATACCTGAATTACAATCTCCCGGTGAAAAGCCTTTATTGACATAAGTTGGTTGAGTGATTAAAATAAGACAGGTGAAGTGTAATGCGTTGCCGATGCATTATTATGGTATATTTGGTTTAAGAATTTTAAATTCCGTAGACTATTCTTTTATTTCTATTTTACAACATGAGCAGGTTTTGTCGTTTTATCTCATAAGAATTGCAACAGGATCAGCCTCCAGATTAACCCATGTTTCCATTGACGGTTTCTAGTCAAAATCAACTAAATACATCCACTCCTTTATACTTGTTGTAAATTCAATCGCGCCTTCTCTCCCGCAGATTCGAAAAGTTAGCTGGAAATGTCTGGCTGTTTCAATGGCAGACATTTTATGGTTCTCTTTTATATTCGTTGAAACAATGTTGAAGCAACAACAAAACCCAATCCGTTTTTTTATTTGAGGTTTTATCAGATGTACTATTGAGCACTATTTAGATTTTGCCAGAAAGGATCTTTGAATACAGTCTGTTCTTTGGAATATTGTGTATGACAGAATGGTACAAAGTAGAGACACAATGTAGCTTGTTGAGATGGCCCCATAAAAAAGGTTGTTAGCATAAAGTCTGTGAATGTATGAAACAATGTTTTCGCTGTTTCTAACCTTTCTGTTTGTTTTCAGGTGACAAGGATCATTTATGCGACGCTGTTCTTTTTAGTCCTGTTGAAAGCTGTTACACTTCTTCGCGTTTTGACAAGAGTCTCAGCTATCTTGACCTTGTTGGCGACAGTAATCCCCAAATTACTGGCTTTTATGGTAGGCTGATTCACATGCCTCCCTACTTTTGTTTAGATCCCTACGTTTATACGTCAAATTTTTGTTGCTACATCCGTCCAATTTTGAACCTCTGCTCAGTAAGCTGTTAGAATATTGCACATGCTCTTGTAGAGCTTTTAACTTAAAAATAAGAAAAGCAGAGAGACAAACTTGCAAAATATGCGTTATGTGAAATCATTTCTCTTATACCCAGGTAATGTTTGGCCTGCTATTTGCCGCTTTATTTCATGTGGGAACATTGGTTCGTGGACGATCAAGATGGGCATTTACCGACAGCGAGACGACATTATTAGAACTATCAACTGTGTTGACCAGAGGCCATTCAGCCATATTAGGTGAAGTTGCACCGTGCAGTTCATTGATTTTTGCGTATAATATCTTGGCGTCCCTGGCTGTGTTTGCTTTTTGGCTCATGGTAGGTCATACTACATCTGCTTCATTCTTGGTATTTTTTTTCTATATTTCTATATTTTTCTATATGTATGTACTATAGTCTCTAAGCATGTTTTGGTGACTTGAGTCAAAGATTCAGTGATCTGCAAAATAATGAAAAAAATTAATCGGCATACATGCTTTGTGTCTCTAAAGAATTCTAAAGTCATTTTTGTTGTCAGATTTTGTTTCGAATATCGAAGAAGACCATAAAAGCGAAAAAGACATTTTCTTCTCATCGGTCATTGCCCATGTGTTTGTTCTGCGTCTATGATCTTATCAAATCTAGCACACTCATTTAAAAGGCATCTCCAGCCAAAACCTGCAATCCCCTTTTGATCAGCTAATCCAACTTGATTAAGACTGCTTATTATGAATTTTTTTATAGTTACAACCGCTTGCATTTTGATAGTTTATTGAATAAGATTGACGTAAACCTGAAAACATATTTCGCTTCGTGTGCGAAGCTGCGGATTTGTACCTCAGTTATTAGCAACATCGTCTATTCGATTCGTCTTTGCTCGGTTTTTCTTTCTGAAAAGAGCGACTTTAGGCTTTCTTACTTTTTGCAGCAGAAATTACTTTTAAAGTTTGCAGGAACTGAGACTCTTTGGTTGGAGTGGCACTTTGAGATTATGCCACGAAAATATTTCTGCTTTCGTTTTAAAATCGAGTTGTGTATTTCTAATTGGAGTTATTTGATGCCTATCGCTAACTGTAAAGTGGCTCAGGTTCTTCAATCATGGAGATGGTAGATGTGTGCAAATGTTTGCACGATTGGCATGTCACAGCTTTTTACGAGAAGTTATTTAAGCGCCACCGCAATTGAATTCTTAGAAACAATCGATGATTCAAAAGCGCCAAAATATCAAGAGCAATTTGACCCTAGAATTTGTCTACCCGGAAAGAACTTTCCTTGAAGTGAATACAAATTGCTGGCTGGTGCCAAGAAACTGGTGTCAACTTCCAAATATATGCCAAGAAAACCTATGAATTGATGTATCTCAGATTCCCTGCAGCCCAATTTAAATGAGTTCTCAACAGCCCAGCATGGGCGGTACATAACTGCGGTACTGATACGAAATCCATTGACCTAGCTTTAATCTAATGTCCACTTGTTTCTTCGCCATTTACTGCCCTAAGTAGTTTTAAGGTTTCAGCCAATAGTCATTGCCCTATTTAAAGCTCTCTACACCCGGTCCTCTCTATTGCTCTCTCAAATCTTGACTTAAAATGCTTGTTTTTCATTGACCATGAAAGTTCTTGTAAGGTGACTTGTTGGGAAGCGAGTGTAGATTCCCATTGTTGTAGGGGTTTTTTCAATAAATTTATTCAAAAAAGGGGAAATGGGGAAATGCAGGATATGCGCATGAGACAAGGGTTCGCGTTATTCAGTTTCATTCTTCTTTTGGTTCGTGTTCACAGTGGCTCTTCTGATACGAGATGCTAATTTCCATACCACAGAACATGCTACTTCCTATTTTGCCAGCAGATGGCAGAAATTAAGTCATTAATTACTATTACGCATTTGCATCTGATGTTGAAAGCCAACGAAGCTTTGGACAGACTTTGGTTATATAAGATGAAACTCATGAAAGTACTTTATTATAAATATACCAAGAATAATTGATAGATCACCACCAGAAATATAAGCAAACTGTTACCAAAAGGTGGATGTTTATATAAGTTGAACAGCCCTATTCATTAAGACGATTGAATGCCGTTGAATCGAATTTATTACGTAATCTGTACAGTGCGTACAAGGAGTAAAGATATGCATTTTAAAGGCTAAGCTTTCATATTGGATATTTTCAGATCCTTGTTTATTCGTGTGGTCTCATCTTGACCCAGAGATACATTCGAAATACTCGCAATATTTTATAAGAAATGAAGCTCTAGTTGATTAATTTCTTGTTTTTTATTGATTTAAGTAATACGACACAACATAACATAACACAACATAACATGACACAACACAACATAACATGACATAACATAACATAACATAACATAACATAACATAACATAACATAACATAACATAACATAACATAACATAACATAACATAACATAACATAACATAACATAACATAACATAACATACATTCACGACACAACATAACACGACACAACATAACACGACACAACATAACACGACACAACATAACAAAACAAAACAAAACAAAACAAAACAAAAGAAAAGAAAAGAAAAAAACAAAACAAAACAAAACAAAATAAAACAAAAAACATTACATAACATAACAAAACATAACATATCACGACACGACACGACACAACATAACACGACAAAACATAACATAACAAAACAGAAAACAAAACAAAACAAAACAAAACAAAAAACAAAACATAACATAACATAACATAACATAACATAACATAACATAACATAACATAACATAACATAACATAACATAACATAATGCAACATAACTTAAAACAACATAGCATAACACGACCCAAAACAACATAACATAACGTTACGTAATGTAACATAACATGACCCAAAACAACATAACATAACGTTACGTAACGTAACATAACACGACCCAAAACAACATAACATAACGTTACGTAATGTAACATAACACGACCCAAAACAACATAACATAACGTTACGTAACGAAACATAACACGACACAGCATAACATAACATAAACATAACAGAATATAATATAGCATATAGCAAGGAATACTTTTTGGTATAAGCTTTCTCTGTCAATAGAGCTACAAAGTGTAGTCTCATCACAAAACTTTTTTAGGATTTATGAATTTCAACCAAGCAATCTGAAAGAAAGCTGTGGAGTGTCTTGATATTTGTATCATCAGTTATATCTATTCCTAATTAACCAAGTTATAGGAACTAAAAGAACGGTTTTTTTGCTAATGGATTACTTCAAGCAAGATCGAATTACAGTGGTTTGGACCGGGTCAAAACTTGGATGAGTTCAAGAGAGCCTCAACGTAGCCTTTGTTAGGTATACGAGCGAGCAAAAGTCTTCAATTGAGTGAGGCAACCCTCCGCCCTGGAGTCAGAGAGCATGCGCAATAATAACTTATTGACAAATTTTCTCTTGTTCGTCTGTTCAACAAGCATTGGACCACGGTGGCGAACACTGAATGCAGTTTTGAGGTGGACAAGAGGCCCACAGATGTCGGTCTTGCTACAATGTCGGTCTCAATTACAATATGTCTTTTTTTAGAAGCATTTTTCCTTCTGCTGCCACATTTGACTCTTCCTCTTTACATGAAAACTGGATTTCTGCAACTAGGGTAGGTAGTTCGTATGCCTGATATGTAGTGATGTATAGGTGTGTTAATAGGATCAAAATATCGTCGGCATTATTCTGTACACCAACTTGGAAACATGTCGTCAGTCCTAACGTTGTAACATGCCTCCTATAGGCAGATCCCTTATTGTTGTTTTTTGTGTCGTCCTATTATATCATGTGCCTTCTTTTTTAGTCCGCGATTTTTTTCATCGGACGCTTCAAGGTAGAAAAAACTCAAAGGAAAAGAAGGACACGGTTACTTAAAAGCCTGGGATTATTGTAAGTAAATTCTTCTTTCGGATACTTCACTTAGCAACATATTTTTCATATTAATTTTCATAATTAATCTTATTTTCGATTATATATCAACAACAACTTTAATTTCACCCGTCTTAAAAAAATCACACAATCTCTTCTTCCAGTAATGACGTTTGATCTAAGAGACTGGACATTTACCTTGAAAATTCTTACGAATTTTAAAAGAATGAGTTTTCGTCTTCTTATTCATAAAAAGTGACGATTTGATCTATTCATGATCTGTTTTTGGCCGCGAGTTTGATTGTTCACAGCTATGGGTGTCGATAGAATCCATCGTTTGAGCGCTTTAACAATAATATGCCTTCGCAAAGGACATACAAAACCGTACAAGACAGGCGAAGGAAGAGTGGCTGGAAACCGTACTAAAATATGATAGAAATGTAAGAGCAACGGCTCATTCGTCTTGCCAAGGCTTGCTCTTGTCAAAGGTGGTCTTGTTTCGGACAACAGAGCTCGTTCCACCGAAAATCGGGATGCGAAAAGGGAGGTAAATCGAGGGGTTTTAGTTAGACTATCTTGATTCCTTATTTTATCTTGGTTTTAGTTTAATGGTCTTTCTTCATTTTGAAAGAATATCTAGTCTTAAATTGAAAGTCAAACGTAAATTTAACATTTATTGATTTTTAAGCTACCTTAGACGAATATTTCAAGCTTCCTTAGACGAATATTTTTTGTTTTCCTTTCAGCTTTAAAAAGCTTTCTTCCAAAAAAGCCTGGTGGCAGCTTTACAGTAATATTCTGAAAAGATTTTTTGGAGGACAGGAAGACAAATATAAATCCTGCAATCTTCCTTTGGTTAGTATGACATAGTATCAAATGAAATTGGTACTTTTTAAATTCTGCAATACGTACGTGTTGAGAAACTTAACTCCTCTAGTGAAATGATCTAAAATCTGCTGCCTGTTAGAGATTCCTCTTTGCCTTGTATTGAAAAGGTGGCAAAGTCTCACGAAACTCATAAATATGACGGAGGGGACCAAAACTTCCTTGCTTAGACCAGCCTTAGGATGTATAATAGTCAGAAGACTCCAGGGTAAATCCTCGGTTAGCTAAGCATTATTGCTTTTCCGTTTTTGATCCGTGAGGAATTTCTGGAGAACAATTTGACACCTTGTCAATCTATTCTGTGTTTAGACGGCCTATTCTTTAGTTTTTATTGCATATTTTTCGAAAGCTTTTTAGAAAAAAATGATGACTCATCTTTGGAGAACTTCTCGCATATCTTGAGTTTTCTTCGTTACTTACTAGGTTACTTTACTTTGTTATCATTAATTTTTTGTAAACAAATTCGTTAGCTTTTCCTTATAATTAACTGATTTTCTTAATTTCATTCTGGCGATAATCTGTTTTTCGTTTCTAAATCTGTTTTGCCTTGCAATTCTTAAACTCAGAATTTGAATTCATATCATTTTCAATAGTTTTCACTGTAATATAATCTGGTTTTCATTGTTACCATCATTATATTTTCAACTCAGTATTTAGGGTATTGGGCTCGAAAACCGTCCCGATTCCTCCTAGCATCCTAGGCAACTATATTATTAAAAAAAAAATATGCTATTGTAATTTGCTAATTATACTTCAATAGTAATCGCTTTATTGACATCTAATTTTGTAAATTGTTGCTGAATATGAAATGAATTTGAATTTGAATTTGAATTTATGAGAATTTGACAATTGTTATATTGAAATATGCCATACAAGACACATACATAAGCTGAATCTGTCAGCCTCCCAAAATCATGTTTCGTCATTCAATAGTCTTTTTGTTGGTGATGTCAAGGTACCTTCAAAGTACACACATTGACTTAGGTTTTATCTCGCCTAACTTTCTGCTGTAGGAAAATATCTACGACGAGATAGAATATCAAGTTGAAGAAGTGATCTTTCGATTGAGCAATCTATACGACATGAGTGATTTTGCGGAAAATATTGGCAAGCAGGTGGGAGCTGAAGATGACTACACACTGGACAGTTCTGAAGAGGCCGCCTACCCGAGTTCATTCAGCACCAAGGACAGTATAAGCTTTACATCAGAAAGCATTTATTCAGAGGACAGTGGTTACTATCGATACGGCGACTACAGAGGTGCTTACCCTTCAAGTTCAAACAGTGATGATGAATACGAAGGGCCTGTTATTCATTATCTGGAACCACCAAGACAGCGCCTCGGTAGCTTAGGCCAAATCATGTCGCCCATATTCGGTGGTAGGTATTTTGTAAAGACAAGCTGGAGCACATTCAGGACTCCTAAAGTGAAACCGGCCGAGATAAAGCCACCCCCAAAGATACAACTTCCCCAGTCTAGCTCTCGAAAAACATTTGAAAAAGTTAGCAACTGGTCGTCCAAGAAGCCTAAAGAGGACTCACGTGAACGCCTTGAGGCAGATGAATGCGAAGTGAAGCAAGGTCTAGAAATGTTTGATGCGTTTCCAAAGTCACAGCCTCCATTTCCAAAGAAGTCTGCAAAGCTGAAGCCGCTTCCGCCAATTCAACTGCCTTTACTCCATCGCAATAAGACGCTTGAAAAGATTAAAAACTGTTCCACAAAGTTTAAGGTAGACACCCAGCTTGAGGACGAAGAAGTATCATCAAAACATAACTTAGATCCTTGCCTTTCTTCCCACCAAGGACAAGTTGGCAGCTTCGATAAGGATGAGAAAAGCGGACCAAAGATTCCCATTCAAACATCAAACTTGCGCTACGAGCAATCGTTGCTTCCTAAAGCTTTACAGTCAGTAGCAACCAACATCAAATTTGCTCCTAAATTCAACGAAAACACGACACCTTTTCGAAGGCCAAAGATTCCTTCCGTTCAGGAGATAATGACACACAAGAAAAAGCCTATTTTATTCAAAAGGACACAGGTATGCCCGCTCAGCGTCGATACTGCAAGCTCACGGTCGGTATCAGTCAGCACGCATTCATTGCCGAAAAGCCCGCCAGAGCAGATCAATGGAGGCCTAGTTGTAAGCAAGACAAGATCTCCGAGTCTGGACAGTGGGTTCATGCGAAGTAGTGATAATGAAGACAGTGAGGTTTGTAGTGATGTTTTAAAGATTTAGGATTGAACTAAAATATCTTCAGTTGCCGCAATGTAGAGATTAAATTCAGAATTTATTTTTGATAAGTCTTTTGTATATTTTGCATCATTTTAGAATGTCATAGGTTTATTTTCTAACAGCAGTCATAATTCAATCGAACTGATAGAAAACAGTTGATCTGAGCAATTTTTACTTTGAATAAATACATAGGCTATGAAATATTTCTTCTTTGAACCACGGTTAATAATCTATGCTGCCTGCCAGAATTCTAGCTTTTGTTTTGATGTCATCTTCTACAGCTTGAAGTATACGACAAAAACCTGTCCTGAGTCTAACTATTCTGATAGTCTTGTGAGGTAGCTCTACTGATTAGATTTATTGACTTTTTATGACTCCACAAAGTAACCTAAATTGAAGATGTAAGATAGCATTCAGTTGTATTTCAATAATGTTTAAAATTTACAAGATGAAGGATAGATTTAAGAATCATAGCCCTCTTTCAAATCGATTTTTATCCTTGATAGTAAAAAACGTTATGCAGACCAGTTATGCAGAATATTATGCAAGTACCAGAACATAATTGGGCTTACACTCTTTTCTTTTTATAAGAATAATTTTATAAGAACACGAGCCACAAAATTGCTCAAAATTTAAAAACAAATTTAGAACAAGCTGAGGCTAAGCTTCTGCGAAATGCAATTTTAAACAATGTTTCATCTCAAAATCGAGGATTTTTAGTGCTGTGTGGGTGCTTTTTCGGTGAATATTCAAACATGGTGGCAAATGAAGTTTGTCTCACTTATTTTATTCGCAAATAAGGCCTGAACACTTCCCTAGACAAAAAAAGCTAGCAATTGCACTGGTTACACCCTATTAATTCAGAACAAATTAAGAACAGTCCAGCCACAGATTTTCGAAAAAATTATGAGCAGTCACCCTGAAATTAAATTTGCTTGTTCTTATAAGAGTGTAAGCCCTTTCATGTTTTGTTACTTGCTTGAGTTCTCTTCAAGTTAACTTTTTGTAATGGCCTACGTTGACATATGCTGCCATCAAATCATCACAACAATATCAATTTGTGTTGAAGTTCCAAATGTAGCTCTTTGTCTAATTATGCCCTCCACATCCACAACCATCATGACAAAAAAATTAATTCAAACTAAATGTTTGATTGACAAAGTTGAACTTTATTAAGTGTGATGTAAAACCTAACATGACTGGGTTGACAAATTGAATGGGGTCCACAGCTAACCCTTGAATTTAGGGTTTTCTTTGACACTAGCCTTCGGCAATTTGGCACGTTTTCGCAAACACTGAACATTAGTATGGCCTCTGGATGGCTTTCTAATCTTTGTTTAACATTTATGAACGTATTTCCTGATTTTCGGCAGCCTAGTATGATCTGATAATCCTAAGCTTCAGATATGTAAAGTTTCTAGCTTTTCCTTTTAGGCCGCCGAGTATTCATCCTAAACAAAATAAAAAACCTTACTGACACTCATGTTCAATTCTCCTGAAACTCATCTTTGCAATCGATCACCTTCTAATCCCAATGAAATTAGGCCACCCTTTTTCTGAAAACTTCGAAATAACAATGAAATTAGGCCACCCAGTCTATCACCACACCCCCTACTCCCATCCCAAAGTTTACCATCAAAAGTTTTTGAAAATTCGCAATCTCTTTGATAAGGAATATTTCTGAATCAAATCAAATGTAAGAAAACTAGGCCTTTCATCGCGACGTCACTAATGTTTGTCTTCGTAGCAGATCTTTGCCCATTGAACTTTTTGTAAGTTTTGTGTATCATGTTGCTTGCGCTGTTTTGATTTGGTTGGCCAGCCATTATTCATTTATTTTCAGAGTCAGTTTCTAGAGAAATGTTGCTTTTTGTAGTTTTGAAATTTTACAGTTCATTAAAAGTCTTGGTAAATGGCAATGGTAAATAATGTGTTTAGGTCTGTTTAGAAATCTATAAATATTTACCAAGAAGAAGGTTGTATGAAAGTTTATTAAATTTGTCAATTAAGTTCATTCAATCAATCTTTTTTCTGGCCTGTCTCTGCATTTAATGCCATCTGATTAATACTTCAATTTTGATTAAGGATATATTGATGCTTTTTACGTAGAGCCTGTCTGGAACACTGAAATTCAGCTTTGTTCCGGCCTAGATGGGATATAGTACCAGAAATACGATACAATTAAACATGTGAATGGGTTAACGTACGCATCAAGATATTTGTGCTACAGTATGATTTCTTGAAGATTCCCAATTGCTACATTTAAGGAGGCCTTCTACCTAACCGGGTTAAAACAAAAACGGGTTAAAATGTATCCGTTTTTAAAGTGAGTCAATGGCAACGCAAGTTTGCATTAAGCTCGTTCTAACTCGTTTTTTATCGTTTCCTCTAGGCTGGGTTGAAATGTACCCAGGCTTGAAAAGTGTCCTTAGCCCTCTACACTTCGGGTAAATCAGTTTTCTATCATGATAAACAGAAAAAATCACGCTGAGCTGTGAGAGAAATCAGGATTTACAACAATGGTCTTTGAATTATTTGTATAACGTTGTTGTGGTTGTTGTTGTTGTTGTTGTGGTTGTTGCTGTTGTTGTTGTTGTTTATAAGTGGATCAAAAGCTACCTGGGTTTGGCTTTCCCACTAGCCCACAAATGGGTTAAAAGATACCTGGGTTAAAAAATGATCCACTCGGAGACCCGTTTTTGAACTTATCCGTTTTTCAAGTGGGTTAGTGAGAACGTAACGCAAAAAAGGATAATTTTCGACTTCATTTTTGTTTTAAGCCGGGTTAGCAAAATGCTGCTTAAGGCTGTAGTTCTGTTTGAGAATTTGATGCTGCATAAAGCTCGAAACAACTATGCGAATAGTAGCAGGAAGTCCTGTTATCTGGTTCAGGTCCAGTTTTATTTTTCAGAGTTATAACTGTGCATTGAGAGTGTGCAGAAAAATTTATCCTTAACTTCAATGGGATTTTCAAAATTTTGAACTTAAAGTTGCAATCAATTAAAACAAAAGAATTACAGCCAACCATAGTTATATCTAGTTAAACTACGGAATTACTAACGGACAATCAAGGCAATAGGCAAGTTCCATTGCAAAAGCGAAAGTAAACGTGTTTTAACAATCGTTGAAAATTCGTTTGTTTCTTTCATACACCTAAAAAGTATAGCTAAAAAGTTAATTTATTGTGACAGACTCTCTCTTTACTGCATTGCATTGTAAGAGAAAAAAAAATTCTTCTCCAGAGTGATCGTGTGTTATTGACACTGCATAATTCACAAAGACGTTCGGATCTTTGCTCTTGGCGATGGTTCGGATCAAACCTCCTCTTTTCGAGCGTAGCAGATCCTTCTAAATTTTGCTAGAGAACAACAAACTCTAAAACTATCGATATAAATATGTATTGTTTTGAGTTGAGAGTTATTTTAAAGGATTCATATGCATATAGATTTGCTGTCTAGGAATGGCTTGGGACGGTTTGTTAATAAAATTATGCAATCAACATTCAAATCATCAGTATTGTATGGGTTGAATGATTCAGAAATCCCCTATTCTGATCATCTTGTATAATCTTGAAATAGTTATCTTCTATCGTTTTTATTAAGATGTTACAATACTTTAGCATTGAAGATATCAAGTATGCAGGTTTTAAGAGAAAGGCTGCAAATTCAATATCCAAGGGCAAACAAATTAATTAATTGAAGTCACTTTTGCCCCCACAACTCTAAACTATAGTTTTAGATTTGGAGAATATATGTTGAGTGTCAGGAGATCCCCAGTATACCTTATTTTCAAGGTGAAGAAAAAAGCTTTGATCCATTTTTCTTCAATCTTAAGACATATATTGAGATAAATCTTGATGAATTTAAAGCTAATCCCAACTTTTTATAAGCTTTTGTAACTTTGATAGCATGGTAACTTTTATAAGCTTTTGTAACTTTGATAGCATGGTAAATTCACATTTTATCAGATACTATCACTTTTAATTCATTTTTGTTAACAAAAATAAATGACAGTATGCTGTATGCTGCCTTTTTGGTGGATATCAAATGAGACAACAAAATTTAAGTTGTAGAAGGCAATTTTATACTGGTTCTTTCATCGTGTGTCGTTTTCTCCAGCATCCCCCTCTCTAAACAAACCCAATCCGACACCACCATCGCCTCTTTTAAATGTGTACATTTTTAGTCCGTTTAGTTTTGCTCTAATGAAGCCCCGTATGCCGGGGCGAAATATTAGCCTTCATTAATTTACGTGTATTTATTGTTGTTCATTCTCGTCGCATTCCGGTGTTTCTTATTTGCTCCAGTTTTTAATGTAGGACCTCTTCTCGTTGCATTCAACTTACCCAGCTGATAGTAGCAAATACTTTTCAATATATTGTTGGAAGTTCCGTTTGGTTCAAATTAATTACTTTCCCATACATGAGGTTTTCATTGCTCTGTTAATCAATTGTTATGGTGCTAAAATTCATGGTGTATCTGTGTTCATGCATAATACCAAATTTTGCAGACATACCAATTGCTAAATCGCTCACAAGTGACTCTTCATTATGAGGACTGGGACAAAGTTCAACGTTCTATAAAAAGCTTTCAGAGGAACTTTTAAGCTTGAATCTGCTTTGCATCATATTCTACACCTCAAACTACATAGGTTGAGAAGTTTTCATGCTGGTATCATATTTTGCACGATTGTTGCAAGATTTATACTTAATTTACAGGCTGTTGCCTTTGGAAGAGATTTGTTTATTGAGAAACTCCTTTGAGCTTGGTAGAAGCATCTTGTTCACGTTAAAAATTTATATTTGAAATCATGAACGTATCATGCAAAAAACTTGGTTTTAGATAAAGATTTGTCCTTTTTCAAGTTGCTCAGTGTTTGATTCATCATAATTTTTTAAAGAGCACGTTGAGACAGGAAAAGGGTGTGAGAGATGGGTTTCCATGGGTATCTCCCAGAGATATGTTTTAAAATTACAGCACTTCAAACGCCAGGAAATGTTTATGAAAATGTCAAGAAAGCGTCAGACTCATCAGGAATCTTGAAAAATTCAGACGAACTAGAGCTTCTATAGACATGGCTGCAGGGATTCAGTTTGGAATAAGTCAATAATGAATTCAATTGAATCGTGAAATTCTCACAACCACGGCCACTTTAGTGAAAAGATATTTTTTATCATGCAACTTTTTAGCACACCATACGGCAATCGAGCTATTAACATCCGTTAAATTCTCACAACTCATTGGGACATCATTTTGAAAGACAAAGAAGTACATTATCTATAGAAACAGTCCTTGACTTTTGCAATAAGACGAAACAAAATCTTGGAGAGCTAATTACCCACGCTAAATTTTGAGCTACTATATCGATGTATAAACATTAGCAAACTGAAACATTAATAATTTACAGCATAAAGTGACCCTTTGAAAGGAAATTTTCTTCTTCAACATCAACACAAGCCACAACACCCAGGATCGTTTACCAATCTTTTATGCAACAATGCTAAAACGGAACGTATTCAAAACAACTACTCGCTGAGACTGAGACTAGCATCACTGGAAATAAAGGATTGAAACGAACTCGTGTCTACATTACATAATGGCAGTTTTTATATTTCAGTTTATGGATTCTAAAACTCCTAAAAGGAAGGACGACCGGGCTCTGCCAATAATCAGATACATGTCATCAGTTTCTTGGGGAGATGACTTAGACTGGACATTTTATGAGACATCATATGCTAAAGAAACGATGTGAAGGAGGTGCTGCCATTTTATTTCTCTATTTAAAGTTGGTACAATATCTAGCTACACTACAGCTGATTACCAACTGATCAAATCCCCATTGCACTATACAAATCATTACAAATACATAACTAATGTTGCGTGTGTTTTGTTTGTAAAAGTCACAAGTACACAGTGACAGAAATTG